GAATGAATGAATGATGACGAGTGACCATTTCATTTCCCACCGGATAATTGATGACTGAATTGATAACAGTGGCCGCGGACGCTGTGGGGACATGAGGGGACATTAGCATTGTAGGATGGGGGAGGGAGGGGTTCATATGACATGGGGAGATGATGGGGACATCGAATAACCATGGGGACATTGTCCGGGACAATTTGCCCCTCTGTCCCCCCAAGCTTCCGCGGCCACTGGATATTTTCTTTCTCTTCTCTCCACTCGTCACTTCTTTCTTGAGGAGAACGTTACTTGCAAATAATAATTTGAATAAACGACTGACTGACGGGTGAATAAGGATTCAATTCAATATTTAAAGTTTGCCTTCCACTTCTACCGTCTTTTTTATATGTTGACTGACCGATATGCTTCATGTCCATCAATGTCACGTTGTGTGGAGATCGATGATCGAAATCAAACCGCTGCCGGTAACGGAGGTGGACGTGGACGTGGAGAAAAGAAAGAGATTTTTTTTATATTTAAAGTGTGGTAACAAAGTAATAAAAAAATGTGATTATTTTTTATTATAGTGTCGAAACAAGTACAGCGTTATGTGTACATATTTTGATAATTTTTTGCTACATGGGTTATAAAAAAATTGGTCGTAAAAGAATAAAATTCTGTAATTTTTTTTAATAGAATGATAGAAAATAATAAAATTGGGAAGATTTTTATTGACACATACCTCACTCTCAGGACGGCACGCAGTTTAATAAATGCTCCCTTTGCTTGCATATGCAATTTTAATATTAGGAAAAAAATACAAGTAACTAAAAATGTATATGAAATTACCCCAAAATTTGGTAGAAATTGGTCGGCAAAAATATTCGACGTGGGTTATCGGACAGGCCATTATCTATCTATTTAGCACTGTCGTAAAGTCAGCGTGTGTTCAAGCCCAAAAAAAGTTAGGCTGTTAAATTACTCATTGTTATTTACAGACACATGTACTACAGAATTGTTTCCCTTATTGCAGAAAAATTTAGAAGGAGAGAGACACGACGACGATCTAAATAATATAAAATGTGACATTGTGATGCCCCATTCTATGTATTTCGATCAAATTTAGCGAGTCTCAGTAATTGTCGTCTGGCCAAAAAGAAGGGGGATGACGATTTATGGTGAAATGTCACATTTTATTTAATTTTACCACAGGCTCGGCTTATTTAGCTAAAAATATTGTCACGTTAAAATTCAACCCTTCCACAATTTTAACAATGTTCAGATGTGTTGTAATAGGGTAAGAAGTGTAACGCAATATTGAAGACATTGTGAACAGCTAAAGTCGATGAGATGAGATGTCAAGTTGAGTCAATCTTCTCAAAATGTGTTGGACGGACACTAGGAAGTAAACGAATAAGAATGGGAAACTATATGGAATAGAAAATGAATGAGATCTAAATTATTATTACACGCACCATTGTTAAACACGACCCATGTTTGGCTGATTATGTAATGAAATTCGATCCTCAATGTGACAAGGGAACAATTATATTGTGCTATTTACCGGATAATAATTGAAATATGGATCATTTATTTTGGAAGTAGAGCAGTTTTTTTCTTGGGTGCTGAAATTGTCGTAAGGATCAAACAATGCAAGTAAAAATTTTAAATTATGAAAATGAGTTGAAATTTTAAAAACTGTTTTCTCCACTTTCATCTCAAAGTAAGACAGACAAGTAGGCAAAAAAAGTGTGTAAAAATTAGTTAATGGATAATTATATGCGTTTTATTAATAAAGCACTTAGATAAGTACTCGACTCGTACATACATAAATTCGCCATGTTATTGTCAACCTTAGAAATTTGTTGATTCGTGACCAAGTTGACTTTGATTTTCTAGAACAAAATGCCTCGTCATCATGCTTTTACTTGCTTGCCAAGTTTTTATTTACAATAATAATTCACACGACAGCAGCCTCCTGTTCCAATAAGTTGAGTACTTTTAATTTGCTTTTTGACTTCATTAAAAGTCAAGCATCAAGAGCAAATAGCATTTTCAATTTTAGGAGAAAGGGAAACTTGTGCGGACAAAAAATATATAGCCAACACCAACTTGATCTGTCATCTTATCAAATTAAGTTGGTAAATAAAATGTATCCACGATTGAAAAAAACTGATGTATGATTATTTACTTTTGCTTTCAGTTCAGTTGACGAATGAAATTAACTATTTGCAACTTTTTTGCATGTGGATTTTACGATGATCAGTCGGATTTTTAAGTTTTTTTTGTGTGTATATGTAATGAGAACAGGTGAATTCAGGTAAGTACTTATCTACCTACTTCTACCTGCAGTTGGCCTGATTGTGGGTAAGATTGAGGGTCAGCTATTTTAGGTGCTTTATTGATGCTGATTCATCTTTTGAATCATTATGTGAGTGGAATATCAGTTGATTTTGATTTTGATTTTTACTAATGTTTTCACCATCTGTTTATGTAAATATCTTGCTGTTAAAGAAATCGAAATTTTCTAAAACTTACGGTTTCAACGATGCAAAATTAACTACACATTTTTGCAATTTAAACAAATTTGATTAGGTATGCAACCACCTGGTCAATTATAAAAATTCAATTTTTTCCCTCTGAATCCTCATTCCATAAAAACCATACCATAATTTCAATAATCAAGATAAATTGCGAAATAAATACCATACAGAACTTACCCAATTGTGCAAAGGAGCAATGCAATCTGAATGATTAAGAGAATCAAATTCCGATTGATGCATGACACCCACAACCCATAAAACTTCACAGCCTTGTTTACATAAAAATCTCAAGTATTCATATTCCAACGAATGACCAATAAATTCAAGCTTAAGAAGATGTGTTATAAAATGTGGTGTAATTGGCAACGAAAGTGACACGCTAATTGTATACCCTTTGACTCATCAGCTCATCCCATACGCCACCTGACCATCATTTCACGACTAGTATTACAATTTATTACAGTCCATCCCCTAATTAAAAGTGGAACGGTCAAGCAAAAAGGAAGAAGAGGTCAAGTCAAATCGTACCATTATTAAGGGGTTAATAAGCGAAGCGAAATCCCTTTATGGAAATGTCATGTCCGTCTGTCGGTCCGTACCCACGAGGACGGATTAGAATTTCGATATGCGATTTTCAATTGTTTGCCTTGATCATTTTATGCAAAGTTTGGGGCGAGGATTTCAAAAATCAGTATGGTTTTGACGTACGATTACTGCATGACCGTGTCATTTCACCCCTTTGCTACATTTCGTTTGCAACGGTTTATTACTCACGTGAAAGGTAGGTGATACGTAATTTTTGAGATGACGAGATGATGACGACCCGTTGACAGTAAAAGAATAAAGATCTGTCTCATAAAGTACAAAATTAAATTAAGTAGTGAAAAGAAATGCTCAAAATTTTGCAATAATACGAATTAAAAATTTTTAATCAGACGACAAGCCGCTGAATTGTGACATATGATGAGCATTGCGAATTCTTGGACAGTTTGAAAATTGCAAAAGTTTTGAGATGGGGTCAACTCGTATCTTTTATTTTTTGGGGTGTGATTGATTCATTTGCCAGGAGCAATTTTCTTTTTTTTAAAAAAAAGAGTAGTCTGTTAACAAGTAACCTTTTTTTTCTTTAAAAGGTTACTTGTTATACAAACTACTTATGGTGCAACTAGGCGGGGAAGAACCCAACCCACGAAGAAGACGGATGCGAACTTATCGCCTATATGTACAACAACTTATCACATATTTAATGGGTACAAATTGGTTGCATTGTTTCACTTTTTGCTAATCGATCATCAAATTGCTACCCTGTCAGTGTGTACACATGATGCATTCCTCCCCCAAAGGAAGAAGATGGCACAGGCACGTACAGCAAAAATAATTTAATTAAGTATCTAGCAACGAAGAGGATGTCCGTTAGTTTGGCATGAGTTTTGACTCGCTGAGAAAAAAAGAGCTATTAAAATTACAAAATTCTTAATTGGTATGCAGCTTCATACTCACATAAATTCTGTTGTTACTTTGTTGCAGATTATTTGAAGGAACTTGATTTCGCAAAAAATCAATGCATTTCCATTAAAAACTAGCAAATACGATAAATAAATGAGAATAAAATTATTCAGCATTTGTCACAGCAAAAACAAACTAAAATGACTTTAAAATATCCATCTTATTAGGAAGAAGAAGAGACTGAAATGAAAACATGCGTGCCGTCAAACAGGAAATAAATGCATAATCGATTCAGTAATGTGACTTGGCAATTAATGGTTATTGGACGCAGTTTCAGATTAGATAAATATGTGTATTGTATATTTAAATTTTTACATATTTTAAAACTCGGAAATTTACGACGAGATTAAATTTCCTTCCGCAAACCAGGAAAATTATTGTTTATTTGCTTATTGTTATTCAAAAAGTGGTGTGGTTCACGTGCTCTGCTAAAGTAATTTTACGAGCATTTTATGAAATTAAAATAGTTTTTTCACAATGTCACGACATTTTTTGGAGAATTATTTATTTCTCTACGTTAAAAATTGGTCAATTAAATTTGTTTCTTTCTGTCTTTTCATGTTGCTTGTATGTCATGTCATCCACGCACGCGAGGTTCTGACCCACACTGTTCAAGCTGGTCACGATTTGAGCGACTAGTCGGACCGACGACTGCGCGGTCAATGGTTTAGCACGTAGCGTCCGCTGTCACTTATTACCACACCACCACGCTTCGCCTTATTTATTATCGAACGGTGTGGTCCAAATTATATGTGCATGAATGAAATCCTGACACAAATTATGGCCAAGTTTTGTATGTATGTATGCGATGGTAATCTGTCAATTTAAAGAAATTAACACTTTTTGTGTAAACTGTTACGAAATTTGGGAAGATTTTTGATGAAACAAATTAAGAACAATGATTTGAACTATTTTTTTCTTCTGTGGCTTGATCGTGGACGAGGTGTTAAAAAAACGACATAATTTGATCGAATGCTCGATAAGTAATAAATGGTTTATTAATTAATCTAAATAATGACTTTGTTAAATTGACAGGATGGGTAAGGTAAAAATACAATGGTGTAATTTTTGTAATTTTTTCCGGCAGAATGGATCAATTTGAAACTTGATATGAGCGATGTTGAGTGAATTTTAATTTTAAACCGTTTGTCACGCGAAACTTTTCTTTTCATTTATGATACATTTTTTCTGGCTCGATCGGATTATTGGGTTCTTCAGGGATTTAGAATTTGTAAGATTGATCCAGTATTGACAAATTTCAATAAAACGCGTCCTCTTAGAAGTAGATCTAGGTGCTATCTGTCGTATTTCTTAATATATATTCAGACTGGATTAACTTTTATTACGGCGTATAATTAACTCATAATTTCTATTACATGAAATTTTTTAGAATAAAAATGGCTGGAATTTCTAATCACAATTCAGTACTTGTTTATATTTCCTCTACGATACAGATTCATCATTTATCTATTAACACATAATTCCGAGTTTAATTCGAACGAGATAAAAAGTTTCCAGAAAATGATGGGGATATTTTCGGTAATTATAAAATTATTACATTTCGCCACGAGTCTTAAAACCAATATTTTCCATTTTTCCAAGTACAATGAATCAATTTTCCGTTTCGTGTGTACAAATTGCTGAATTTGATGTATCCTTAATTCTGATCTGAATTATATAATAAAATAAACATTTTTCTCATTAAATATATTTTAGGCGTTCATCTTTACCATAATTTTCTGCGGATGTTCTGCCATCAGTCAGAGCGAGGATGACGATGTCGGTGAAAGTTCTCCATACGGCAGCATTTACAGCGGAAGTGGAAGACACCAAGGGGGGTCACATGCCCACTTTGACACGCCCTTATTTTCCTCCCCTTTTAATCCCAACGGCAACGGTGGAGGAAGATTTGTGTCCAGCAACAATCACTTCATTCACAGGAACTCCTTTCCCTCGAGAAATTCGTATCAGTTTAATGCCAACGACGACGACGACGAGGATGGCGATCAGGAAAGCGGTTATGGCGCTGGAACAGGATATAGTTCAAAGAATCAGCAAGTATTGGGGGATAATGGTTCTTCTAAAATTAACAAAATTCACAAATTCGTCTCCATCCATGTCGCTCCTCCAGAAGACGAATCTCAACAAGAGAAACCAAAACCGATAAAACCTCCTCAAAAACAAGAGAAGCATTATCAAATCGTTTTCATAAAAGCACCTTCAACCTCACCTCAAGAACCGCAGGAGGTTCATCTCCCTCCCTCACCGGAAACCAAGACGTTGGTCTACGTCCTATTGAAGAAGAATGCGCTCAACGACATGGTGCGGATCAAAGGAGCTCCAACGCCCAAGCCGACGCCACCTCAAGTGTTTTTCATCCGGTATAAAGGACAGAGTGAGAACGGGAAGGAGGGTGATGGTGATAATCACTCGTCTGGAGAGTACAACAATGGAGATGGAAACAATTTTTCAGATTCTGATGATCCCGAAGAAGAATATGGAGTACCGTTTCGGCAGTGATTGTGGTTTTGGTCAATCTGTAAATTTAAAATGATATTATAAGTTGAGTAGAAATTTAAAGAGAAATAAATAAAGTATGTTAGAAAGTGGATATCAAAGGTATTTCTTATTTCAGGAATCAAAAGAGGCGAAAATGTGTCGTGAAATTGAAAAAACTTACATTTTCCAAATTTATTGCGCGTTTTCATTTCTTCGGATGCAAATACATATCTCTGCCAAACCATAGCGTTGGCTGATAATGCATTTTGCAAATCTCATAATACTTAAATTTGTGATCGATTGAAACTAACGCCCCAATCTGAGAGCATACTCTGGGAGACCTTCATTGTCAGTATAATTCGTATGATTAGGGAACATATTTATGATCTATTTCTTATTTTTAATCGTAAGCTCCCAAATTAATCATAAAAAAAATATTTTCAATAATTTGTATAATTAATTTTAATGAACATTCTACCCAACTATAGATGGTTCATTAGAGTTGCGGAATTAGGAGAAAACAGAAAGTTGGTAGAGAAGCAAGTACATAAAAAGCATCCTGCAATTCAGGTACTTTTCTGGTGAAAGTAGATAACTCGTTCACATCATGAAAAATAAAGGATAAGCATTATGCAAAGAAGCAACCAGTTATTTTATGTAGGTATTCGTGAAAGTGTTTATTCATTTTTGTTGTACATGGCCATGAGCCCAGTGACACTTGGCAATACGAGAATATACTGAGAACAGAAAGATAAGAGTTTGTAGAGAAGATGAAGTTGGACGTGGTGAAAGTCCAAAAGACTAGACAAATTATGCGACAATCGATGGCGTCTTTCTTCAATGAGCAGACTGCATAAATTCTTCAGAATAATTTGTTTCTGTTGTTGACGTCTACGAATATACTTATTGACCATAAGCGGTCGAAAGGGATCCACCCCCGAATCCACCACCACCACCGGAGCTGAATCCACCAGCACCTCCGGAACCACCTCCAGCACCACCAGCACCAGCGTATCGGATGAAGTAAACCTCCGGCTTGGCTGGGGCAGAGGCGGCTGGGCGACGGATCTTGACATCGGCAGAGTTGGATCCCTTCTTGAGAAGGACGTAGACGAGGGTCTTTTGTTCTCCTTGTTCTGGGAGGATGACCTCGGTTTGTTGGGAGGAGGATTGGGATGGGGTCTTGACAAAGATGATGTTCACGTGCTTATCGGCTCCTCCGGGAACTCGGATGACTCGAGATTGGTGATCAGCAGCCTCATCTGGGGCGGCGTGAACATAGCTAAAAGATAAAAGAGCAAAAGGTCATAAAAATAGGGTCAAACTCTGTCTTTTTTTCTTGTATGGATTCTTACACGTGTCGGTAAACTTGTCCTCCAGCACCACCACCACCGGATCCTCCAAATCCACCACCACCACCGGAGCTGAATCCTCCGAATCCACCACCCCCACCGGAGCTGAATCCTCCAAAGCTGGCTCCATGGGATGGAGCGCCATAAGCGGAGGATGGTGGTTCAGCAGAGACAGCGGCCACAAGGGCGGCGAGGACCTTTAATTATTCAGTGAAAATTATTTATCTTATCTTCCTCCTCTTTTTTTCGAAATATTTGTTTCTTTTTTCGATAAGTACAAAAACTTACAATGAAAGCCTTCATGTTTTTTGGAAAGGTTTAAAGTTCAGGAGGATGATGAGAAGAAGATGAGAATAAGCAACTGATGCCTTGGATCTCGTCGGACTCTAGTATTTATACCAAATTTCGCCTCGCAGGCAAACATGCCGGTCAGAAAAGTTTATTACTTGCTAAATATGCATGCACAATAAAAAAGAAGATATCACAAAATAGCACGCGTCCCTATACTGCGCCCCATGGGTAAAAGGGTACCAACGCGCAGTTCAGTACCACACCACACAAAATACGAGGGTGGGTTCTCTCTGTATATTGATTGTTATACGTTAAATGTGCTTTTAACTAAATGTATAAGCAATCACGCATTATAACTAATCTCGTTCGTTCATGATTACTACTTACCTTTGCTCAATATGGGATGCATTCATTGCTAAAAAGTATATACATTCCGATGAGTGAGTGATGTATGCTTGGTTGTACAAAATTACCATCATTTTCAGCTAAAAAGATTATAAAAGACAAACAACAACAACAATATGTGAGTAATAATGCAATGTATGCAGGTAAAATGAAGATGAACCAGTACGACAAATCTGAGGAGGAGGAAGAAAGAAGTGCATAAGAAGAAGAATTCTGCTCGAGGGAGAAGATTACTTACGCAGATACATCACACACAATTATTTATTTACTGACTTTTTGCCCAATAACTTTTTGTACTAGAAAAAAGAAGATTCAAGAGTTCAATTATTTAACGAAATGCAAATAAGGATCATCATAATCATCGACCGGCATCATCGATATTATGAACTTTTGATATAATAAACCAGCATCTGGTAGTAGATAATAGTTTTCTATACGTTTTCTTCTTCCGCTCGCGGTGGAAAATTGGTTAGAAAATGTGCATATTTTAAATCAAATGCAACTCACTGATTGGATTTTTATAAGCAAAGTAAAAGCGATATGGATTGTAAACATGAGTGTAATAAATGAACCTGAAAATGGGTCAAAAAGTGCATAAGAATAATAATAATATGTAAGTCTTTGTGGTGAATCTTAACACTAAAAAATACTAAATTATTGATTAAGATTTATTTATCTTGTTACAAATACATACTTTTTGACAGTAGAATGACCGAGGGGACGGGATGAGAGGCGGTATCCCTTTATGAACATGATTATAAATTGACACTTGCATATAAATTAAAATTTTGGGGGTGATTTTATGCCTAAAAATTAATATGATACATAACACAATGAAATCTCATCTTAAGATGGGGCAATTTTGAGACTAGTTTAATTCACATTGTTATTTCAAAATGTCTCATAAATCTTGATATCGATTCCGATCGCCGATGACATAAAGATGTTTTCGACGAGTTTCTTGTTTCCTTAATTTCAACGAAAAGAGTTGAATTTTAGTGATGATGATCACTTTTGGGGTGACTTTTGTTCACTCACACCTCATCATCATCTCATCTTTTTCTTGAATGTGTCATAACCTGACCAAAATATTGCAGGCAGACTGAAATTTCCTGTTTCCTTATCCTCGTCAGCAGAAGTGCAGTATCCTAAATATCAAAGCCATGCCTTCTATTCTATTGCACAACTCGGAAAAGGAATATTAAAGGATTCTTTAAGCTACAATTTATTGCACCGGGTCGACATGTCACGTTAGCTCGTAAACTTTTTAATTGTATGAAAATTGAATAAAATTGGAAACAAAAAATCCACAAAGCTTGTTTGGAGAGAGAGGATAAAAATTTGGTCACCATTATTATGATTTTATTAGACGCCGACGTGGGCGACGACTTTATGTGACAGTTAAAAGTGGTCCCGTTATTTATTGCAGAATAACTGGCTGAATAGGATAAAAAATCTTCCGCTTTACTCGACCTGCTGATCACGTGACAGAGCCGAGAAACCAGCGCCGTAATGAGCTGAATTATCCTATTATTTTACGCTCGTTGATTTTATTTTGGCGTTATTATTCAATTCTGGTCAAGAATTTGGGTAATTGAATGATTTTTACGCCAAAATAAAATATTTATTTTGGCGTACATTAGCCGGTAAGCCGGATTATCCTATTATTTAACACCAGTGTAAAGTAATAGGATAGTTCGGCTCACTCGGCTAATGTAACGGCGCCCCTTTCCGGCTGGTTTTCACCGTGCGACACCTTGACTTCTAATTAATTTTATTTGTGATAACGTGGGCTACGGCGCTGCTCTGAAAATCTCATATTCACCCGTAATAAACTTGAAAGCGGCCAGATTTTGAATTTAAGTCTATCCTATCCAGCCAGTTACTTTACAATGAGCGTACTCACGTCAACCTTCGCATATCTCGCAAATTGAGCATAGCAACATAACTTGCGAAGTTTTGCGAGATATGCGAGATTTCGCAAAAAATTTGCTGGAAAACCATGGGATTTTTGTTCGCAAATTTACCCAGCAATCGAGCATGTCCTTATTTCGCAAAATTATTTCTCAAAGTAATTCTGCAAGGGAAATTAAAGTTCGGAATGTGATTTATTCACTACTATAAATAGTGTGTATAATCGTGTATATGTATAATTTTAGTAATAATTATTAACATAAACATTGATAAACTAAGAAATTACAGAAATCCATGGAAACAATACCAAAATAGGTGTTTTTCTGTAGATTTGCGAGATAAGAGAGTTTTACGAAGTCATATTTTGCGAATCCCCTCACGACAGAAATATTTTGATCTTCGCAAGTTTGCTAAATGAGTTGCGATGCGAAATAAGAAGTTGTCGTGAGTACGCCCAATATAATAAAAATCATAAATAAATAAAAATATTTATGTATTTATTGATGCAAAAGTTAATTTAATCCTGAAAGAGAAATTCATTGCCTTATCTGTGCAGATATTTTTATCGTTTTTATTTATTTATATGCATAAGATGCCAATAACATGGTCGGATTTATGTAATGTCGACGAATCAGACGTCGCCGGCGTGACGAGACGAAAAACAAATCAAGATTTGATCGGTCATGAATGGTCGATCAGCACCGATAAATCGACCAATTTCACGACCACGTACTTATTTTACCACTGCTACATCACTTTATTACCTAAATTGCTCGATTCTAATTGGTGATTATGGAAAATTGATCGTCAATATCGTGTGTACCTGTAGATTATATTTATGCGTAAAATATGAGTCAGACAAAGAATTGAACTAGATAAATAAATCGATTGACCAAAATCACATTGTTTGCAGCAATAATAAAAATAATTCCCCTATTTTATTCCTATTTCATCTAATTGTCTAGATATATATTTCTTTAAAAAATCTACTAAAAATGAAAATTTGCGTAAAAATGAGTCAGAGAATTGATCTAGAAAAATAAATCGATTGACCAAATCACATTGTTTGCCGCAATAATAAAAATAATTCCCCCATTTTATCTAATTGTCTAGATATATATTTCTTTAAAAAATCTACTAAAAATTGAAATTATTATCATCAAAAGCACCTCCAAACCAACCAAGTCACCTACTTACGAAAGTTTCAACTCCTCGACACGCACGCGAGCTAGCACAAGTCATCATCATATTCATAACAAGTTACATACATTTACATTTTGCAACATTCACGGAAAAAATAAAAATATTCGACTTGTAAGACAGCGCAATTTTAATTAAATATTTACAAATCAGACAGAAGCCATCGCCATCGTAAAGCATCTCGAAACTGGATGGATCCCAATTTAAGATGGTAATTTATTAATTGATGACAGTGCCAAAGAGAAATGAATCTCATTCTGTTGTAGGACGACACTTGAAGTGCTCACATCATTTACATGACAAAGGAAAGAAAACGAAACAAAATATACGTTCGATAAGTGGCATCTTCTGTGGTGGTGATGAGCATGTTTATAATCTTGGTCATGTCAAGAATGTCAAATCAAGTCACACTTTTAGTTTAGCAAAACCAAACCAAAAAATGTTATCGTGGCGATGACGCAACTTTACTACATATTCAATTCATGCAAGATGATGATAATCGAAATGATAGGATAACAGGATCCATACGATAAATAACAATAACTGAGGAGATTTTACTGTATTGTGCAAGTTAAGAGGAGAAAAAATAATTAGTATTCAATTACTAACAAACGTATCGCATTTTTTTGAGATGTAATGAAGAAGAAGATGGTCAAGCGAGATGTAAAATGTCGCACTTTTACTGTAGTTGTTGCTAAATGTGGTTATCGTCTCATCGCATTTTTCTTATAATTTCGATATGCATGTACATTCTTGTTGTTTAGATGGTTTATTATTTCATGTATGAAAAAGTTGTAAAAGGATGACAAATATTTATATGGACGATTGTTGTAATGTAATGTGGATTGAAAAATTGGATTATGATGATGCGAATAAAACGTGTAAGTGCTTATATTGTTGCACAAGACAAACCTTCTTTATTAGTAAACCAATTAAAATATTAAATTAGTTAGGTTTTGTAACTTATTTTAGATATGGACGTAAGTAGAGTTACATTATATTATTTTCATGTTTATTTAAATGGTGACCCGACATGACATAATATTTATTTATGCTTGATAAGGATGGTAAGACACACCTTTCACTCACTCCCCACGTGGAGCACATGAATGTCAATCAATTTCTAAATAATTGACAAATTACAAACCATAAATAAAATTGTAGCATTTTATTTGTTTTGCTTTTGACTGCAGTTTTGTAAATAAATGAAATGTGTTTCACTCAACGCCGTTTTAGTTGAAAGAGAAGAGGTGATATTATTTTGGAAAATTTTAATTCGTAATTTTGTAAAATTGTAATAGTATTACAAAACATTATTTTAATTAGATCTTATCATTTCGAAAAAAATTATACCATCAATTATGCTAATTGTAGCAAGTTGCCCATATTTTTTACACGTAGTTTGCAAATTTGTGGGTTTTTTAACGATCGTGGCGGCCTCAGAAAAATCAGAGTCGCGTGTTGTTCAGTTGGTGAGGAATCAGATCGGCGTAGACGTCTGCCCAAACGGCAGTAGATTTTTTTTTTACTTTTTGACAAAAAAAAAATCAGAAAAATTTTCAATTTTTTTATCAACTTTGTTTTATAAGGTTGATAATCAGTTCAGAATCTTGTTACATTGAACTGATTGCTTGACAAGTAGTAGTAAACAAAAAGTCAATAAAAATGGATAACACTGTTCTTCCCGATTTTCGAGTCTGGATTTCGCCCCCAGTGGTACTGGGTGAAAGAATGGAAAAATTACTCGGTACTGCTTTTGAGTTAGGGTTTGATCTGAAATTCGACGAAGGTGCAGCACAGATAGAGTTGCAGCGAATAAATAACAACGAGGCGGCGGAAGTGGAGGCAGCATCGGCGGCACCTGCACCCGTGCCAGAAAATCAGGTAATGGTGGTGAACAATGCCAACGTAGAAATGGGGAACAATGACGACGTCGAAATGGAGGACAATGACAATGTCGAAATGGAGGAACCAATCAACGAGAATTTGCTTGGATACGATTTCAAAAGTGGTCCAAGTCGTCTGATCTCTGGAGATGACCGGTACAAAGAACACATGGATCGTGCCATAAAGAAGGACTGGCAATTTGCAGAGGAATATCGTGATCATCATATGCGTCGGTTGGGTGTTGATGAGCAAACTTTTGGCAGGCTTCAGAAATTAATCAGGTATTTGATCTAAAATAAAAGTACTGGTGTGTTATATTTCTGGGGATTAAAAAAATTATTGTTTTTCATGCAGCCCAACATCTGCATCTGTTCGAGGAGAAGCGTTCCAAGATAATCCGCTTGTTGCAGGGTCAGCTCCGCCCATACTGATTCCACCAGTTCCAGACGCCGACCGGGTGAAGCTCAAATCGGTTACAGTCCTTTTTTGTAACAGCAATCCACGATCAACTATTTGGAAATCTAACAATGTTCAACAAATACTTGATGATGATGTAGCGTTTCTTGCAAAACAAAAGGTATGGAGATTTGTGTTTAACTGGGTTGATTTTGAGATTTTTATTGTTTCATTACATTATATTGCCCAGGAATGCAAGCATACACTAAATGACCGAATCACTGGAAACCTACGATTGTTGGATAATACGAAAGATTTCATTATTGAAGTGAACGTGTGCCATGGCCGAAATCCGGAAGAAACTTTGCCCACGGATGTGAAAGTGTAAGATGAACATTTTTTAAAAGACATCCACTGTTTCCTTGTTGGATGACGACTATAATAATATTTTTTTCAACAGGGTCGCCGAACCAAAAACGCTCTACAAGCTGAATCTTCTCGGGACCAATACTGTAGCTGATCTACGCAATGCTATCCATTGTGATAATGAGTTGGCTGCAACTGGCGAAGTCCAGTCTCCCGATGATATTGCTCTTCCTCACAATAACATTTTGAAGGTTCAAACTCAATAAATGTTAAGATAAAATTCTAATTTGAGTCTAAATTTCATCATTTCTTTCCAGGACGAAACCGCAGAATGGATTCTACTCTTGGGTGACACGATTTACAGTGACAACGGCGAAGAAGGTCCCTCTCCTAGCTTGCTGAAATGGGCTGCTGAATATCCACCCAAAAACTTGGGACCTTTCAACAAGGGGAAAAATGATACAATGTTGAAAGATTTGGTCCTTCGATTGGGATATCCATACGTATTCTGTCATATTGACAAGTGTGAGCATATCATTGTTTTCAAACGAGCTCGGTATGCAACTTAAATCGACTGATATTATTATTTAGCGTCGAATTTTTATTAATTTATTTATTTGCAGGGTTGTTAAAAAAACAGACGAACAACGGATTGAAAAGTATCCTGTGGCGTGCAATCTTCCATGTCTGAGGAACACTTACTGTCAGGTGGACAACGATCACATGGCCAAGTAAGTAGAATCTGTTTTAATTGGAACGTTATATATATAAAAATTTGTCAATATATATTCATAACAATTTATATTAATGTTTAGTTGGTGCGTCAAGGGCTGCTCAATATTTGCAGAGGATCCCTCCTACTTTTGCACTTACTGTTTGCGAAAACTTTGCTACAATCCAGATGGTACTAAGAGGATGAATTTTCAATTGTTTCCGTTTCGACAGTTGGCAAATGAAGTATGAAATTATTTATCGAGCGTTTTCTGTAATCTCACCTCGGCGTCTATTCTCCTGTTTTATGTTTTTTAAAAAATATAAATACTGATTCAGACATATTTAATTAGTTATAAGGAGTAATCTCACCTCGCAGGCTATGCTCCTATTTATGTTTTTTAATAAAAATTGAAAAAAAGTGTAATTAGTTAAAAAGTGTAATTAGCAGTATAGATGGATTATTAATTAGAATTCAACTTTAGCACATTGTTATGTAGTGGTTGTGAGCTAATAAAACTCGCTTTCTTTATAATACATCGGGTTTATTGTAGTCAATAATTTGTCAATAACGTTGATATTTATATTAAGACGATATAATATTTATAACTGAAGTTCGTCTTTGAACAATCGATATGGTAAAAAAGGAATACATATTACGCAACAATATAATCAGGTTAAGAGTCAGAAAAAAAATTAACAATGCATGAATTCCATGTAACCAATTATATTTTGAGGTTGACAAAATCCGTAACGGATACAGCACAAGTAGAAGAGGGCAATAATTCTGCCGGTTTAGTATCATCGTCATTTGTCCAATTCCAAACAATTTTTTGATTAAGGCTTTCCCTGAAAAGAAAATATAATTAATATAATAACTATAACAAATCAGCATCTATGCAAATGTCATATTCAATTGATCCAACGTACAGCATAGGTCCAGAGGTTTTGTAAAACAGTAAACCACCCACTGATATTGCAGATGGAGAATCGGGCAGAGGAAAATTGACAAGTCGTAAAGATCCAGGATAGTGACATGCGTCATGTTTCATGTAGACACTGAAACAAAGATCAGAACATGCTTTTTCTATCGAAATGCTATTGAAAAATAATGCTGTACTTACGACGAGTTGATCCACGAAGATAAAACATTCTCATTCTCTTTCAGCACCAAAGGTTCACGAACTTTTATCACAGTACATTTCAGGTAATCGAATTCGATACATTTATTTAAAACACCGGCATATGTTTCGCATAGCTGCTTCCTAATATACAAATACAAATCATTATTGATAAAATTTGGCAAGAAATTATTAAAATTATTTATTTCTTGCTGAACTTTACCTTGCGTCAAAAGGCAAATCCCCTATGAATTGTCCATTCAAGCTTAGTCCATCATAAATATGAAATTCCAACAGAATAGAAGAACTGTGGGCGTCATGATGACTTTCTTCGCATGTATCAATATACTTTCCATTTGGAATAAGCTCCACAACGCTTGCAAGTAAGATTGTTCCTTTTGTTAAGATTAATCCATCGACGTTAATTGGTCTGAATTCTGAACCGTTAAAGTAGACAATATTCTCTTCCCCAAGTCCTACAGTTCGTAAAGTGAGTTGCATCTTAACATCTTGTTTTTGTATAATATTTATAACTAATAACGTATTTAATATACCAATGAATAAAGTTACTGGATGAGCACCAATAACTGATTTAGATTCTTGCATGGAATAAACGGTCCAACCTTGACGAGATTTTGATATATCCTCAAGACCATTCCTATCTAGTGTAACCTGCTTTTCCCCGAAAGTCGTAAGAACTACAAATTAAATCGAGATTATTTTTAGCACATGAGCCAATTTTATTATACAATATAAATTATGCATAATATGAATCTTACACTCAAAATCCAGTCCAAATTGTTTCAAAAGAGAAAGACATTCGGCGTTAATAGATCTTAAATTTAGTGTGCTAAAAGCAGTAGAAATTCCTTCCTCCTCAGTCTTCTTATTTTTTGTAGACATGTCATATTGAATTTTCTGGACTTGAGTTTGATCTCTCAATTTCCACAAGAATGTTCCATAAGGGTTGGCAGGTATTGTAGAGCAAAGTTGTTGCAGTTTAGAAATTAATGACTTTGTAAATCGAATATTTTGTAGACGAAGAAACTCAAAGAAATCGGCGTGACCTATGAAATAAATGACAAATATTTAATCTTAAATATGAAATGTAATGGTAGACAATGAACAATATTCAACTAAGTTTAGAATTGGACTTACTAATAATAACTTTGAGAGGGATGAGCTGTTTTACTTCAAAGAGATGAGTTCCCAATCTTCTGCGAGCCTTTCTTTTAATTATTTTCCGAATTTCTTCATTTTTCATTACAATATTATGACAAAGGAGAAGAAATTGTAAAATTTCTTCGCTTGACTCGCACGACAGTTTTCCTGTACAGACTAGAAATCTTTCCGACGTGTGAGATGAACTCGTTTTTGGTTTGTGGATAGAAATGCTTCGGAAGCACCGATGCATCAGGAAAACCAAGCCAGCCGTAAACAAAGTTATTGCGTCAAACATTTTGACAACAAATGATCCACCTACACACGAAAAAAAGATGGCAATTGTTATATCGATTATTTCCAAGCCATATCTATGATAAATTAGTTTTACCTTCGCGAACAGCTAAAAGCGCGATGATACACTGAGCATAAAATTTGCGTTGAAATCGAACTTCGCGAACAAATTCATGGACATTCAAACTTTCGGGCTGAAATTTTTAAACAAATTACATTAAAAACAAGTCTATAAGTAAATATCTATGTTCACATACATTATCCGCAACCATCAAATGAACTCCTTTGCCGTTCGATTTGGCAAGAATATGCTTGACAAATTCATCACTAACGGAAATTTCGCAAATGTCGAAAGACTTTTTGTCTATGAACAAACAGATACATATACGTACACCATTCAGTTAAACAATAAATGCAGGCTACAACTAGGTTAGGACTGATTTATTACCCTCTTGTCGGAAATGCTCAACCAATTCAACAGGCAGAAGAGATTTTCCAAGTTCCTGATCCTTCGGATAGGTCGGAATATGGAGTGTGTTGAATAGCAATCCACAAGAGGGATTAAAATCTCGAGGACGAGACCCATCCGCATCTTGAATCGCAAACCCTTTCATCATCAGCCCTTGGTGTAGGTACTCGTTGGACTTTGTTAAAATATACCTAACAAATTATGACCGTAGTCCCCAATTAGTACCATAATCTTGCATAAAACTTTAATAAACTACTTATTGTAGCACTCACTCTCTGAATCCTTTTGATGTATCCCAAATATCGGCAAAATAAAATACGTTCTTCTCGCTTTCATCTTTTTCGAGCTGCTCTCGTGGAAAAATGAGATCATGGTTGAGACCTTCATCAAGACTTTGTAAGTTTGATGCATTTTCTGAATAAATAAAATTCTTTGATCGATTAGATGGGCAGTTTTTTCGGCAGGTTTGTTCAAAATTGAAGAATCCAGCGGATACAATTGAAGGCTAAAAATTAGGCAAATTAATTATTACGCAATGCAATGTTACGTCATAGATGAAATGTTCAATTTGACTTGTTATTACTTACCTTGCACTCGAGTAACGTGTTAATCGTATCGCCATCAATAAAATGCATGTCAATTTCCACACTAAACTTTTTGGTCACCGGGAGTCGAGATGCACGGACCAGGTCTTCGTGAATGAAGGAAAAGTCTAAGGGAGCTGGGGGCGGTGAAACCCACAGCATTTCTTCTCCAGCATAATTAGTCTGCAAAAATTAAATTGTGTGATTTTCAAAATTGTCAAATTCACAAAAACTGTATAATTCACTCACTTGGAATGTATGTCCCGAGATTAGGTCAATGTCAACTTCCGCAAAGAGATCAATCTCCCCGGAACAATCAGGATCACACCCGTCTCCCTTTTTCAAGTCATTATCCTCTACAATGCGAATACGCTTTCTAGGCGTTGGACTGGCATCGTCGTCCCGAGTCCCACGAGGAGTTCGCAAAGAATTAAAGCTACAGTTGAAGGATGATTGTGAGACATTATTATCATATTTCGAAACTTTGCGGAGATTCGACTTTTTGATTGAAGATGACGGTGCGACGGGAGGTCCTTGATTGGTAGGAGTACTACATTGAGGGAGCTGATCTCCTCGCCCATCAGAAATGGCGTTGAACGAGACGACGGCATCCTCCCCAATTTCATCAATTTCCATACCTTCATACAAATAGGGGAGACAATCTTGTGCATCTCCTCTCGGAATTAGGAGGTTGGACCCATCAAAAACTTCGACCACGTCGATAATCATTTTACCACTATTGGGTGGGGATGCCAATAACGCTGCTTCTTGTGCCGGAGAAACATCCACGAACTCTTCGTCGTCATCGCAAATTTCGTTCTCACAAATTTTTGCATCCTCGGATTGAATTCTTTCAATCTCTTCATTTCTGCAAATACTTTCAATCGAAGTTGTGGACGTAGAATTTGAATTGGTTGCGGCACTATCAGTTTCTGATCCGGTCAAAGTTGGGTCCTCCTTCTTATCGTCAACGGCAGTCTTTTGTGTTGCACTAGCTTCCACTGTGTCACTCGTCACTTGTTCCGTCACTTCAGATTCACCTTCTTTGACCTCCATTATCAAGATTGCAAATTATTCGTTTAACGCCAAGTACTGCTGTCGTGCTGTGAATCCACTCCACCAAACACTGAAATTAAACCAAAACAAATTATCAACCAACACTCCATTTAAGTTCTTCTTATCGTAACCTTATGTAAATAACCCACCTCTCCTTCACCTCTTGTTCTTATCAGATCAGTGCACAACATGCACTGCAGAGAGTAAGAGATCACTCTTCCAATCCAAACAAAATCGTAGAATAATATAATATATTTAAAGTCTAATTATTCATTATATCGTATCGTATCCCCAACAAAAGTTAGGCCTCACATGTGTATGTTCAACAAGAATAAATAAATAAATAAATAAATAAATAATCTCGTCAGAGTGCAGAGGAGTCAGTCACTCGAAATGTTCTTATCAATCAAGTAGTAATAGTGTTATCAAAGTATCGATTCATCTAATCTCTATCAACTCAACACACCCCCTTCTCGATTATGTCCATACTTCAAGAGACACTGGTCAGGAAATGTCAAAATTCTTATAATTTAACTAATTGTGTAAGTAGGTCGAATCGTTAACGAGAAGATGGCCAAGTTTTAATTGGGTTTGTTTTTTATTTTGCCGATCCATCCGTACGAATGAAATGAATGTTGTGACGAAACGAAACCCGCTGCCTAAATATTTCTCTCCTCTAAACTCCACCACCGTGAGCCATCATGCAACGCTGGATATAAAATGCATGTATGTAAACTTACAAAATTATTGTTGCGAATAAATTGCGAATTTTATAGTTTTCGTAAATTGATGGATTCACATTTATTTGAAATCTTTCATCAAAGTAATAGGAAGTTTTTAGTGTATAGTTAAGTTATACAACGCATTCAGGTTACATGTTTCATGATTATTAAATACATATTCTAACGATTTTATCATAAATTCTTCAACCAATTGCAAACATTTGCAGGTAGCAAATAAAGCACCAAACGAAGTATATAAAGACTAGTATTAACAGTTGATAAAGATTTGTAGGTTTGTATGCGAAACTTTGTTCCGAATTTTGGACAGTATATTTATCTACTAAATTATCTAAGACTGTTTGTATCTTTACGCTTGTTATTGGAATGTAATTGAGGGAAAGTAGAGGTACATAATTTAACAATTTAAAGATATTTAAGGGTAAATGGAATACAACCATAGGATTTGCATTTTGAGCTCTTTTGAATTAATAAAATCGATAATTTCAATACAATTCCAGTCTTGTATTATCTGGCTGGGCTATATAATAGGTCGCATAATTGAGTAGCAAGGTATTACCACAACGCCAATAATACCGATGGCATCGGATTTAAAATAGACATTGTAATTAATTTGAATTATTAAATTATGTAAAATAGTAACTTGTACATAAGTATGTCCTCTGATTAAGAAAAAGAACGTACTACCGATTAAGTTTCTGACTCATTGATTACTATTCTAAGAAAAGGAACATGATATGGAATGTTGATCTTGATAAGTATAGTGATTAACTCAGTAATTAACATTAACGCATTAGTAGGTAAAATTATGCATACTAACTAACATTTACTATCACACATGGCGAATCCCCGTTTATGTAGTACGAAACTTATCACCTTGACTCATTGATTGCATATACTGCATAATAATAATGATAATTGTGTTATTAATTATTAAATAATTTCTTTATCCGACGCCTAGTTAGGGTAGATCCAATAAATCATTGTCCCGATAAGCAGTTTCGCAATAATCATACACACGCTGCGTCGATGCGATCACTTCATGCAGCAGGCGACGAACTTCTGATGTTTCAATGCGACCGTCACAAACCTATTTAATTAATTATTATTATTACGTATTTAGACTTATTAATTGTGTTTATAATTAAGTAATTAATTATGTACTATCTTACTCGACTTATTAAATCCTTCTTTGTCGGTAAGGCGTACCTGTGGAAAGAAGCCAATTAATTGAATCTATAAAGTGAAATTAGAAAGTACAATCATTTAATTTAATTAATGTATTTACATGGCAAGCAAGGCTCCCTTCTGGATAAGCCATGGATGGAATTTCGACAGGGTTTGGGTATAAGCTTCCTTGCATACGTGTGCCGTTCCTTCGGAGTCCTTAATCTCGTCCACTTTTCCGAGAAATTTTGATACAAAATCTAACCATGTACAATATCAAAATTTAAGTTACAAATTTTAATCTGTAATTAATAATTCCAATAATAGTAATTACTTAAAGCACGATGCAACCGAAGTAGCGTTCTGGAAGCGGAACTTTCCTTATTTTTATTGATAAAATCCGTCGTTTTCTCAAATTGTAGCATTTTCTCCTGCATAAAAATAAGGTGAAAAATAAATTCTTCACGTTGATCACTTTTCACTAATTGAGGTTTAACATACCACAGTTTCATAATGGGTCCGATTTTCTCCAGTCCTATATCCTTGCAAGATTTCGAGTTTGGTTTTCACATCCGACCCCACAAATCCAAAGACGGATCCCAACATTATGAAAAATCTAATAGTTGATTCAAATTTCGTCAATTTTTTTCATAATCACCTCCTCACTATATTTCTTCTCTTACTAACTTGTATAATTGCTGAAAGACACAAATGTACTCGTCCAAATCGACCTCATTGTCCTTCTTCCTCACACAAAGGTTGAGATGTTGACTGAGCTGGATAATGTCAAAGTGTTCTTGTTGAGCACAATTACTAGAATTTGATTGACCATCCGCCTGATCATCACTTTGAGTCGAATTTTGACGTTCGTCCCCCATCGTTTTATTAAAATTTCTACTTATTGAGCTGGACGACGATGATGATGCAGCAGTGTCCTCAGATTCAAGAGAATTGGACCATGAACTAAAATTATTATAATTTCCGTCCCCTTCTCCCTGTTGATAAGACAATAGCAACGTTTTACACGAAAAGTTGAAACTAGAAGGGGTTACATCTTCAGATTCATTTAGAAATTGGAAATGCATGAGAATTATGATGCACAAAACACACGTAGTTAACACTACGAGCACCGCTCTAAAAACCATTGTCAAATTTAATTTCAGGTCAGTATTAGTAATTTATTAAATATTCACTTGTTAAATCTTCCAGGAATTAACGCGCATGAAAATTATTGTTAGTATGTTATTGTATTTATGGATGATTGATGGATGACACTGAATGAAGTTAGTACTTAAAAAAAGAGTTGGAGATTATTTATTGTTGAATGTTGTGTAGAGTTAAAGGGAAGTCTTGGATAAATTTACTCGAGCAAGATAAGCCCTACAACATAAAATTGGTCACGTCTTCTTCAGTCAAACACAAGACCAAATGTCAACTACTCGGTGCTCAGCAAATCGCATTTACTTACATACAATTAGTAAGCATTTAATGTTATGTGAATTGAATAAAATTGCATGAGATGAACGTGCAGAGAGGAGAGGAGAACTTGTTAATTGTTAATGTATATCGGATGCCATATTACATTATTTATGACTCTTCCAGTCATCCAGACTCTAATGATTATCATAAAGGGTTAACAATTTAAACCTTACTCATTCACAGCACAACACGAACGAACGAGCAGCTAATTGAAAATTGATTGCGTGACAAATTTAAGAATGGAGAGAAATGTAGCTATTTATTATTGTTGGGTTTGGTCATTCATCATCATGACTTTGTTGGAGTGGTCAACACAGGAAATGAACATTTTGGACTGGGCAAAGCTATTTGTAATGAGGAATGAAATTACAAGGTGAACGTGACCTACAACATGTGAAATTGTTACTAATTTTGTAAACCGAGTTTTTGATGGATTATTTATAATTTAGATGAGAAAAATAATGTGACATCATTTAATTTATCGACAGTCTTAATTTATGGTCGGAATGAGGAATGAAAATCATACTCGTTGTCTTATCTTGTAAAATGATATGCTTCTCATCTTACTTACACGGAGTTTATGCACTTATCAACTTGTCACTCGTAATAAAGTAAAATGACACGTCTTATCAAATCAGGAGAAGTTAAACCTGGTGAACTTTAATATCTGTATCAGGATAAAAGTTAATTTTTGTGAACGGGCACATGCACCGAGCAAGACCAATAAAAATTAGATGTCAACCTACACAGTTTTTTATAGCCTTATTATTGCACCCTTCTTTTCAATTAAGATTTTTCAATGAAGAAACCAATACCAATAAGATAACAGAGCTGTTTATCCAGTTGCATGAAAATAACTCAGTGAATCGATTTTCAATACGAAAAGTTAAATAGTAATTTTGTAATAGAGAGGCCCTGACCTTTGCAACCAACTTTTAATAACTTGCTAATGCTACATATCGACGTTTCAAGCATTAAATTATATAGGATGCAGTCGTCTTGCGGAGAATTTGCAATTGTTGATTATTTGACTATTGCATTGTCATTCTTCGGCGACAGGTTGTGGATTTTTGGGTATATACAAATATTTAAATATGCCCAGGTGCGATCGCGTTTAGATTCTATAACGTCGTATTATTATATAATCTTACTCGATGCAAATTGGCAGAATCATTTTGCCAAACGAGTCAACGTTAACCGTCATGCTAATTAAATTACAAGTTAATGTAGTTACTTCACATGACAGATTATTATAGAATCATGATTCAATTCTAGCAAATATCATATTATTCTGCCAGATGAATAGTATTATTTACGTGATTGAGTGCTCCTGTACGATGTTAACCTTCATTCCAAATTTGTTAATTGACAAATTACACTCGAGTCGAGAGTACAGCTGGCACCGTGTCAATTTAGAATTGTATTTTGCAGTGCGAATCGCAATTTCGCACATTTGACGCAATAATTAACTACGGATTTTAAAAATTTGGATGCAATAGTTTTCAATAAAAATATGCAAAATCTGTAATTGAAGTAAAACCGAAATGAAATAATTCCACGACCAAAGTAAAATAAACCTACCTCCGATAAAGTATTAATCAATCTTTTCTTAAACCTTCACAATTCACAAACTCGCACAAAACTAAAATTTGAATTGATGTCACAACTTTTACATTTTTATAGACAACTTAAAAAAATTGACCAAAAACTGATTGGGTTTTTACAGAAAAAAATACAGGGTAAATGTTTTTGTGGTTGAATGAAAGTGAAAGGGTTGAGTTTTGAACATATTGCGAATGATGACGATACAGCTCAATGACTCAACGTTTATGCATATTAGATACGACTTAATATCAGGATTTGGGGTTATCATTTTTATTATCCTGTCGATAAGAACACTGGAACATGACATTATTACTTTTATTACATTGATGTTGTCCCAAGATATGTGAGTAACTTGAAATATTTCGTACCACCAAAAACAATTTACAAAAAAATCATTATCGGCATTTGATCATTACATGAAAAATCATTATGAAAAATCCTGAAAATTTTAGTAATTTTCCAACATTTTAGAATATTTTTATCAAAATTTCATCTAGCTAAATAAACAATGCAACACACTACGAAATACTATTGTAAACCTTGACTTTCCTTAAAATCTCCATCTTTTTTTCATACTTAAAATATTAACCTATTGTTCTCTCAAACTCTCGGTTTCATGCATTTTAAAATGCAATCTGGGACCAGCACCAATTTCCTTTATTACCTCCTTGAAACTTTTACGACATATTTCCTTCGTCCTGGACGGGAACAATGACATTGTAAATTTTTCTTACTTCGTTTCGTCGTCACCTCCAAATATCATTCAAAAAACAGACTCGTCACTTAGTCTGGGTCTCCATTCTCCGTCTTCAAAAGTAGTTCTTCAAAATTTTTAGTTTGGAAAAAATGAAGCTCTTTTTAGCCACAATTTTGCTAGTCGGTGTACTTGAAGTTGTAAATGGGTCACCTGGCGAGGCCCGGATTCGGGAACAATTCGATAAGGAGCATGAAGAAGGCGTTGACCGTGTCCGACTCAAGATGCACGACCTTCAAGCTGGAGAAACTGGGAATAAGGATCGTCAATATCAAGCCCAACAGACGGATACTGAACTTCGAGTAAACGGACCGAAACGTGGACGAAGTCGGCCCCGTGACCGTGGTGACCGTGACGAGGAAGAAGGGTTCGGAAAGGAGGTGGACGACCGAGAAGGGGACGACGGGCGTGCTGATCGTGGGCGTCCAAGCAGAGATCGCGAGGACAGAGGAGAACGTCTCAGCAGTCGGGATCGGGCGGATAGAGACCGATCTTCAGATAGAGATCGATCTTCTTACCAGAGGGACAGGGCAGATCGTGGGGACCGGTCCGAAAGAGATAGAGAAGATCGAGTCGAAGGTTCCGGGGAAGTTGAGGAAGATCGGAGACGCCCCCTCAGCTCGGATGAGGAAGATCGTAGAAGAGAACGGGCAAAGAAACGGGGTGGGAGCGGTGGTGGTGGGGGTGCCAGTGGTGTTGATTTGTTCGTCAAGGGCACTGATAAGAAGGTATCGAGATTGTAACTGCTAAAGTCGACCTAAAATATGCGTCTGATGTGCAATTTTTGTATGCTTGCAGATTTATGACCGCCAACACGAGGACATTGCGCGATTCGCCAAGCAAGATGACATCGACTTTGCGAAGGACTCGTACCGTAAAAAAGACAAGTCTTCCCACAAAAAAGAGGAGGTTTACTCTACGAGACGATAATTTATTTCTTTGTCATAAACTAACAATTATTAATGTAATTTTATGACATTTGTAATTTGATTAGAGGTCCAATTTGAAATTAAATTAGAGACAAATTTTCCTTTGAACGGTTGTGTTGTTATCAGCCTCATCCTTTCCAGCCCCACCCACCACCACCGCCGCCGCCTCCCCCAAAACCACCACCGCCCTTCCCCTTTCCTCCGCCGAAACCACCCCCTCCACCACCGTGACCTCCTTTGAAACCACCCCCACCGTGTCCACCACCATGACCCCCACCGCCCTTTCCGTACCCACCCCCTCCACCACCATGACCTCCTTTGAAACCACCCCCACCGCCATGTCCTCCACCACCACCCTTCCCGTACCCACCTCCTCCATGCCCACCACCTTTCCCACCCCCACCGCCTTTAAACTTTTTGAATATCTTCTTGATAATCTTGCCTCCTTCCACCTCGCTCGGCGTTAAACACACCACGACCAATACAACAATCAAAACGAACGCCTATGTAGTGAGAAAATCATGTGTTAACCAAAATAAGTATTCGACTCGACGCTACCGAAAGAAAACCGATTCAAAAACTTACCCATATCGAAATCTTCATATTTATATATTTCTCACAATTTCAGATAAACACAAAACCCCTGCGTGTTTCTGGTTCAACTAAAACTGTTCCTTCGTCTCATTTTAGGATGGCATTTTATACCAGATTTATATGTGTCTCATTCTTGATTGTCCACCAACCACTCGACGACATGCACTTTATTTCATCTCCTGCATAAAACAAGACAGTTTTGAAGGAGGAAGGTTACAGTGATACATCTTCCTTCCCTTATTTAAACCATATAAATACATCCATAACTATAGGCTTCCTTTGTACCTATCTATCTACCTACCCTTTATCAATATGTACCTGCATTCTGTAATTTTCAACCATATAGTGCACACATTCTATGGAAAATTAATACAGTAAAAAATGAGAACCTACTTTATATCTATGCGTCCTTTAGTTCCACGACTGTTTAACCAGTCTCATTTCTCTAAGATTATTATTAATTTTGTTTTTCATCATTTCTTTTCTTTCTTCAAATCGCAGGTTTAGGTACTAGGTCCAACTTAACAATTCATAATTCATATAAATATGAACAGAGAGTGAGTAAGGAGACCTTATGCTTTTTGAGAGAATAATGCGATTCCCTACTGTTTGCCCTTCTCGGCCTGTCACGACAAAAAGTGAATGCAAATGACAAAATTGTTTCGACGTGAGAAAAACTTAAAAATCAAATCGTTTAATCTATAAATTAAACATGGAATTGCGTAATCTCGGTGTTAGCTACGGGGATAATAATGATGGAGATGGGGGAAGGAGGTACTTGATCATTTTGTTTAAAAATATGGTACACTAATTAATTAAAGATGCATACATTTTAAAAACAATATTTCAAATTTATGTATGTCCTCTACAACCGATTATATCACTACAAAAAATGCATATATTTTGTTTGTATTTTGACATTTGCAAATGGTTTACTTCCCAAAATACTAAATTATTTATATAAATACTTTAATCATTGTACTCGTATTCGTTATTCTTCCTTCGAGACTTTCCTTGTTTGAGCATATCCTGTAATTAATAATAAAATTTCTGAGAATTCGTAGCCACGTTTTATTCCTATTTTTCATACTTTGTGGTCAACACAGAGAAAAAATATGTAAGTTATTCCAAATTTCTTACCATTGCAATTACAAAACCGAGTAAGAGTGCCTTATCGAGGGGGGTGACACCTTCGGCTATGTGGAGCATGAAGCTTAACCCACTTTTGCTCGTTACCCTTCCAACTAATTTATTGTTAGGTCTAAAAATCTGGATAAGATGGAAATTAATAATTAGTTTTTTTCTATGTTAACTTTTAATTATCTAAAAGTCTCACATTATAATCAAGGGTAGAGCTGCCGTGCGTATTGGATGGAGAATTTTCTACTGTGAACAATTCTGTATTTTCCGATTCTGGAATGGTTATCGAGTACGAGGGGGGCTCGAATTTGCCTCCGTATTTAATTACGCGACATCTAGGACTTGACCCGGCAGGACAAGCGATGACGGCTTCCTGTTGAATTTCGGAATTGGAAGTTTGAAAAGTTATAAAATACCTTGTACTTACATTGACCATAGCTGAATTTTCAAACTGGACAGTAGCAACCTTCTGTAATTATTAATAAATAATTATTAATAGGGTAATTTGCATATTGTAATTAATTCTGAATTTTCTAACCTTGCCCCTTAAATTGGAAAGATTGATTTTTCTCATCGCCACGGAGGAAGTTGTTTGTCCTCCTGCCGACTTATTTTTTGTAGAAAGTTGTAGTTTCCGTTTGAATGAGCCTTTCAAAAGGAGATTTCTCTTATCGCTAGAAATTTCTGAAATACAATTTTAATAAATAATTAAAAAAACACATTTTTTCATAAAATTTTATTAATGTATGTATGTATTTTTACCATGAGTAGTATTTGGATGGAAGAAATCTGTAATGACAAGTCCATAGTCTATATAAATGAGTAGTTAAGATAACTTAATTGAATGTACGGTAATGTAATAAGGAAAACGTTTGATACACTCACCATCAACTTTTGGCTGGATGATGAACAACCAAATGTTTTTTAGGGGGTCGAGGAGTTGCAGATATTCTGGCGTCAGTTCCGGTATTTGAGGTGATTGAGATGCCATCACTAATATTGAATTGGAAAAAAATATTTTCAAAATCATCAGCACAAATTAGTCTCAAAATAATGATGAATTACATTGTCCTTGTGAACACGACTCTTCCACTTGTACTTGTACTTTGGTATTTTCTGCATCTTTCTGCTGTCCATCATCAGGACTGGATGCCTTGTCCGAATGCTTCTTACTATTCCCTTTTCTTCTTTGTGCGGAAAACATTTCCAAATTTTGTGTCCGATGCTGATACGATTTTGCAAAATCCAGTAGAGGCAATTTATTAGGCATCAGCACTTTTATTTTGACTAAAACTTGCAATAAATTCACTAAATCGTACCACAAATACTCCACTTATCCAAATAAGCTCAATATTTAGCACAACCACTTTCAAACGACTATTGAGCCAAAAATTTGCACACAGTGGATGAAATATTCCTGCTGTCCTAAAAAAAAGCGTGGTCCAAAACCACAAAACCAAAACCGCTGAGACATACTTGCATTCATAAACATAATTCCAGAAATGTCCAGATTTCTCAAAGTATTCCAGAGAAATTCAATATGTAATTTATGTAATCAAATAAACCAGTAAGATACACACGCTATGTGCTACATATGTTAATTGCCATTCATTTTAGCATGCTTAAAAACTCATGAAACGTCGACTTGTATGGAAATCCGGAAACTTTATTTTCTTTAAATGAACATTGCATTGTATCGCAAAATCCTTGGCATTGGTAAAGTTCAGTGAGTAAGTTTTGATGACGAGGCATTTTAATTTTAATGCTTTTTCTTCTTCTCTCATTTTTAATAGACATTCATTCTTACGAACATGCGTACTATTCATAAAAATGAATATGTACGTACATACTTGATGAATTGATATTGTGGAGTGAGTGACATATTCTGAGAAGGCTGTATTTTTTACTGGCACAGACAGCACATTGTGAGGTTAACAAACGCTAAGTATCCAATTGTGAGGATCGAACGTTGGAAAAAATTACAAACAAGGAAAATGAAACTAAAAGTGCTTTTAAATTGGGCGATAAAGGTTTGAAAATCTCGAGACAAAAGTCATCATTTTGTTCATCTCTGGGTTGATGGTGGCGTTTGTTTTGTAGCAGGGCTGCGGTTAGAAGTGATCTTTCTGCTCCTAAGATCTGGAAGCATATTTGGAAAACATTTTGTTTTGGGAAAATAAATAATAAATGTTAATAATAATTATAATTTTTTACCAAAAGTTGAAGACCTTGGTGAGGTGCAAGGTTTGGTGTGATATGGAAAGTGATTTGGCTGTATGAATCAAGAATTTCATAAGATTTTATCCCTTGCGATGTTGAGACGCGAATTAAACCAATCATTCCGTTAGAACTTAGAATTTCCACTTCCTGAAAAAAATTAAGTGGTAAAAATCTATGAAAATTTAAGACAAGGCAGATTAAGATAAGAGCAAAGTTGATTACAGATTTATTCCAAAAACAGTGCAATCCTTTGAACGAATCCACGGTTAAAATTTTCCTTGAATTGAGATCAAAAATTGAGACGGGGGGAGAAAATGGGTGGAGAAAGGAACGCCTTCGAACACCAACGAGTATGGGATGCTTGCTTTTACCACAAACTTCAATGTGGGAACATCGATTGAGTAAAGATTTCATGCTTCGAAGGGCACCTCCGTCTTTTCAAAATCCAAAATCAGACACAAAAAATATAGTGGTCAGATCAAATATGAATATTTCAAAAATTTACCAGATTTGTACGCCGTTTTAAAAATGAATTTGTCGAAAGATGTCAAAATTTCGATTCCTTTGGGGCGATGGAGTCCAGAAAATTGTGGCATCCAAGCTGAACAGTTAAATACTTATCATAATCAACAACAAAAATTTTTAAAAATTAAATTTAAACCCACCTTCATAACTCGTATTCGACGCCCTCCTAGATTCCGTGGGGTTCAAATCGTTCGCAAAAACCATTATATTTCTAACCTAAGAAAATTACGGAGAAAAAAAAATCCACAAGTTTCCACCAAATAATTCCACACTTTTAACTTTTCCTCTCGATTACAGCCCCTTTTCGTGACTAGATTGGACTGGACTGAACTTTGGTTTTCCGATACGACAGACACGACAACTGGAAATTAAATGTCAGACTTTCTCCAAACTATAACACTTCACGCAACCAACTTTCTTCCCAAGAAGTAGATAGGTACCCAATTTACGGCCACAAAAACTTCTTTTGCGAATACATATCATTACTTACTGACAGTATAAGCATCGTAATAATATGAATGTATGCCTACAGCCATTACATACATATTAGTACATGCATACAAATGAGGTCGTTGCGAATTGATGGGTGACAAGGCAAGGAGGGGGAGAAGAAGAGGAATGGATGGATTGGCGATATTTACATGAATTTATTATACCGAAATTTACCTATGTATCAAAAGGAGCTACATAAACCAGCCAACTTTTTCCAATGTTATGTAGCTATTAGGCTGAAGTGAAAGCAAGTAATAAAATAATGATACATAAATATACACGATGGAGGTGCAGGTGTTATCCTTATCGTGTCGTCGAATGCATGCACAGCGAGTGGTGGTACAAAGTCTTGTGTATGAAATGAAAGCACTATTTGTACTTATGTACTTTAAAAGGGAGGCAAACTTTACTTCCTCCTTGTTTACTTTGCTTTTCCGTTTGTCATAAATTTTTAACGCTTCCTTTCCCCCTCGCAAACATGGGTAGGCAGTTATGTCGATACGCCCTGTGGTATCAACGTGATGGAAAAGTTTTCTAGTGCTCAATTAAAATTGGGTAGTGTTCAATTTAACAATTGATAATGATGAGTGGTGCAAATTGCAAGGTAGGTATGGCAAGTGAAAATATGGGTACAACTTTCGGAACCACTTTTCTGCGGCGGACTTCCGCATTCCCATTAAGCAAGCAAGTCCAAAGAACTTTCCATTATGATATTGGTTGATTGGAAAGTTGTGGTGGTTTGGGTTTTTGTGGAAGAAAAAAATTTACGCAGTTGTTGGAAATCAATTGTCGTTCTTCGTTGATTGTATTAGCAATTTGCATTATTAGTGACACGAATTTCTTCCAGGCTTGATGGGAGAGAGAAAGGAGTGAATGAATGAATGGATGAATTAATGACTATTATTTGTTACTGACTGATTGACGGACGGGGTAAATTGCGAGGAAGTGAAAGTAACAAAGAACGAGTGTGACTTCAATTATCTTGTCAGTTGTATGGGAATTATTAGTGATGAACGAATTTTGAGAAAAACAAGAAAGTTCTTGAAGACCTTCTTCTCTAGAAGGTCGAAAATGCACTCGATGCATTCCATCCAAGTGACGATTAGATAACGACGATGATAAAATGTAAAATATAAGTCGGGATCGATTTATTTTTGTTTAGAAATTCACTTTGAATTTATTTTCGCAATATAAATAGACAAGCTTTATTCGAAATTGAAAAGGAATTGGGACAAGAGCCACTCCTTCTCGGAGCGATCGAGCTATATCATCAGCGTGTCCTTTGAACAAGTCCTCTCAATAAATTATTATTGCATGTCATGCAATTTTATTCTAAATTTATTTATATACAAAACTATATATTTACTCGCTAACAAACTGCACTTCGCTAAATTATGCATGGAATATGCAGTACATAAATACTGCCTTATATAAAAGCTTGACAAGTATTTATACGCATGCATGGATTTCTTCTTAGGCCAAGGTTATCCGGATACAAGGTTATCTCGACATGAGGTACATTAGTAAGAGGGTGAAGGACAACATCAACCCTTTTGCGGCAGGGGAAGAAGGGGCATATAATTTAAGGATGAATTTCGATTCTTCAAGTCTCACCAGGGTTGCTAGACAGAGTTTATTATGTGATATGGGACCATCTTGGTCTTTGTCGGCGTCATTTTCGGCTGGATAAATCTTTAAGAAATTTATATGGTTAGAAATCATCCATTAAGTAATTAACCTAAATAATTAGCGATAGTTTACACGCACTTGGAATTCCACACCGCCAGAAATTCGATTAAACCTCGCCGCTCTGAGAAAAACTTCCCCGTCACCGTTTTGAATTTCGTAATGATTTGTCCAATCCTCCTTCACCATGATGTGACCCAGCACACCTTGAATACTGAATACCGTGACACCCTGTGACAAATAAAAATGCATATGTAACTCAACACACTCACGTAACCCCAATTATTCTGAAAAGTTATGTAATATGGTTACGCTAATCACTTCAAGTACTGTAGTTTTCTCGCCAGTGTCCACCTTTTTAATTACGAGCCCCAACACTTGTCTTTGGAAGGTTGGATTCACATCGAAAATATCAAGTGGGCTGTCTTCCAGACCAATAAAGCGTCTTTTTGGCTTTGCCATCTGTTTCACGACGTAAACCCCGTCCGGTTCTCCGTTTTCTTTACGGCAGGAAATATCACAGTTGAATCCGAAACCTTGATGGTGTTCTAAATACATTTAGGAATTTGTAAATGACATCAAATTATGGTAATTATGTACAAATTTCGACTATTCATACTTTCACATGTCCTGGAAAACACGAACGTATTCGGACTCCACAACCGGTCCAAGAGCAAGCCATCCGTTCTAACCATGTCACCCCCACTGCCAGATTGGATTAGGACGTTCCCCAGCCTGAAGTCCACAGAGCGAAGTCTACCCAGTTGCACGTCTATCGGAAACAATACATTTTTTATGGAAAATCCAAAATTATCACCATTTTTCACGTAGTATTTACCTGCATAATCGTTGGGGTCGGACTTTCTCCTCCGCGTGGACGCCTTATTACTTCCCCCCGTAATGAAGCGATTGGGTCTCGACTGGTCTGGCAAACTGACACTCGTGCTCACCGTGCTATGCTTACTGTTCCCCATGGAGTTACCTATCGTGACGTTTTTTTGTGCAATGATAAGGTCAACTTATCAATTAGTGTGTGCCTACAATTTTCAGTCTCTCATGTTCCCTCGTGCCTGCATAATCTCAACTAAGGACCGACCCCCAGCTATGCGGTCGCTTTATTTACTCCTCTGCAGCAGCTGCTTTCCTGATTATAGAAACAGGAACGTCAATTTTTCTGGACCGGATGGGTGATGTGACCAACCACTTGGACACGATGGTGATGAATAATATGGCAGTACGGAGAAAAAAAAAGTCTTGTTAGTTATTTTGCCGGACAATGATAATGAAATGGCAAATAGTCGACGGTAGCTTACGTACGGCTGCATGATGATGATGATAGAGTGACATGCGGCTTAATATATCGGCGAAAATGGTCATTGCTCACTCAACCACCTCTCAACTTTTGGTATCAAACCTTGTTAGTTGCTGCTTCGGCTGCTGGTAGTTGTGGTAATATTTGTAGGATTGGTGTTTCTTCACATATTCATAATCGATCACACTTTAGCGACAAAGCAAATACTTGTGCGAGAAGGAGGAATAGTCAATACTTGATTCATAGAAAAATACAGATATGCGAAACATACGCAATTTCTACTTTACTCGTATGTGATGCTCAACTTTTGTTACTATAAACTTTCCCCGTGTGAAATTCACGTCAAATGTCACTAACACACACGTAGTAAGTACGTTCAACTTACAACTTTCTCCCTGGAATCGTTCGTCTATGCACGGTTCAAGTTTTATGGAAGTTGATCACACACACAGACATATTTTTTTATGGGGGAATGCAAATGCGTCAACCAATAACAAACACATGGCTTAATCTGTAGTAAACGTAATATCGTGAGTTATTTTATGGGAAATGTGTAGAATATTTATAAATAAATTGAAGGGAGGAGGGGGGACACGAACGGAAACATTTACATGCAGCCTTGATACTGAACTTGGTGGTGGTCTGACATGGATGAGAGACGCGTGTCGTGGAATAGAATATGTTGTGACGTGACAGAAATGACGTTTGGGACAGAAATGCAAAAATAAATGCAGAAATGCAAATACGGAGAAGAGCTGTCTGGAAATTGACGTTTTTCGCCTATTTTAGTCGAATTGAAGTCAGTTTTCCGTTCTAAACGACTTGGAAAAGTACGAATTTACAAGACTAATTGATTTCCATCACGAAGTGCTCACTGCTACTCCTACCTTGAACTATTGGTCGGTAGTAGTACGGGTAAATATCCGTATATACAAAGCTGTCCTGCGTCTAACCTTGGCTTATCGAACGGCGTCTTCATTGTGCTTATGTGATCAATTGAATTCTTATGAATTCTTCTCTCTCTCCAGGACTCTCTGCTCAGGAGACTTATTAATAAATAATTTCCAAAAACTCTATTGTCAAAGAATTTGTATAGAATTGAAATGATTGATGAAAGGATCCATATTATAAACGTGAACAAAAGACTGGACTAGGTGCTCCAAATTCCATTATTTCTGCCCGCATGGAACACGGCCAGACTGTGCTTTCCCCTCCGCGAAAAGGTTCCATTATTATTGTGAAGGAATAGTAAAAGCATAACAATTTTTCCCATTTCAAAATAAACTAAAGTATGAGAGTCGATAAGAACTTTGGTATTGAACACTTCGATAAAAAAATACTTTTGTGACACGAACAATAAACATGAGATTATGAGCGTCATTGTAAATATAGATATAATTTTTAATGCTTAACAATATTTAGGGAAAGACACGTATATATACCGTATAAATATTAATAAAAATCTATAATGTCCCCCAGGCCCCTCGTTTACTCCCATTTTCACCTCCACCACCACCATCTCCAAACCCTCCTCCTTTTTTCCTTCCTTGAAACTTGTTTGACCTAGAATGACCGTGATGTGACTTTGCTGTCGAAAATATAAGACACGTATGTACACATTTCTCATAAATAAATAAAATATATAATTGCACACTTAATTAGTAGACTCACCGTTAAAATCGAAAAGATGCACCGTTAACGGTGCATCTTTATAGATTCGTAAGCTGAAAGATTGCGGGGGTGCAACTTTGTTAGAAGCCGTTAAAGGGATGATGTCCTTTTTAATGACGGATGAACTTTGTTCACTCTATAGTCACAAAGGGAAGCGGGGAAAATTGTCGCTGGCCGATCATGCTCTTCTTGTGAATTCGATTTTTGGTAAGTGAAAATAAAAATATCGTATTATGGTTTGAGTTCATTAATCAGACCCTTTCGTATGAATTTTTTATCGAGCGGGGTCATTTAAAGCTAATTATGAGCGCGTCTAATTATGTGAATTGCTTAATTAATTATTAGATGCACTGATGAGAAATCCACGGACATCTGGAGAAGCAACCTTGATTAAGTATTATGAAGTGCTTCCGACTGTTTTGAAGCAAGCCCATGATCGAGTTAGACAAAGGAGGTAAGTACAGAAACATTAAATTAATATATATATTTCTATGAATATATATCAAATTGAATCGTTGTATAATGTATGGACTATTTTATTATTATTTAGAAATGTAGCTGCTCAACCTGGCAATCCTGAGTGAAGATAAAATTATAAATTATATCATTAACTTATTAATTTTTTGATACAAATTGTATTGGTAGTTATTTGTTGTAAAATAAATTAAGACACAAACAATGCAATGTATTTTGTATGCTACTTTTTTAATCCCAATGAAATCGCATAAAATTCGAGAGGAATTCGATATTCAGGCAAATACGAAATCTCGTCGATTAATGCTGGAAATCGTGTCGCCAATATCTCCGAATAATCGAGAGGATTTCCTTAGGTCTCGCTGGACATTTAACTGTAAATTCGAGATCTTTTCGAGCTACCCTCGCTTAGAATCGAGAGGCTTTTTTATCTCGAAATCGTAGGGAATTCCTATGCCTTTGCCCGTTGGGTTGTGGCAGGAAATGTTGTAGATCTGACCATTCCAGGTTTCGAATGAGCTACGGAAATTTTATTAAATTTTTTAAACCAGTTTTGTATAGCTCCTCCACCTCCACCAGATGTTGAGGAATCACTTCCTCCCCGAGTGCAAATTGAACTGAACCCTTGTCCCATTCTTAAAATTGTAATGACTAAATAGTCGGTTAAGAAGATTGTAATTAAATTTCAAAGTTAATTCGGATTTAAATTTCAAAATTCCTCAAAAATATATATTATTCCCAAAAAATAGCAACAGTTTGCCTCGTGAAGGAACCGAGTAAGTAATAAATGCGATAATGTCAATGACAAATATTTGGTGAAGCCGTCTTGATCGACCTTCTTTCTTTTTTAACTACCGGAACGAGGGGAAAGGAGAAAGTATAGTAAAATAAAAAGTATCTAATATGTAAAGTATGTATGGCATGCATGCCTATCTATCTGGACTATGAAAATGGGTAATGGATCAATAATACAAAATTACATTGCACGAGTATTGAATGAGCAAATTGCATATTTACTTAAATAAATGTGAAGTATTGAGTACATATTGTGCTCAAATTTCCAAATTAAACGCTCTCTCTGACGAAAATGTGATTACTTATTTATGCATATTTTGCATACAATACTGTCGGTCGGTGGAGGTTTTTAATGACGATGCAGAAGAGGGACCTTACTAATTACTTACCTTTTTAAGCAGAATCAAGTAGTTGACATAGAGAATCCAGGTATGGGTCTACTTCTTCGGCAATATAGGTGAATCCAAAGAGGTCCTCAAAAAATGCATTAGCTAATATTTCCAGGCCTGTGAATAGGAAATATTAATTAATTGTGATGCATTTATACATAAATATGTATGATTTTTAATTTAAACTATAAATTTGCTAAAAAATCTTATTCTTACGTTCTTGAGGATCATCAACTAGTCCAGCTTCCAAGCCATCATCTTTAACCCCACCAGCTTTGTCTTCAGCCCCAATAACCTTTTCATCGACGCCAATGTCATCTTTTTTCGGTTGGTCGTTTTCTTTTTCCTCCTCGGCATCATCGTCTAATGTGATCACCTGAACTGGTGGGATTTCTTCCGATTTTCCAGCAAGGAAATTTCTCCATACCAATTCTCTCGGTTTTTCCGCCGGGTAGTAGTTTTCTTTTTTCACGTCGTCATCATCATCGATTGTGATCACTGGTGGTGAGAATCCTTTCGCCTTTCGAGTCATGCCGACCCCATAACTTCTTCGTACAAAACATTTTTTTGATTTTTTCGCCCGGCCGTTTTCTTTTTCCTTGTCGTCATCATCATCTATTGTGATCACTAAGATTTTTTTCGCTTTTCCAGTCATGCCGACCCCATAACTTCTCCTAACACGCTTTTCTGATTTTTTCGCCAGGACGTTTTCGTTTTTCTCGTCGTCATCATCATCTATTGTGATTACTTGTGGTGGGATTCCATCCGCTTTGCCGACCCTACGCACGACCTCTTCTGCATGTGTCGCCAGGAAGTTTTCGTTTTCCTCGTCGTCATCATCGCAATCTAGTTCGATTAGTTGTTCGAAATTTTGAGCAATGTCACAGCTTCCCCGTTCTTTGTCGTTTTTCGCCTCGTCGTCAGCCTTCTTCGTCTTGTCGGGAACGTTTTCTTGTTCTTCATTATTTGTTTCGACTACGGAAATGGGCGATGGCAGGATGACTTCATCGTTTCGAGCAATGACGACTCGGCAAACTCTCCGCAAGCAGTCCTCCTTCCCTCGGAGTTCAGCAGATCGTCGTAAAAGTTCTTCGGCGTCCTCCTTCTCAACCTCTTCCATCAAGAAAGGACCGCTCGCCCCGTTCGGCACCATTCCCGGAACCTGCAAATGGATAAAATACAATACACCAGTAAATAAACCAATTCTGAATTAATTTATGATTCCCCTCATTGTTTATGAACTATTTTTCCTCTCTCTCTCATCATCTCACCTGAATCCAGGCGTGCATTTTTAACCAGCGATCGATATCTACTTCACTGACGCGAGTGTGCCCTTCTTGATGAAGATAGCGCTTGAGGTCGGTTCGGACCTTGGATAAGTCTCGGTCTTTCTTTTGCATTTTCTTTCTGAACCGAAGGATATCTTTCTTAATCTGATGCGTTAACCTGGAAAGAGTAATTACAGCAGGTTAACAAACATTTAAAACTTAAAGGAGATCGATAAAATTAGTTGGTTAAATTAATTCTAGTGAAATTATAATAATTAGTTAACTTACGATTGGTTCTTCCCCATTTTGTTCAAACTGGTCTCCAATAAACTGGTCTTCAATTATTAATATTGGTTGGCAAACTTTTCAGAAATCTCAGAAACTTAAAACTTGAGAGAGAGGCTGGAGAAGTAGATCTTCTAACCATGAAGTCTGGATGATGAATGACCAAAGAAATGTATTTACTGAGCAGTCAAACCATGAAATGCTGATATCTAGAAGCGAAGCTTCTCAATGATCCACCAAGCAGTCAAGCAACGCCGAAGAAGAAGCGTGCCCAGCAAGAGAAAGGAAGACAACATGGCGCGACAGGAATGCAAGCAAGCAAACAAACAGACCAAAATAGAGTGCAGAAATATGTGGGTAAGTAATATTATCATTTTGTATTCCTCATGATCTGAGAAGATAAGAGTTTAAATAAAATTCAAAATTGTATTTATTTCATTGATACAATTTTACTTTTTGGACAAAACATGTATTAATTAAAACGGATATGATTGATTGATAATATCAATCACTTTTTTATTATTAATTGGATATCTTTATCCATAGGTATGATTCCTCATAATATTTAGCATATCGTTGTAAAGGTAAACATCAGCATCCTTTCCGATAACGAAGTCCATGTGATCCCAAGTTGAATAATTGACTCGACTGAGCTGTACGACATTAGGACGCAAAGCGTTAGCCGTTGCAAGAACGTCCTAAAAAGCGAAAGAATTAGTATTGCCAACAATCTGATTAAATTTGAAATTGGTATTACAATTGGCACGGCAAGATTGTCGTTATCGCCGTAATAAATGACCGTGGGGACGTGGTACTTCGACCAATCGTAGTTTGGGGGCAACAGCGAGCCATATTCTGCAAAATTGTTTAGTCCGTAGTCGTATTGTCGAAACGTTCCCAAAGTGGCGTCCTGAGCAATATGGGCGAATGTCTTGGTGGAAGTGGTATCAGGCAAGTGAGCCAATATTCCTGGTAATTCCCTCTATTTATATAAAAAAAATATGGCGTACGATTTTGCACCAAATTGTAAAAAGTAACAGCAAAATACACCATCTTACAAAATCTGTCTGACACATGTCAATTCCGAATAATACTCCAAAAACGGTATTACAAACACCGCAGTTTAAAGTGTACTGCGTACAATATGTCGTAAAGTCTCCGATGTACTGCTGCATAACTTGGGGCAGGAATTGACCTCCACCAAGTTGGTTTATGGTTTGCTGAAAGAGTATTTCAAGTATTAAAGTACGAATAAATCTTTTGAAGAAAACTTAGGAACTTATTTTTTCGCGAATTCTCGCGATTTTTTTATATTTTTTTAGTACTTCCGTCGCAGATATCACAAGAAAGGGAGCCGACGCTCTAAAGAAGGCATTCGTCATGTGGTTAATATAACCACTCGTCGCTAAAGAAAACATGGCTCTGATTTTAGACGCCAGACCTGGATTTAAAGAAATCCCAGAAAAAAACTGCGTCGTCCCGAGGGAGTGACCGACGTAGTAAATACGTTGAGATGTCAATGAATTTATATAGTTGACAGTGGCTGGCAAATCGTAGAGTCCCATTTCATGAAAGCTGTAAAAAATTTTGGAAAAAGTGATGAATATTCACTCATAAAGGATTACGCTACGAAAATGTACACCTAAAATCCCAGTAGGTCAAATTGTTGGGATCGTTACTTGGGAGAAAGGTGTGACCTCGCGAGTACGAAGTTCCACGACTATTTCCCAACCATACGTCAAAACCAGAATCGGCCAACATAAAAGCTGTGTACATATACTTGGTTTTTAGCATCATTCCTAAATTTGATTTTCAGTGACTTGCGCACATATTAATAATATTTACTTTAATACCAAGAGATCTATCTGGAGGTTGCCAAAGCCATTGCACGCTAGAGGCGAGGACGCCATGAACCAGAAGGACCGGAATTTTCCCCAGTGCCGGTGGAGATGAGTTTGAATAGGGAATTCGGTACATGGTCAAAATGTAGTGATCGGCAGTGGTGACATTGTGTTCTTCTACTGGGTAGCCTAAGCGTTGGATGAGTTGTGGCTGATCAAATTTATTTCAATATTAAATTAGCATAATTATCAGTAAGTAATGTACTTTAATTGGGTAATTGTACGTGAATACCGTTTTCAAATCTGCGTAATTTGGATACGTGGTAAAAGCTTCTTGGACCAGATTCCCACAAATCATGGTGAGGGCGTCACATTCTGTTAAGTCGCCAGATACTAAGGAGGCCCATGTCCCCACAAGAAGTAGGGACAAAACTTTACAGATATCCATGATTCCCGACTCCCGAGGAATTTAGATTTGGAACTGTTTTGACAATATGTGTGGGACTAGTGAGAAATATCCTCTTCAAATTCGCACCAGCTAAAATTCGAGGCTCAATTGAAATGATAACTTCCAAGATCAGTGATTCTGACCCAGAGTTAGGACATCGTCAAGGTTCAATGAATATCAGACAGAACTCGTGTAAGCCATAAAATGAACTCATCATCACATTATCCGTATTCACAAAGTAACCTAGCTGTTACAAATTCAATGGGACAATTTTCATATATGTACATATTTCTATCGTGATGATTACTTAATTATGTAAATGCATACTTGATAAGTTACCATCTATGTGTTATTTGTGCTGCGGCATTTTTAGATACATATTTATGGATGATGATGATGATGAAATGATGACACCAACTTCCACCACTGCTGCCAATCTCTCCACCCATGATGACCAACATTGCCCGATATCCATCATACCGGAGGAGGAATGGCACTACTCCCACATGCTCCAAGAAATTGGGGTGCTGAGTTATCGCAACTGAAGAATACAGTACCCACGCTGAGAAGAGTCCCAAAAGGTGCAAGGATGGAAGTAGCTAAAGCCCTTGCAAAAATAATAGAGGAAGTGATCACCACAAACTCGGAGGAATCATGGTTCAAACTTTTCTCGTTTCCATACGCAGTCGTCCCTGTTCCCACCAAATCTGTCAAAGTTAAAAATTTAACAACATGGGTGAAATCAAGAGTTCTGCAGTGGTCAATAACCCAAATTGTAACACCCTCGAGACCACGACCACAATTCGCCAAACCCTCACGTCCTCAAGAAACTATTGCAAAGAAGGTGGAAGCAAAATTGGCAGACGGCGATGTACGGGGTGCAATTCGTTTATTGACCTCTGATGACACAATTGCCCCAAATAATCAAGAAACCTTGGATGCCCTCATCACTAAGCATCCCCCACATCCAGAGCCAACTTATTTCCCGAACGCACCGGACAAGGCAGAAGTTTTGGCCCCTGTTGATCCCAAAGAAGTCCTCACCGCAATCTCTAGTTTCGCTCCAGGATCGGCAGGAGGACTTGACTCTCTTCGCCCTCAGATTTTGAAGGACCTCGTCATCTCAGAGAATGGAGAACCTGGGACCAATTTACTAAACGCGATGCTAAAATTTTTAGATCTTGTTCTCAGGGGAGACGTGCCAAAATCTATTTGCCCAATCTTCTTCGGGGCTTGCATGACCGCACTTAGAAAGAAAACTGGGGGCATTCGTCCTGTCGCTGTCGGCAATACATGGCGTCGTCTCATCTCGAAAATTGCCGTCGCCCGTATGTCATCTACTCTGGTCGAGATTTTCTCCCCTCATCAACTAGGAGTGGGGATTAAAGGAGGCGCTGAAGCTGCAGCCCACGCAGCACGTATTTACTGGAATTACTCACATGATAGCCCCAAGGCTTTTTTAAAATTGGACTTCCGTAATGCTTTCAATGAAATCCGACGAGACACACTTCTCCAAATCATTCGAGAAAAATTCCCAAATTTCTACCGTTTCGTGAGCCAGGCCTACTCCTCCCCCTCGGAAATTTTCTTCGCGGGAACACCCATCTCCTCCCTTTGTGGGGTTCAACAAGGTGATCCACTCGGACCAGCTCTCTACGCTCTCGTGATCCAACCAATTGTGGACTTGATTGACACAGAGCTGAATATGTGGTACTTAGATGACTCAACCATTGCTGATTCGCCGGAGAAAGTCTTAATGGCAATGCAAACCATCACACGTATGGGGACAGAAGTCGGTCTGCACCTTAACACTACAAAATGTGAAGTGGGAATTCTGGGTGTAGTCGACGACCAAACTCGTGACGAAATTTTTGAGCTATTTCGTTCAACAGCTCCGGGGATACAAAAGATCTCTCCTGAAAGTGCTATGCTGTTAGGTGTCCCACTCACCGATGAAGCCATTCCTACAATACTAGGAGCCAAAACCGAGGAAATGGAAAAAATTAGCACGCGGCTACTCAAACTCTCCTCCCACTCAGCCTTTTTCCTTCTCCGTGCCTCCATGTCAACACCTCGCCTAATATACTTTCTCCGCTGTGCACCGACATGGAGAAGATTTGACGCCCTTACTCTTTATGATGCCAAATTAAAAAATGCTATGGAGGGAATCATCAACTGTTCCCTTTCCCCTCAATCCTGGTTACAGTCCTCTCTACCCGTCAACAAAGGTGGTCTTGGGGTCAGACACGCTATAGATGTGGCGATTCCGTGCTTTCTAGCGTCTATCTATAGCTCCCTGCCTCTTGCGGAACGCCTACTTCCACCACATTTACATGGCATCGATACCGCCATCCAAGAAGGAGAGGAACGCTGGAAATCACTTGGTTCATCGCCACTTCCTCCACTCGAGATACGAGGTATCCAGGCAATATGGGAAATACCACAACAGGAAGGTGTAATCAATCACCTCACAACTAATGCGACTACATTAGAAGACAAAGCTCGCTATCACGCCATGTCACAACCCAATGTTGGAGCGTGGCTCAACGCTATCCCCTCTCCTCAACTCGGCACACATCTTCCTAATGAGACGTTTCGCATCGCCGCCGCTCTTCGACTAGGCTGTGACATCTGCCAGCCCCACAAATGTTCTTGTGGTGAACAAGTGTCCACGAAAGGCTATCATGGTCTCAGTTGCAAAAATAGTGCTGGACGTCACTCCCGTCATGCCGCAGCCAACGATGTCATCGCCAGAGCCCTCAGATCTGCAGGAGTCCCTATAATTAAAGAGCCAGCTGGGTGTGCCCGTGAAGATGGGAAACGTCCAGATGGTCTCACACTTATTCCATGGGCAAGAGGAAAATCGGTAGTGTGGGACTTCACGTGTTCCGATACATTTGCACCATCGTACCTCCCACAAACTAGTATTCGCCCAGGAGTAGCAGCTGAGAAAGCAGAGGACCGGAAGAAGAAAAGATATGAACAACTTATGGACAGTTTCCTTTTTGTCCCAATAGCCATCGAAACAACAGGGATTTGGGGTAAAGATGGCTTGTCATTTATTAAAGAAATCGGGTCCAGAATCACAAACATCACAGAAGAGGGCGACATCCTTTTTATTGCAGAGAATGAGTATCACTGTTCAAAGAGGGAATGTAGCATCCATTTTAGGATCCCTTCCAAAAGGACACAAGCTGGAGGAGATATTTATGTTATAAAGAATTTCATTTATATATCTATTGTAGTTATGCTAATATTATGGATGTAAAAAGACAATGTATAGATTATTATTTGATCTAAAACAATAGTTATACGTCATAATTTTAAGTTAAAAGTTATATGTCCATGGCTGCCCCATGTATCTAATATTAAAGATGTATATTTGCATAATCCAAGAAATGCGTAGGTAATTGATGAGTGAAAAATTCAATGAAAATTTTTATATTTATGGATGACATGGATTCAATTTTATTACCAAGCATGCAATAATAAAAACCTACGGTGCCATTCACTCCTCCCGAAGATCAGAGTGAAGGTCATAAACGAAATGGCCTAAGCTGACCTCATATTTAGCATGCAAACAAATTATTACTTGTTATAAGTTAGTTATTTATGGAAATAAATTCATTTACACCATTCCCAATTTATTCTTTGTTTAATACGTAAATTATCCATAAGTATGATTCCTCATAATATTTAGCATATCGTTGTAAAGGTAAATATCAGCATCCTTCCCAATAACGAAGTCCATGTGATCCCAGGTTGAATAATTGACTCGACTGAATTGTACGACATTATCACCTAAAGCGGTAGCCGTTGCACAAACGTCCTAAAAGAGCAAAGCAATCAGTATTGGAAACAATCTGGTTTAATCAAATGTTAAAATATACAATTGGCACAGCAATATTGTCGTTATCGCCGTAATAAATGACCGTGGGGACGTGGTACTTTGACCAATCGTAGTCTGGAGGAAACAGCGAGTTATATTTTGCATAATTTTTTAGTCCGTAGTCGTATCGTCGAAACGTTCCGAAGGTGGCGCCCTGAGAAATATGGGCGAATGTCTTTATGGAAGTGGTATCAGGCAAGTGAGCCAGTATTCCTGGTAATTGTGTCTATTTACATAAAAACGACGATTTTTGCACCAAGTTATAAATAAGTGACACCAAATTACATTCTCTTACAAAGTCTGTCTGGCACATGTCAATTCCGAATAATAATCCAAAAATGGTATTACAAACACCGCAGTTTATAGTGTACTGAGTACAGTAGGCCGTAAAGTTTCCGACGTACTGTTGCATAACTTGAGGGAGGAGTTGACCTCCGCCAAGTTGGTTCATGAGTTGCTGAAAAAATATGTCAAATTTTGAATTATAAATCAATTCCGTAGAAAACTTCAGTACTTATTGCTTAGCAAAGCACCTCCGTGGCAGGCGTCACAAGAAATGGAGCCAGCACTCTGGCGGCAGGATTCGTCATGTGGTTAGAATAAGCGCTTGTCGCTAAAGAAAACATAGCTCTGATTTTAGACGCCAGGCCTGGATTTAAAGAAATCCCAGAAAAAAACTGCGTCGTCCCGAGAGAGTGACCAATGTAGTAAATACGTTGAGATGTCAATGCATTGATGAAATTGACGGTCGCTGGCAGATCGTAGAGTCCCATTTCATGAAAGCTGCAAAAATTGGCGTCCCAAGTGATAAATGTTCAGAAGGAAAATGATTTGCATATACAAAAATTTGCACCTAAAATCCCAGTAGGCCAAATTGTTCGGATCGTTACTTGGGAGAAAGGTGTGACCTCGCGAGTATGAAGTTCCACGACTATTTCCCAACCATACGTCAAAACCAGAATCGGCCAACATAAAAGCTGTTGAAATATGGTTTTTAGCATCATTCCTTTTGATTTGCACGGAATCGCACATTTATTAAGATAGGATTACCAAGAGCTTTATCTGGAGGTTGCCAAAGCCACTGCACGCTCGAGGCCAGAAGGCCATGAACCAGAAGGACCGGAATTTTCCCCGGTGCCGGTGGAGATGAGTTTGAATAGGGAATTCGATACATGGTCAAAATGTAGTTATCGTCCGTGGTGACATTATGTTCTTCAACAGGGTAGCCTAAGCGTTGGATGAGTTGTGGCTAGTCAAAATTCCCATATTAAATTAGAATGATAATCAGTAAGTAATCTACCAATTGTGTGTAAGTACTTAAATATGTACCGTTCTCTTCTCTGCGTAATTTGGGTATGTGGTTAAAGCTTCTTCGACCAGATTTCCACAAATCATGGTGAGGGCGTCACATTCTGTTAAGTCGCCAGATACTAAGGTGCCCCATGTCCCTACGACAAGTAGGAATAAAACTTTACAGATATCCATGATTCCCGACTCCAGGTCCCGAGGAACTTAGGACAGATTTGTAAGTAATATGATAACTGTTTTGCTAATCTGTATGGGACGAACGACAAACTTCGTCTATTTTGCACTAGCTAAAATTGGAGGCTCAATTGAAATGAGAACTTCCAAGATCAGTAATTATGACCCAGAGTTACGTCAAGGTTCAATGAATCAGACAGAACTCGTACATATATGCAAGCCATAAAATGAATATCACATTAATCCACAAAGGAACTTGCTAAAAATGCAATGGAGCAATTTCAATATGCATATTCTATCGTTATGATTACTTATGTAAATGCATACTTGATAAGTTACCATCTATGTGTTCTTTGTGCTGCGGCATTTTTGGATACATATTTATGTGCAGTATTTGATGAAATGTGATCTGTTTTATTACCATGCATTAAAAATCTACGGTGCCTTTCCCTCCTCACGACAGACTGCAAGATCAGAGTGAAGGTCATAAACGGAATGACATAATCTGATCTTATATTTATTTAGCATGAAAACAAGTTGATTTATATAAATTAATTAATTTACACCATTCCCAATTTATTCTTTGTTCAAATCATCCCCATGTATGATTTCTCATAATATTTAGCATATCGTTGTATAGGTAATAATCAGCGTCTTTTGCAAGAACAAAATCTAAGTGATCCCAAAATGGATTGTCTATACGCTTGATTAGCTTCAAGTTTGCACCCATGGCTGAAGCTGTTCTTAGCACGTCCTATTGTACAACAAATATTAGTATAAATTTGTCCCAAAATGTTCTCTACAACGAACTCACCACTGGAACGGCAAGGTTGTCATTGTCTCCGTAATAAATCACGGTTGGAACTCTGTACAAGCTCCAATCGTAATCCGGCGGAGTTATACTGCCATACTTCCTCAAATTTTTAATAAACCCGAAGTCGTACTGCCGAAAAGTGCCGTACTGCATATCTTGCGATACATGGGACGCTACTCGGACGCTTGTGGTGTCAGGTAAGTGCGCCAATACGGCTGGTAATTTTCCCTGTAAAATGTAAAAGTTTGAAATTTTTAGCACGAATAAATGACCCACAGTAGTACAAATATTTTTTTTTTAATGTCATACAAAATCTGTTTGGCACGGATCAAGCCCAAATAAGACAGCGTACGCAGAATAGCAAATGCCACAGTTGAAAACAGCGAGAGTGCAAAATTCTGTGGAAGCTCCTCGTCGCAAAATATAAGGGAGGAACTGGCCCCTGAAGGCGGCATCGATTACTTGCTGCGTACAAAGTAAAGTAGATCAAATTGAAATTATATTTCTCAAATGAAAGATAACTACTTATGGTATGATGCAAACCTCTCCAGCATACGGGGCCAAGAGGGGCACATTTGCTCGAAAGAACAAATTATTAGCGTTTGGTTGATAACCTTTGCATAAAGATTTACGAATTTAACTTTTAAATTACATTTTATAAAATCATCTAAAGGTTTAGACTGATAAATTAATTACCCGAAGTAGCGAGGGAGAACATTGTCCTTACTCTGGGCGCTAATTCGGGATGGAGCATCATGGCCGCAAAGAATTGTGTTGTACCCATCGAATGTCCAATGTAGTAGATGGAATCTTGTCTCGTGACGTTTAAAATGAGATTTATCTGTGGTTTTAAGATTGAGTTTACTATTTTCTAAGGGCTTCAACATGACAGAAAAATAAGGTCCTTACCGTGGCTGGAATATCGTACATCCCCATTTCATGGTGGCTATAATACAAGAAATACTTACTACCAATTTACTAAGAAACTAAAAACGCATGGACCACTAATTTCGTACCTGAAGTCCCAATACCGCGTATCAAAAGAGTCATTGCTGTTTAGTGTTTTGTGACCCAGACTGTACTGCGTTCCTCTAGCGTTACCCAGCCATACGTCAAAACCGGCATCAACCAGCATGAAAACTGTTCAGAAAACAGGTAGAAGATTTAGAAATCTCTAATTTAATAAATAATATGATGTCAATTAACGGTCTCACGTAAATTTCTTGGTGGATCTTGCCACACCCATTGAACGGAGCTCGCAGAAAAACCGTGCATCAAATAAACGGGGATTTTGACCCCACCAGGAGAAACTCGAGGCGATTTTTCTGAATATGGGACCCGATACATGGTGAGAATATAGCCATCGTCTGTGGTCACTTGATGCTTCTCGACGGGATAACCTAGGCGTCGGATAAGATCAGGCTGAGGGAAAAAAATATGACATTTTTCGAAATCTTTATCTTTTAGAGGAAAATCAAATTCGCTATATGTATTTTACCGTAGTGAGATTCCTATACGTTGGATATGCTCGAAACGCGTCTGTGACAAGTTTCGAGCAAATATTTGCATCGTCAAGTTCGCAGTACGACAAATCCACCCCATGCACAAATGGTGATGATAACCACCATGTTATCAGGATGAGTGCCCTTGAAAAGTTACCCAAAATAGTAGCACTCTTATCCATCGTGTCCTTCAACACTTGCATTCTGACCAAGCAATAAAAAGAAGTGGTGTTGACGAGTGTAATAAGTATGCGAATTAATTGCCGTTTTTATTACTTTTTCGAAGAAGCAGAGGCCATTAATGTCATCGATATGCGATCAATCACTCAATCTGTTTAGGTAAATAAATTTTCGTCATAATTGATGCTACTGAAGTAGAAGTTTTTGGTATTGATATTTATGTATTAATTAGATAATTATTATTCTGCTTATTAAATGACGAACATTTCCAATAATGAATAAGTAGACTCAATTTCTTGGGTGATGTGATGCAATGTCAATATTCTGTATAACTTACATTTGTTATTCACGGTAAAATAGCAATTAATTAAAATTGAAAGTTCTACAAAATACTCAATACTTACAAATACTGCAATTCACACGAATACAATTACACATTCGCTCCAACAAAAACGTTATGACAGATCCTGCCATTAATATGACAAACATAATTAGCAAAGTTGCCACGTGTGATAATTGCAGGATGACAGGTCCCTTATTTGCTTGCTGCTGTAAACCTCCACTGTACAATAAATCAGATGACGAATCATTTTTAGATAATTTCCACTGCTGCTTAAAACTTCTCCAAAAAACAAAAAATCTTTGACTCTCCATCCCACCACGGAAAGCCTGAAAAATTCCCTGGTCTCTCATGTAGCTGAAAAGTTGGAGCACTTCGGGTTGAAAAAGATCATCCGCGACGGAAAGATAGATCGGTGTTGAAACCAATTCTTTAGACAATTTGGGTTCAACGTAGCTCGAGGTCATTGACCTCATCGCACTTTGCAACTCGATCAGCCGATACACTTCGTCTAGGAGGGAATCACCCGATGTAGTTAGTCGATTTAGGACAGCGTTTAAATTTTCCGAAACGCCACGACCATTGCAATTTTCCAGTTGGGCGAGTAACTTAGGAAAGGCGAGGTTTGACCGGAATGCGACGTCTTTTCGGAGCGTAATATACGCGTTACTTCGAGGAGTACAGTAGTATTTTTCGATTGTGTTACTAATCGTACCGTTTTTTGCAATTGTTCCATTTCCTACACGAATTATGTTCATTGTTCCGTGGATAAAGATGGGTCTTTTAGAATTTGCCAGGTCTGCGAAAGTTTCTGGGACTTGGTGCCCCGAAGGACGAATTAAATACCCGACTAATTCTCCCCGGTAGGTTTCTGTTAGGATGACGCAGTAAAAGAGCCAGGGGATTAGGGCGATTCGGAAAAAATCGTTGTTTAGAGGTAGCCGTTCTTTGCACTGGTCGAGGATGGGACGCCAAACCACTTCTATTGAATTAAAAAGAGATAAGCGGGTGATGTTCAGGATTGGAGAGACGAAATGGGTACAGGTAAAGATGAATGTGGTAACGAGAATTGTGCAAGATAACGTCCATATTGAGACTTCCCATCCAATAGGGCCGAAAATTCCTTCAAGATCGAAAATGTTGGAGTGGATCGGTACCAGGAATCCTGTATAAGAGGACAAAAAGTAAGGAAAAAATTGTCAATTAGGATCCTAACTAAACAACTTACCAACTTCCAAACTGTGCCCCCAACTGAAGAACCCTGCCCGATTGAAGGGAAGTAAAATTGAGTCAAATCCTACCGAGGGAAATGGGTAAGACGGAAGTGAATAGGCCGTGACGTTAAGTCGCTTCGATATCTCGCAGGCAATCACTGTATCAATCAAGGTATTCCATGGGGAAAGCCGGCTCCGTCGTGCTTTACAAAGGGGAAGAATACTCCCAACCCGACCGAGAAGTCGGTCATCTCTAAAATTTGAGAGAAGCAAGAATGCCCTAGAAAACTGGGGGTCCCTAAAACGCACGGTTTTCCTCGTCCCAAGAAGAAGAGAAGAAACCAGTTTTTGGTGAATCCTATGTTTTCCGGAATATTTTACCCACTTGCTTACGCTAGATTCGAACGGATGTAAGACATTGATCACTAATGTCGAAAAGTTGTTGCTACTCTCAATGTGAATGGCATATCTTGGTAAAAAGTTGGGGATCTGAGAGTCAAACGTGACCTCTTGTGCCCGGACTCCAATTGGGGTCACAATTATGAGGAGATCTCTCGAAATCGTGAACTCGTTGTGGATCAAGATATCCTTAAAAGTGGATATTGGTTTGGTAAAGAGGAAGATAATATTGGGAATAGAATGACTTCGAAAATGGATGCATGCCTTGAGCTGGGCCCTACTTCTTGAGAAATTTGCCAGTAAGGATACCACTTTTGAGGGTAAAGCGACTATTAATTTCTGTGGAGTTAACTGTCTCACAGAAATTGAGAGGATCAAGTCGTAAGTGGAAAAATAGGAGGAAATGTTGGTAAATTGAAAGGAATAGAAAATTAGGACGTCTTGAACAAGGTTGCTGGATGAAGCTATTATTTGAAGGAAGTTGTCCACATTGTTTTCCTGTCTTGCAAACGTAACTAGCTTTAGTGTGATTAGGAGAAAGTTTATTACAGAAACTTTTCTCATTATGTGAACGAATTGTAAATTGAAGTGTATCCGTTTTGCATGTATTTATTCTATATTTTCTCTTACGACTTTCTTAGTCCAATGCTCCATAAAAATGATAACTAATATCGATGTATATATTCATTCATATCATTTACATATGTACCTCTTGAATAAACAAATTTCAATAAAATATGCATATATGTCTCAATTGTATCTTTTGTACGTATCATCGTATCCTTTGCCCTTAATCGATTACATACGGAACCAACGCCCCTAAACTTAAGAAATATGTAGAAAGCATGCATTGGAGTCTAATTTCATTTTATTTGCGACACAAAATTCAAGTAGTTTTTAAACTTTAATAAATTAAATTCCATTCATTGATTTCTGAATGTAGGGTTTGCGCCACGCTTTCAATTGACATATTGGAAATACTTAATTTTAGCCAGTTGAGTATATGTATTGATCGGTGAAAGTATTTATACTTTCTAAGTTTCTACTTTCTTTGATGAAAATGGCAAAAAAATAATTTTAGTGCTCCTTGAGATAAAAATATATCTTCTATCAAACAAAAATATCTATTCATCATATTGATTATTGTCCATAATTGAGGTCAATTTTATCAACTAACAATACAACAATGTAATAAGCATTACATATAAAAGGCCAATGCTCATATCAATTTATTCAATTCACGTTGACTGTAAAATGTCAATTAATGCATGTTAAATGTAGACAATTGAATGTTATGTTATTAATAAATCGAGATATAACCTGTCTACCTGTTTTATAACTAAATAAAAATACACTTGTCCTTGGTTCTGGTCATGCAAGGTTGGTTGATTTTCTCCAGTTTTTTACCATGTTTGGATTTTACCCGTCGAGTTATTTACGGAAACCTCCCCTCCTAATAATAACAAGTTCAATATTAAACTTCCTGTTTTCACTACACATTGTTGTGGGTCAGAATGCGCTCAAATTGTGTACCAGAGATGGAGGGGTCCATCAAATGGGCACGGAAACGTGTGCCCGAGGAGCGTGGGTGGGCGACGGATTGGACGTGGATTGCGTTTGTGTGAGAGGATTGTACGTTTTGAAATATTGATAAGCACAAAATTTCATTGCTACTTTTCGAATTTTTGATGGAAATTTTAAACACAAAATTCTATTGTGATTGATTATGCAAATTATTTCAGGTGGTTGTTGTCGTCAAGATTTTGTGATAAAGAATTCTTCATTTTTTCCGGGAGAGAAAACGATTGCTTCAAAGTGAATCGACCCGTATGGAAAAATTCATGAGAAAAAATATTGGAATTTTCAATTTTATGTTAATTTTTCTGGTCAGATTCGTCGCTTCTTATCCCTCATGGACAACGAGGATCTCAGCGCTCGGAAAATTTACTACTTTCGCCACGAACTTGAAAAATTTGAGTCGTTTGACAGGAATTTATCGCTGTCCTCTAAATCTGGGGAAGCCTCGTTCCTTCTGAGATACAATGATACGGAGAATCCAATCTACCTGCGTCACGAGGAAGGTGTCCCGTCCAAATTTTGGCAGAAGTGCTACCACTCCTCGGAGGGGAATGAAATGTTCCAAATCGTGAGGACGGATGGGGCCACGTTTCTTTCGGGAAGTGGGGGTGGGAGGGATTGTGAAGGTTTGAGGGATCTCAAGTTTGGTTACGGCAGCAGTAAAAATAGCGTGTGGGAGATGGACATGAGGTGATTTATTATTTTATTTAGTAGACTTTATTAAAAGTTCAAGTAATAGTTGAAAAAAACAGGAATAACTAATTTTTACACTATTGTTTGTACTCTAGATCCGGATGGCATTCAAAGTGTAATATAAAGATCTACTAATGAATTAATTATGTATGTATGTATGCACACTAATATTGGTACGGATTTTGTGTAGATGGTCTTCTTAAAACGTCGAAAAAATGTGAGAAATCCTGCGGACAGAAAAAATCTAGGAAGACAAGGTCACCCAAAAAAACCACAGCGGATAAAATGATAATGGGTAAAAACCATAAAATCACAAAACCAACGACACAAAGTTCTACACTTACCGTGACGGATAAGGATAACATGCTCACCGGAGATGACGAGGTTGTTCCGCTACGATTGTCACTCAACTTGGGTGACGATGATAAGCAGTATGACCAGCGTGATTATGAAGACGCCCTTCCGGGTGGGGACTCCTTAGACGTGGAGGTCATGACGGAACGACTTCGCGACAATGGGAGGGATACCGTTCGGATAGCGAATTATCTGAAGAAGTGGATTTTCCATAACGTTCCTGGACCTCGTGTGGCTCAAAAAGAGTTTAAATACTTGCAAATTGCGAGAATCGTATTTCTCAAGTCGTGTCCGGACGTGGATGGTGACACTGTGACGAACTTTTTCAGACTGTTTAGATTCCTGGTGTATGAAACGTTGAGAAAACATCCTCACACGTATCCGGAAAATACGGAGGCTAATATTCACACCAGAATTGTGACTACGATGAAAACCTGTTTTAAAAATGCTGCCCCGTACAAAGTGGACTTGGACTTGAGTGCATGTACTGAATCTGGGGTGAAGGTGGTGGATATGTACAGAAATTAAAAATACGAATTATTGTGTGCTGTGTTTTTTGTCATAATTTGGCGAATTATTTTTCCAGGTACTTAGCGTGACGGATTCCAAAGGGGTCCAGTATCCACCCGCCATAAACGCCACGGAAGAAGATGACGTCACTTTCAAAACGGGACTAGCAAGCGATACTGTTCTTGAAACTGCATGGAAACTTATGCTTCATGCTCGTGGGTTTTTTTGCCGAAAAATCAATAAAAGCATAATTTCTTCAAATGAATTTTTAACCTTTTTCGATAAAAATGATAGATTATCAATGCGCAGAAGATTTTCGCAACCACCCCGAAGACCTGTCCTGGATGTATATCAAACTTCAAGAATTTCTTACAAACCCGCACATTATTTTCAGATGGTATTTATTTTATGCTAATTTTTACCTAAATACTAACACGGAAATATATTGTATACGTATTTACTAAGGGAAAATCCAGGTGAATATCTCAACCAAGTTTATGCCTTTATGCATCCTGGTTTCCATCTGGCTAAATTCGCCAAAACTGTGGACGCTTGCGTCAGTGCGGCGAAAGAGGCGTCAGTTTTCGAGGAGTGGATGCAACGTCCAAAGCGAGAGAGGTAAATATTTTTTGATACAAAATTTCTGAAAGTACAAATTTTTGAAAATATGTGTTGAAACTTATGGATCCTATAATTTCAGAGATTTTCACTCTGAGACGGTCAAAGGACGCAGCATGGCTCTCCTGGGGGCAAAGGATCAAGGAAAACCGAACCTTTTTGAGGGCAAGGGTTACTGCGTTAATAAATTTGATGATCCCATCACTTGGACGCATTTCAATCCTTCAGTGAACGCAAAGTGTCATTAATTTTTAGTATCTTTATTAACGAGCATTTACAGAATTTCTTCTAATTTCCCTCGACTTTAAATGTACATATTTATTTATTACGGTATTAAAACTTATTTTGTAATTGGTGACCAGATTTATTCGACAAAAATAGTATATTCAAATTAGGACAATGATTCGCATAAACATACAGACATTTTTAATTATTGAATTTGTTGGTGGGTGGGTTAAGAAAATCCTTACATGATTCAGATAGTACATATTTTTTTACAAAATTTTCACCATTCCGGCTATTCATTTTATCATGTAGTTTTATTTCGTGATGACATTCCTTGCCAACAAAACTGTCGAAATTCTGCTCGATTAGGAATTGTTGGCATTTCTAAATTCCCAAAATTTCCAAGACTCAGAATAAATTCAAAATAAATTTTGTCACTTCAATTTCACTTCTAATAGAACTACGTGCATTCGTATACAGACACGAAAATTAACATGGATAATGGGCAAGACCGTCTTCCCATCCATCGACCTGAGGTCTCACAAGATGCCGAGTTGGTCGAAAATCAGCACCGATTGAGAGCAGGAACTGTCGACTTTCCTCCATTGACATGCATTCCTGGAACCACCACTATCGAGACGTTTGTGGATGCTGCGGACGATGCGATGGACATTTCTGATGACGCTGCCACAGATAATTTACCGGAAATGGAAATCTTTGCAGATTTTGATATGTCAACTGCTCACTATGCTCCTTTTCAATCATCCACCCCAACATTAGCACACTGTGGTTTCCTTCCCCCTGGTAGAGGTGGAGGACGTAGGGGTCCTAATCGAGGCGGCCCTAATCGACGTGGTCCTAATGGAGATGGACCTAATGGAGACGGACCAAATGGAGGCCGTGGTGGTGGGGACGAAGGAGACTTTGTCGATCCATCCCTAAATTTACGATCAGTTGGAGGACTGCCGGAACACATCAAGTACTCCTAAAGTTAATGTTTACCTCATTTGCATAAATATCGCTATGCTTATTTTCGGGGATTCGGGTTTTCCATGTTGGTAAACTCTCGCTAATGCGTCAAAATATGCAAATGAGGTGACAAGGCGTAAATTATACTTTTAAATCACGGTTTTTCTAGCTTAAAAGTTATTCTCAATCTAAAATATTCCATTTTAACACAGCTTTCTTCAACGGGCCGTAATCTATCCTTTGAAGAATAAGGACGCATTCAATGACTGGGGAATCGATTTACCCAAGGGAATCTTGTTCCACGGGTAGTTTAACATTTAATTTCTCTATAAATAAAACCAAAAACTCTAGAAGAAAGTAAACTAAAATTAAAACACTCTAAAATGATTACTTGACTTAAACAGCCCCCCTGGAACTGGAAAAACCTTGCTGGCAAAGTGCTTGGCTAACGCGGTCAATGCTGTTCTGGGTGGGACAACAAAAGTGACCTTCTTTTACCAGAAAGGTTCAGAATCGAACAGCATGTGGTTTGGCGAAAGTGAAGAAAATCTCCGAAAACTCTTCAACAAGGCCAAAGCAAACGTACCATCGATCATCTTCTTTGATGAACTTGACGCCCTGTGCCCCAATCGGGACAAAGCGAGTGAGTCCTCGGAAGCATACGTTGGTGTTGTCACTGAACTTTTGGCATTAATTGACTCTGTCAAACGGGGAGACGTTTTGATTATCGGAGCAACAAATCGAGTAATTAATAAATAAATTTAAACTTCATGACACCTGCTTATCTAACTTATCAATAATGTTAGTTGGACGCTATCGACGTTGCAATCCGACGACCGGGCCGGTTCGACAAGGACCTCGCCTTCAACCTTCCGGACATCCCTGGCAGGAAAAAGATAGTCCAGATACACACTCAAAAGTGGTTCCGAGACCAACCAGATAGTGAACAGCTTGAAACGATTGCCAACAATACGATCGGCTATTCAGGCGCAGATCTCCAGAAATTGTGTACAGACACCTTCATCGCAGCGAAAGATCGGTGTGGCAGGGTTCCGGCGGCAGAAATCACGATCAGTTCGGCCGACTGGGCGAAGGCTATGAAGGAAATGCGACCCTCAAAAAGCGACGTTTTTGAGTCCACCCTCATCGCAGCGAAGCCACCACTTCCGCTCATGATGCCTTTGGCTGGAAACATGATTAAGGAAATCGTTACCAGTCTGGGAGACATCCTACCACGTGACAATGGTCACTTTCCCTTTGCCATGACCGGGATGAGAAGCTATTTGGTCCGAGAGGGTAACCTGGACTCTGAAGTTTTTCTTAACCACGTCATCCTGACTGGTGTCCTAAGCGATCCGACCGTGAGCAACGTGCCCGTCTATTACCTCGACCTGCCCCATCTTGCTGGTCGTATCGACGACGGATTAACTGCGATTAAGGCGGCGAGGTGCATTATCAAACAGGCGGAAAATTCGGACAGACCTTGCATCCTCTTCGTTCCTGGGATCAATTGGATAAACGACGCGATCGCCCAGCATACTCGGGAACAAAACGATTTCGTATTTTTTGACCTGTTACGCACCTTGGCTGGGACGAATGCAATCTTGCTTGCCTCCGTGATCGGGAACATGAAAGAAATCTCGGCGGAAATCTTGACCCCTTTTTCAGATCGAAATGTTTACAAGGTACGCGTTCCCGAGCGGGAGGAGAGGCTGGCGTTCTACCGACAAATTTTCGATGACCTCATTCCAACTGAAGATGATGAACCAAGGGAAAAAAGGGCGAGAGAAGAGAGCAGGGATGATGTGGATAGGTTTGAAAAACATTTGCAAACTGCGGTCGACTTGACGGAAAACGATCCTTGCGACTTTCTTCTCAAATTGTACGAGAAGTTGCGAAAAGTGAAGATTGAACATTATGTTTTGGATGAAAATCAAGGGAATTTAAGATACGATTTGGATGGGTTGGACAGATCCTTTACGGAAATTTTTGACCTCTACCATTTGAACCGACTGCAAGAATAATAATAGCTAGAGGTTAGAAGATGACCTGAATTTATGAAATACGTATGTACTGCCCATAAGTAATTAAACGAACATCAAAAATTTTGTAAAAACTTTTATAACTCGGAACTATTTTTAAATAGTGGCAAAAATTATTTGAAAATAAATAAGTTCATAACGCACAATCTTAGTATTTTTAGCAAATTATACCAAACTTCACAAAGCACTGGTTGAATTTGCATCTTACGATTAGTCAATTAACAATTTCATAGCGGCTTTTCACATGAAATGCAAAAACATTCACGAATTACTTGTCGTCAAGTTAAATCGGTAACTACAAGGTTCAATTAAATTTCAACAGAAGTCAAACTCTCGTTCTGAGAAATTTTCAATTTCCACAATAATAAATTTTACACGGTCGATCCAACTCCCATCTAAATTCTCAGTGCATCAAAATTCTAAATTCATTCATACCCACCCAATCCAACCTCAGAAACAATAATGTCCTTCAACAACAGCCTCCTCAACCAATCAATAACTCCTAACCAAGTAGATTTGATATCGTCCGGATCCGGCTCCCCCTACGTTGCATGGCCTGAGGGATCATTCAATGGAACTCTGCTGTCCGACTATGGGTCATTTCTTATGGGTAGAATCGTGAACAGCACGGCCCTAGACGCAAGTTTGCCCCCACCGGAAGGGACCGGACTTCCCGGCACTATCTTAAATGGCCTCCATTCCACCATCGATTTACTACGCGACAAATTAAAGCACGAATTGATCGATTCTAAAATCCCAGCCCTGGCGGATGCATATTCAGACGTAATGCAACACATTGTGGCTTTTTGTATCGAATATTTGATAACTTTGTCTTGATATTTTCAGCAACTTTTGATCAATCGAGTTCCACAAATTGTATTGGATAAGGTCTAATTTGCAAATTCTTAAATTCCTAAGTAGCTTAAATTAACAATATGAAATTGTAGGTGGAACAGAGCTTGGAAGGATTAATAAAGGAAAAATTGAAATCAACCTTACCTGCCATGGTCTCATACGTCCTGGTAGGAAAATACGGTCCTGCAATCAACAACGTCGTAAAAGCGCTACATGACGGAAATCTCGTCTGTAGCAAACCCTGCATTTGTGGACAAACAAATAATTCACAACTGAAAGATAGTTCTCAAGATGGTTCGCAAGAAGCAGAAAAATTTCCGGAAAACTGTATGAACACGTGTCCATGCATGAGGAAAGCACAATTTGTGGAAAGGAGTAGAGAACCCGTGGGGGGAAGCCGTGGGGGCAAAAGTTGTTCGTTTAGGAGGAGAGATCAAAGTGCAGAAAGAAGTTCGGTAATAGAACGGCGGAGAGAAGATCTTTTAGAACAGAAGAGAGAAGCAAGTGGACAACGGAGGGCAGCAGAAATTATGGAACGGAGGAGGAGACAACAAGAAGAACGAGATGCAGAAGACAGGAGACAACAAATTTCAGAAGACAGGAGACAACAAATTTCAGAAAGTAGAAGAGAACAATTTCCGCAAGACTGTATCAACACGTGTCCATGCAACAACGCCGCGACGTCCTTATCACCGTATCAAGTAGGAAATACACCCGATAGAAGTGGAAAAGGAAGTACCATTGGTACACCCACGCCGAAGGGAGCTGGAACGCGAAGGAATTGCAAAGCAGACTATGGAAGATACAGGGAAAAGTATTATGACGGTGGTTCGTAGAAGATTCTCAAAATTATGGTTCAAATATGATACAAGTAAATATTTCCTTGAGGCGTAAGTACCCAGGGTGTCGCATTGAAATATGTAAATCTATATGTATCTCAAGGTACAAAACAAAATGCAATATGTGTGCGGAATTCTCGAACTATTTATTAAACTCTTTTGATATCTTCAGCATCATTAACGTTTAGTAAGACCATTTTCTTGAATAATGACTCGTTCTTTCGGATTTAATTTCCTGATTACTGTCCGGATTTTCCAGTAATTTCAAAAAATTGTCGATCTTTTGGCGTCACGCATTACAACTAATTTATAGGAAATAATTTATTTACTTTGCAATTAAGTATAATGTGTTTTACTCCTATTTTTTTGGCTATAAAATCTCGCGGTAAAAAGGTTTCCACCTGGCCCACACAGTTCGCACCCACTTCCATTCAAAACCCTATGTCTAAAGTTTTAAGTTGCCATAAGCTTTGAATGGAATTTGGTGCGAACTGTATGGGGCAGGTGGAAACCTTTTTACCGCGAGATTTTACAGCAAATAAAATAAGAGTACGTATTTGCGATTTTTTTTAACTAAAATTAGAATATTTTTTTATCAGACTTGTAAAATTTTATTAATCAAATATGAAATAGTACATGCATGTATGACCTTATGCATTTTTTGGCAAATTAAAATTATACGCAATCAATCTTCAATCGAAGATTTGTTTCCTTTGTTTTCATAATCATAATGAAAATAGATACTTCAAATACAGAAAATTTCTAATAAAACTAACTGTCCTACTTATTTAAAGGTCCCGTTAAGTTTAAAGCTCATTTAATTCCGCTTAATACATATAAATAGACTGTTGAATAACATATTACGTTGTAAATGCTGCATGTAATCAATCATAATAATAATAACCAAGCAATTGCAATGAGTCAAACTAAACTGTTCAGTTGCTGTCTCGTGGTTGGACAGTCGACTTGGTTTCCGCTTCTCTCTGCACTTTACATATTAAATTACATCTCGTGTTACATTACATTGCACAATTCAGACTCAGAGGTCAAAGCTGGTGACCTTTTTTCCTTCTCCACCAGGACAAATCAGCAGGCTGGAGAAGAGGCAAAACCATAATTAAGAAGAGCATAACTAAATAGTTAGAAATTAGTTAATTATCATGTCCCCACAATTCCTCGTCCCCATCATTCTGCTCATCTCGTCCAGCAGTTTGGTCACAATCTGTGAAGGGAAGGTGGTCCAAGTCCCAAGGGAGGATTCGTGTGGTTACAAGGTACAAAAATAGTAACACTTAATTAAATGCATACAAGTCTATTAATATTGACTCTAATTATTTAACTAACGTGTTCATGCATAAATTGACGGAGTTCTTATGCACATAAATAAGTTCCCACGCCTCTAGTTTCCCATTGTTAAATGCAAACTCTCACTTTTTCGTATCCGCTGTGAATTGAAACTCGAGTCCTTAATGTATATGAACTCTGATACTGTTTGCAAACTGAGATATGCTAATGGTATGCATGTAAATTAATGTATGTAGAGCTGCCCGGCCACGAAACCCGACCAACTCAACGTTCATCTTGTCCCGCATTCTCACGATGACATCGGTTGGTTAAAAACTGTTGATCAGTATTATTACGGAGATCGAAATGATATTCAACAAGCCGCTGTTCAGTACACGATCGACTCTGTGGTGACCGAGCTACAAAAGAATCCGGACAGAAGATTCATCTATGTTGAGACGGTGAGGATTTGTACGTAATTGTTCAAATTGCATAATTAAAGTGAGTAATTATGTAGGGCTTCTTTTGGCGTTGGTGGAACCAACAAGACGCCGAGACCCAGGCCATCGTCAGACAACTAGTGAACAATGGGCAACTCGAGTTTATCAGTGGTGGATGGGTTATGAATGATGAAGCAGGTTTGACCTCTCAATTTACCATAATGCCTGTATTTACTTATTACTTACGTATATGCATATTCAGGGGCTCATTACAATGCCATCATCGATCAGATGACTTTGGGGCTGAGATGGCTAAATGAAACGTTTGGAGAGTGTGCGTTGCCCAAAATTGGCTGGCAGATTGACCCGTTTGGACGTGAGGATAACAATAATTCAGAATTTGTTTATGTTTATTTATGCATGCAATAAATGAATTAATATTCTTTTACAAATATGTGTTGACAGACTCGCGAGAACAAGCGTCCCTCTTTGCTCAGGTAGAAAAATTATAATGGACCGTTTATGCACAAAGTGACTACAACATGATATGTACGTATAAATAGATGGGGTTGGATGGGCTATTTTTTGGACGATTGGATTACCAGGTGAGATAAGACTAGCGAACTAAATAAAATAATAATTTATTACAATTGCCACTAATTACAGGACAAAACTGCCCGCAAAATCTCTCGCAATATGGAAATGATTTGGTCAGGAAGTCCAAAAAATCTGGGCAAGGATGCACAACTCTTTACCAGCGTGTTGTTTAATGTTAGTTTAATACTGATTTTGATCAAAGTGTTTCTTAAAACCCTCAATTTTCAGAATAGTAATTATGTTTTTAATTAAAAGGGGTACAATCCACCAGACGGATTCTGCTTTGATATTTTCTGTACGGACGACCCCATAAACGACGACCCCCGGCTTTTTGACTACAATGTTGACGCCAAAGTGAATGACTTTGTTAAAGCGAGTCGAGATTGGGCAAAACCTTACACGACGAACAATGTCTTGATGACGATGGGCTCTGATTTTCAGTACCTCGCTGCTCACACGTGGTACAAAAATTTGGACAAGTTGATCAAGTACGTGAACAAAGAGGACAACGGAATTAACGTTTTGTACTCCACGCCGAGCTGTTACCTTCAAGAAGTCAATAAGGCTGGATTAAACTACGGGGTGAAGGAGGACGACTTTTTTCCAGTAAGTGCCAGTAAATTAACCATTTTTATTTTATGGTCAACATGTTCCAATTGTATGACTATAATGACAAATTACACTGAATTACAGTACGCCAGCGATCCCCATGCATTCTGGACGGGCTATTTCACCTCCCGACCCGCCTTCAAATACAATATTCAACATGCCAACAATTTCCTCCAAGCATGCAAACAGCTCACAATTAACGAAATGATCACCAAACCAAACACAACAACGCTCGACGAAGTGTTCGTACTTGAGGTGCATTACCAAAAAAAACGCGTTCATTTTGATAAGTAGCTTATCTGCCTGAATTTTGTACAGGAAGCGCTTGCCGTGATGCAGCACCACGACGCAGTCTCTGGCACGGCAAAACAACACGTTACCGACGATTACGCCCTTCGCTTATCCATCGGCATGAATTCTTGCTCTTCTGCCATGTCCTCCGCTATGGGTGGCGATACCACATTTTGCCACTCGCTCAACATCTCTTCCTGTTCTTTCACTGAAAACAGGACAGACTTCTTAGTCAACGTGTACAATCCGCTGGTCCGCGAGGTTAAAAACGTGTACGTTCGAGTCCCTGTGGTTGGATCGGAAGGGTGGCGAGTGGTTGGACCGGATGGCGTCGTAGTGGAAAGTCAAGTCGTCATGATACCTTTGGAGGTAACACGGATTCCTGGGCGAGAGGGGGGCGCAGAGTTTGAAGTTGTTTGGAGAGTGGACTCTCTTCTTGGGTTGGGTTGGGGGGTTTATAGATTGAGCCAGAGTGGGGATGATGCCGGTCAAAAATCTGTGCTGCTGAGAAAGGGACCGGGAAAAGGGTTCTCGAGGGAGGATTTCACCATATCGAACGATGTCGGGCTGACGGTGACATTTAGTGGGGAATCTGGCCTTGTGAAAGGAATCTCTTTAGACGGACAGACTGTCGATCTGGATCAAAATTTCTATTTTTACGAAGGGATGAGTGGGAACAATTCAAAATTTGAGTTCAGGGCGAGTGGAGCGTACATATTTCGACCAAATGTTAGCAGCACGTCGGCAGCTCCCACAATGATTACGTCCAATATATTTTCTTATCACGTGTACCAGGGAGATTTACTTACAGAGGTTCACCAAGTCTTCACCGATTGGGTGAGTCAGGTCGTTCGGGTTTACAAGGGGAGGAAAGAGGTCGAGTTTGAGTGGTTGGTGGGTCCTGTGCCAGTTGGGTGAGCATAAATAATAAATTGTAGACAAATATTAATTAATTAACGACTCATTGACTAATGCCGCATGTAATTAGTGACTCCATCGGGAGAGAAATTATCACCCGTTACTCAACGAATCTCGCCACCTCAGCCACTTTCCAAACAGACGCCAACGGTCGTGAGTTGCTCACAAGGAAGCGAGACTTCCGACCCACGTGGGACTATAAAGTTAACGAACCAATAGCTGGGAATTATTATCCAGTCAATTCTAGAATTATTTTACAAGATGAGACAAATGGGGTCAGTTTAGTCGTGTTAAATGACCGTGCACAAGGTGGGAGCAGTATGAATGATGGTGAAGTAGAGTTAATGGTGAGTCAATTTATTACAAATCTGTCCTTAATTGAAATGCTAATCACATTTTAAATTAAATAGCTCCACCGACGATTGCTATTCGATGACGCCTTTGGAGTTGGCGAAGCCTTAAACGAGTCAGCATTCGGGGAAGGGTTGGTTGTACGGGGGAGACATTGGGTCATTCTTGGGGGAAAAGGTTAGTTTAAATCCATAAATAAATAAACCCTCCAAACGAATGTAAATAAGTAGCGTCAGACCGATTCAAGTTTCCTTTAACGTTTCCGTCCGTCCTAACGGTCACGAAGTCAAAAATATTAACGTCCTTGAAATCGCAGTCTAATTTCCTTTAAAATGACTCCCCATATGACAATTATGAATATTTTGACCTTTGACCTCGTCCTCAAGGTCATAAGGTCAAAAATATTAACATCCTTGAAATCGGAGTCAAATTTCCTTTAAAATGATACCTCATATGACAGTTATGTATTTTTGACCTTTGACCTCGTCCTCAAGGTCATGAGGTCAAAAATATTAACGTTTTTGAATTCGCGGTGGAATTTCCTTTAAAATGACACCCCATATGAAAATTACAGTTAAATTTAATTGGGACCACACCCCCTGGCGCGGTGGGGTGTGGTCTGATTGACCCCACTTACGAACTCGGTCGAGAACTAAAAATTAGAAGCACAATGTCGAAAACCCCGTTTGATTATCTTGACTCGTTCTGGAGATATCCTGCTGACGGACGGACAAAACGATCACAATAAGTAGCTGACGCTACTTAATAACCTAACCTAATTATAAATCAGTGACCAAATAAAATGAATATTTAACAATCTCTCAGATCCCGCCCCACTGCATCGTCCCCTCGCCCAAGAGATATTCATGGACCGGATCATTTCCTTCGCTCCGTATGAAGAGAGCAACGCCATAAATCCAAAAATCTTGGGGGAAAAGACTACGATATTTTCTGCCCTGTCGGCCGTCTTACCTCCAAATGTGCATGTATTAACGCTTGAACCATTATCGGGAAATCAGTTTCTGCTAAGATTGGAGCATTTTTACGAGAAGGGTGAAACTGGAGGTGACATTGTGAGGGTGGATATTGGGGTGAGACACATACATGAATTTATTTAGGTGTAGCATTATATTTCTGGCATTTTGTAACTTTGTAACAGTCCCTCCATGACGCCATGCCCTTCATAAAGTCGATACGAGAAGCTACTCTTTCCGGGAATCAATGGAAGTCAGAGGTCAAACGGATGGAGTGGGGATGCGAAGGGGGGTGTGGTGGGGACGAAAGTAGTAGTGGTGGTGGGGTAGAGGGAGAAATTGTACTGAGGCCGATGGAGATAAAGACCTTTGTTGTAGGGTATTGATAGATTTTAGTTCTTAGAAGGGCATGTACCAATGGTACAGTACCATACTGTAGCATTTTTATTTTTGGGGTATAATAAAATAAAGGTTATTCGTTGTTGAGTCGAGTTCAGACTTGTTTAAATATTTGTGTTATTTTTACATTTTGGTGATAAGAAAATGATTGCATATCATATGTGGGCCAACCGCATGGCCAGTCGGTTCATTATTACATAGACTTGTATACATACAAGTCTACATACATATGCATACTTACATTACTTCATACTTGCATTAGTTGCACGTTGCATTCTTGTCAATGTGAAGTAGATGCATATATATATCGTAGTAGTTAAAGGTCTGCTGATTTTCGGGGATAAATATTTTCAATTACAAAACACATTTACCATTTTTTGATTAATTCAAGACAAAAATATTGACCGTAATATGGACTTCGAGTCTTTCGAGGTGGTTCGTGACCATCATGAGGTGAGTTTTTGATGCAGTCATTTTGTGGGAGGTTTGGTTATTATACTTTAATAAAATAACTTTATAATATTTCGTTAACTACAAATAATATTTCAGGAAACTACCACTACTCCTCCTGAAAGTGTGACTACATCCGCCATCAACGACTTGACTAAAATGTATGACAATGAAGAAGCCGAACCTTTCAAGGATTCTGACGAGGTACACGAAACGTTTTGTCATACGCACATGTTAATTTTTGCAAATGGAATTTGTATCGGATCATTTAACTATTTAGATTCCACCACCAAGAATTGAAATTGAAATTAAAGATGACGATGGTCAACAACCATCATCAAACGTCCCAGAAGAAATTGACCAAAGTTCAAATCTCACAAATGAACAAAATGACTCTGACAACGACGACATGATGCGCACGCTCAAATCTACAATCAATCAACAGACTTCATTAGCTTCAATGCTCCGTGATCGTAAGTGGCAAAAATATCTAAAAGCTTGACCTAATTTACCGCTAAATTAAGAAATGTATCTATACCATTAATTAATTTTCTTAGGCACCACACTGACCAACACTCACCTCACCAACCTCACTTCACTCCTGTCTTCTACCATCGCTAAACCACCACCCACACCCCCTACTATCCCAACCACCCCTATGATAACCCCACGCGTCCTCATCACTGCCACCCTGCTCGCCTTCTTTCTCGCCTTTTCCCTCTTTCTCATCCACACCTTTATCTTCTCCCAAATCATCTCCAGCCAACAATCTCACCATCTCAACGTAACAAATGCCGATCGAGTCGAACGCCTCCACCACATTGACGTACGCGACGAGCTGAGAGACGAACTGATGCACAAGGCGTACGAGAGGGCACGCGTTAGCGAAGAAGAAATCAAATATTGTCGCGCCGAGATTCGCACCTCACATCTCGAACTGACTAAATGTTTCGAAAAGAGGAAAGAGTTGGAAGAATTTTTGGGCGAAATGCGATCCAAAGGTGGCAACGTGAGAGGAAAGATGGACGAGTTGAAAAAGAAGTTGATCATCGTACGACAGGAGAACGACAAGTTGAAAGGGTGCCTGATTCTGGGAGGGATTGCAGTCGCTACGTGGGCCGTTGTAAAGATATTTGGACCTAATAACAATAAGATGTGATTCTATGGATGTATGTACCTTCCTGATAATATTTATTTATGAATAAATTCAATTGGTTAATAATGCAGACACTGCTCATACTTGAACTCGGGTTTCAAAATGATATTGTTGCGAAATGCGATGAGGATTATGAAGAAGAGATAAGAGAACGTGATGACATACGCGCTGACATAGACGGCCAAAATTCCTATCCACGCAAAGACAATTGAAGTAGTAAAGCGAACCTCCCAATTGACACAGCCGGTTTGACGGACCATGCGGGCATTTCGAAAATCAGGGAATTCGTCTAGTTTCATAAATCAATTTGAATTTTTAAGCATTATTATTGGCAAATTATGATTGGTCCAAGCGCGTTTTCATACTTGGCAAGAACCAACAGCTACTTGGGACGAGGCAGGATGCCACGTTATCGTCAGGATTTCCAAAATCTGCCTGCATTCGGTTTGTCTTATTGCAAAGGTTACCGTGCCAAGCGTTAGAGTGGGTTTCATTGTAAGCGTAAAGGGTCCAATCATCCGGACCCGTAAGGCCGCAACATACGTGCTAAAGAGATGATGTGGTTAGTTGTTACTTTCAGCGTAAAATGAACTATGCAAATATAATTTTACATAAAGCTGCATTAATTGCAATGGTTCAGTCTTTCCACTTTTGAAATCGTCCTCCATGATTTTAGTCACAGCTTCACTGATAAGTTCAGTCTGCGTGGAATAGTAAAGCACGGTAGAAATGAGGTAGAAGCAGAGGGCGAAAGGAAACAGCCACCGCTGTAATTAATTAATTATTTAATTTAATTATACACAATTGTCAACCTAAATTATTATTTTTTTGCTCACCCACTCGCCCAGAATTTTCCACATCACCGTCCTCGGATACTGGACTAGCGCGTTCCCAACAAATAATAGGATTAGCCCTACAACGAAAATGATCCAAAATTGGTAAATTGCTTCAGATCCTGTAGGCATCAAGACGGCGTGAGCGATGTGGACCCTGTCCAAAATATCTATTTTGTACATAATTTGTCCTTCTATAATATTGAAATACTTGAAAAATATTAGCACCCCACCTCGCCGCCAAATACCACGGAAGTACGAAATAAATATACTGCACGAAGGCAGCCAAAGCTGCCAAGATAAGCGTGCAGATAATCAACGCCACCTGGACTTGGACCAATCTCGCCTGGTAGATTGGAAGAAGATCTTTTCCCGAGGATGCATTTTGAGCGTCCGCTAAACTCAGGAGGACAAAGGCTTCTTCAAATTCCTTCAAATTTACAAATTCATTATTAATTTAATTGTTATCATATTTCATATTAAATAATATGTGCTTGCTTTCGTGATTGCGGAATTGTTACTGCCCGTCGAGGAACTAGAACTTCCTCGACCTAGTTCTTTCTCATCCTGTGACGATGGAAGAATGAGCGTGTTGGACGGGGTCGTTTGAAGGTGTTGACTACTCCCAGATTTTTGGGTCGTCGTCGTCGTTTGTTCGTTATTAGTTTGTGATAAAGATGGTTGTTGGTTTTTATTCTTAATCCGATCTGAAACATCTTTCTGTCGTTGAGAGAGTTTCTGCGCCTCGGCATTTATCATGGTCGCTTTTTCCTGCTGAGATTGGATTTTTGCTTGGAAAGATGACACCGTGGCGGCTGTGGAGGAAGGACTTTGTTGTTCTTGTGCTTGTTGGTGGGTGAGGTTGGCCAGGGCGGATTTCGTTTTAGCCTTGAACAGGGATGGGGCCCGTGGAGCGGAGGGTTTCTTATCCATTTGAATGACTTTTTCGAAAATTACTAAATTATATTTAACTAAATATGTAATGACAGTAATCTACATATCTACATAATTATTCGTGGTTATTACATACATAATTATTCCAAAGTTCAACATGTACAAGTTTGGAATAAAAAAAATATGTTTTTAGACAAGTGAAATATTTTTGCACGAGGTCAAGTAAACATTCGCTATGAGTTACAGTTGTGTCAATAATTTTCTCGTTTGCTCAACCACTCCAGTAAAATACATAATTTCCTCTCCATTCATCGTCCCAATCTCATGCACTTATTGTAATGTGTCTCTCAAAACTAATCCAATTATAATTAGCAGTTAGTAATTATTTAAAATGCAAATTTTACTCGCTCTACTTTGGGCGTACTTTTTGGTTCCGGACGTCGATTCGAAGCGATTATCTTCTCCGCCTACTAAACAAGTAATATTCGTAATAAGTCGATTTTTAGCGAAAAATTGAATTTCGACAAAATTTGCTTTTCAGAACAATGGAGCAGTTGAAATCTCCCTTCCCGAACGAATCCTTCGTCTCAACGAGTTGCTCAAACAAAGTCCCTTAGCTCCGATAACCCTCTCGTTCAAGCAGTATCGCCAACTTGTGCTTCCTGCGCCGAGAAATTTTTCATTTTTCGTCCTCTTCGTCAACGGCGAAGATGTGACGGATGAGAAGGACAGCGAGTACTGCGGAAAATGTGACGATGCGATCGCCTGGTGGAATCACGTCGCGTCGATTCATTTCGTTCAAGAATGGCGAAAAAATGGGGGCTACCTCTTTAGCGAAAAGCCAGATCCGGTGTTTTTTGGAATCGTCAAGATTTATTGGGATAAGGTTTCGAAGGTTTGTTGAGACATTTGTTATTGAAAATATATGTAAAGTAATTATGAAAAAAAATGTAAAATTCTACTTCTCTTCCAGGTGAAAGTACCTGTTCAAATTAACCAACCCAACATGTACTATTTTGGAAATACGACAAGTGGTAGAAAGATGGATAGCAATTTCGGGCGAATTTCAAGCCTAAATTCTTCCCAGTTTAAAAATGACGAATTTCCGCGACAAATGTATATCTTTGATTTATTAGAATGGATAACGGAATGTTCCGGAATTGTCGTGAGTTTTACTTTGAAGAAGAATTTTATGGGTTTTTGTGAACTTTGAAAAAAAAATCATCCAAAAAATAATTACTATTTATTTGCTAGATCGACCTGAGAACGGAACCATTAAAATGGAACAGAACAGGGGTAACATTTATTTGGATGATAGCCTTCCTCGCTATTTACTTTGTCTGGAGGGTTTTTGACGTGACCTTGATTGTGCAAGCGGTTTGGGATTTATTGAATAATATAAATTACAAATACTTGGCTGTGGTAATTAAATCTGAGATTTTTCTTTTATGACATTACCTCATCTCGAATCCTATGTATATGTATTTAGTGTTTCGCCTTGTGGTGCGTCTCTGGTCAATTGTACAACCAAATGAAGAATACTGGTTGGGCATACTATGATAAAGACCACAACATGGTTTTTGTAGCGCCAGGTCATAGTTACCAACTTTTATCCGAGTCATTTATCGTGATGGCATTGTGTAAGCCATGTTCCTAATATAAATTAGAATCAAACAACACACGTAAAGACATAATTAAACTCTTTTATCTGCCCCATTTTAGACGCAGGAATCACCATTTCTTTTGTGCAATTGATACAAAAAGCAGAAGATGCAGAAGAGCAGAAGATAAATCTCGACCCCTCTAAACTCTTTGGATCTTTTATACTTCTTGTCAGTTCTTTCATGGGTCTGATGCATGTCGTCACCATCAAAAATTAGTCGTTTTTGATGATGAATTGTTATTTATAAACATTAATGATCATTGTAGTTTATTATGAATGTTGGTTTCGATAAATGTATGTATCTTATCTTACAACTTGTAAGTTAAGAAAGCAAATGCATAAACACTAGTTTACAAGAAAATACGCGACTAATAGCCCAAAAATGCTGAAAATTGTATGTCCTCTCACAACCACCCCCACATCAGGCATAGATTCACGCTTTTTCCCCGTACATGGCGGACCTCGTGGTGATTTGTATAACCTGCTTTCCGCCACGTTTGGATAAGAGATCTTTGAATTATGCACGACAGAATTTGTCATTCGTTGCGTGTAAGTGAAACAGATCGATTGATGAAGACTGTAGCGCCTCTTTGTTTCTAAAAGTTGGCGAAATTCCGAGCTCCAATTAAATCTTGTGTTCAAAACTGTTTCAAACTCTCCTTGGAGCGATGTTGGTTCTTCGATTTGAATTGTGTCTCGACCAAATGATGTAGTTGTGCTGGAAGGGAGAATTATTGTCATAAATGCGTCTAATTTGAAATTTTCTCTTATGTAACACCTTTACTTACTTGTGATATTTTGTGATACCAAAGTCGATAAAGGCGTCTTCCACTGGATAAGTTGATCCACAAATTGTCACATCCATTACCGGGTAATACCAGACATAACCTTGACACATTTCGTCAGACTCAGACAAACTTGCGACCCCAACAGTCCCATTTTTCCACATTGTGTCAAAAGTACACTCTGTAGTAAAGTTGTAAAATACTTGGTAATTATGTGCAATTATTATGAAAATCATGTAAATTGCACCTAACGTAATCTGATCTCCTGGAAGAACATGCCCACGTCTAAGCAACTGCTTGTTCTGCTGGTAGTTAAAACTGTAACGATCATCAAAATCAATCCAGGGAAGTTCCTTCCCGTGACGAAAGTGGCGTAGTTTCAGTTTTCTTCCTAAAATAACGTAATAGCAGCAGTTATTTAGTAATCAATGGTAAAAATCTTACTATTCTACCTGATAAATGGGCACGTAGCATCGTATTAAAAATTGTGATGCCCTCGGGAGGAAATTGTCTTGTACAGTTTGGACTACAGTGACCTGCAATCACGAAGTCGTGTACGCTTGGGGGCACTACCAAACCCAAGTTTGTGTCTTGTCCTACCCACAACAGTCCAGCTTCTAAGGGCCTGTAAAATATTGCTAATTTTCAGCACATGATAATTATATGTACACAATGTCCAAAAGAGAAAATGCCTCACCGAAGTTTTTTATTGTAATGCACTTTAATTCCAGCTCTAATATTTACATCTGGAAGTGATTCAGGATTCCTGAAACGGATCTCAAGCATGTAATGAGACGGTTCTACCCCATTGCCAATAGCAAATCCGATGTCCGCAGGGAAATAGAGTTCCTACATAGTTAAAATATTTCAATATTGAGTCAAGTTATCATATTGCAGTTATTTGTACATCTACCGTATTCCCCTTTGACCACGTGTACAACATTTCTGTACAGAATTCCAGTGGTGCGACAACATCACTACTTTCTTCCTCCTTGAAATCCGCCATGCAATTCGACCCTGGGAACTTGTCGATTGTAAAATTTTGAAATGTCTCCACCAATGAGTCATCCTCGTGCATCGAGCAATTGTACATGGTTAAATGACTGACAAACTTGTGCGAGTCTCCGAGAATGACGCTCCACTAAGAAAATATTTACAATTAGTGACCAACAAACTATAAATAACTTGGCATAACGTTTATAAATCAGTTCTATACCGCAACGACATGATGTTTCGTATCCAGGTCGGGACCTTCATGAAATGTGCACCAGTAAGTGCCATCCTCCTGCGGGAGTGACATGTTCACAGCCAAGTCGAAACTTTCCGTCCTGCAATTCATTTACCTAGCTTATCAAATATCTTATCGAATTTATTGAAACACTCACTCATTCAGATCGATGAAAGATTGTGGTCTCCTGAACAAATCTACACTTTTAGTGCCACGCTCTTCCGTTCCGTGATAATCAATCTCATCTTTTTCTCCCAGAGCCCAAATTATTTTGATGTTGCCTTCCTAAAAAGGTAAACAAAATCACTACCTCTCCACGAGTCAAGGTCAAAAGCTTCACTATATTAAAAACCTACACCAATTATTAAATCTTCATCGTCATCGCAAGTATCCAGAAAACGAGTGAATTTGAGATACGTTTTTGTAACCTCGTTATGACCCCGTTTTGTTGCCGACGTGATGGTCACTTCTTCTGCTTTTAATAACTTCCAATTTGAATGAATATCCACTTTTGGTTGTGTCTCACCCAGCGGTACGAATCTGTCCTTGACGCCACAGGTCATGCGTAAATTATTGCAAATATTATGCAAATATGTAATCTAATGTGCGCGACTTTCTCACCGAATGGTAAGGGCTTCCATCGGGACGAACGCCTCCAATGAAGACATCCGCTCCACTCATTTTTCCTTCCGGAGAAATCCCAAACCCGACGTAACCATCAGTCTCGCCCTCCAATTCGAACGTGACGGATTGCTCGGACTCGTTTATGGTCCAACCAAGCGTCACTTTCCCCTCAAAGTCCAAGTCTTCCACGTTTTTGCTCGTTTTTATCAAGGTTTTCCCTCGTCGTTCACAATTTATTGGATTTGAATGCATGACCACTAAATAAAGCGATACGACAATACAACAATTTTCGAGATAACTAGTCATAATTAATAGTGATTTTATTATTGCACAATATTTTTGTTTTGTTTGTGCCACGACGCACGACTAATTGACAATGATTAGTAATAATTGGAATGGATTCTTTAACCAGTGCAGATCAAAATATTTATTAAAACTACTAATATTATTATGGGAATTGTTTAATGTGAGGTAATATTTATACGACAAGCTGAGAATGAGAGAATAAAAGTATGAAATTTGCTACTGTAACGAATTGATCATACTTGCATGACATCCTGAAAATGCTTTAGCTGACGTTTTTGTTAGTTTAATAGTCGCCAAAATTATTTACTAATGTATTTTGAGTAATTTTATTTGCATGCAAATAAAATTCAACACATTACGTATATATAAGAGTAGGTATAAAATCTAGACAAAAAATGTCATATAGTTCGAAGGGTAAGCCAAGGTGTAAATGCAAAAGTTTGGCATTTAACACAAATGGATATGGTTCTTTTGGCAGCTTCAACGACGAAATGTAAAATTTTAAGCTGTGATAGATTTCTGTTGAAGTTGAAAATGCAATAAAAAAATTCTTATTACGAATTGATTTCATTTACTGATGGATAATTGTCTAAAATTATTAGTGAATTATTGGAAGTGATAAAAAAATCATGAAGTTAAAATTAGCTCACTGAAACTTTCACCCTCTTCCGAAAAAACATTCCAGGATTTCCTAGTAATAATTACAGTTTGAACATTGTACTAAACGTCAACCTGAAATCTGAGCATGATTCATATTTGTATTACTTACATAGGATTTTTATTACGATTTGGAATTAATCAACTCTAGAAGGAATGTTTGATTGGATATTTATTAATTACTGATTGGAATGAGTTGATCATTTTATGTGTGGGCGGGGTGGCGTGGATATGTTATGTTATAATTGGATCGATAAATTTTATCCAATGGATAAAAATAGTTGACATTAACATTACTCGCGAAAGACAAATATCGATTGACCAGTACTAAATAATTATTGCATTAATCAGTGCAATTCAAATTATTTTTATACAGGCAATTGTGGCGTTTATGCTCTTGTAATTTTCAAGATCAATTGTTCACTACTTTCATTTATATGAAAATTGAAAATAAAACGCATCGTTTTAGCTTCCCAACTCTTTTAATTGCTTCACATCAAACATCAAGAATTATAAGAACATCTATTGCCGAAGGTGATATACATAATTATGTGCAAACAGTGCCTGTGGAATAGAAAGTGAAATTTAGGGGGTAAATTACCAGCCCTGCGTTTGGAACTTTGTCTGGTCAATCTTTACGCCCCTGCTAACTCCCCCCGTCCCAGTTTGCGACCCTCTGTCATCGGGAGGACCAGATCGCGAGACGAGATTTGTGAGAAAAACTTTGCTCCTGAAACCGGAAGCGTTGTCGTTGTGACCATTTGAAGAATGCTTAGCAGACTCGTTGGCGACAATACCAGGCGCAAAAAATTTTGGGTCGTGGTCGAGCAAAAATTTTCGCAGAATGTGTAAAGGTTCTTTGGTCCGGTCTTTTCTTGAAGCTTGGTGGGTGGAAATGTAGCTGGAAAAGAAAATACAGGATTATTTTGCACCATTTCTTTTAGAGGAGAGACAAGTTTAGTTTTTACTACCCAAAAGTTCCTGGTGGTTCAAAACTGTCCTCGTCATAATCTCCTTGATTAATGCCTCCCTCTTTTAACTGCAGGTAATTTGGACTTTTATGACTATACGGGTTTCCTCTTTTGTCCTTGTTATTCTGTCCGTCCTCCGTATTTTTACTACTCCCTTCGTCATCATCATCGTCAGACACTTCTTCAGTCGAGGTTGCGTTTAATTGCGGTAGTGTTGGGTCATTCCTCGGTTTCCGGTTGAACCCAAATCTAACCTGGAGAGGAAGATTAGGTCGGGCAAGTCCATGAGAAAGTGGGACGACATAACCAGTACTGGTCGCAATTGGTGGTGGTGGCGGTTCCAGGTTTGACGGGTCCAAATCAACAACTTGGAACGCGTTGTCCCCCAGGGGGCCAAGTTGAGACAGGAGAGCGCTGTAGGAAGGGTCACCGTCTCCCTTCTGGTGATGATTTCCTTCCTTGTTGACATTGCTGTCGTATTGCCACCTCCCATCCTTAAATATCAGCCCACTTCCTATCAACTTTCGCTCCAGGAGGTTCCACACATCGTCGGAAATGTAGGTGGGCCCGTCACCAATGGATCTCGGCGCATCTTCGTCACTTGTCGTTCTCAGATTGTGGATTGATTGGTTGATGATTTCATTGAAGTCGAGCACCCGTCCAATATCGGCTTGGTTGAAGCGGTTCTGTTTCGGGGGGATGAGGCCATACTTGAGAAAGTAGAGGGCCTCCCAGTACGGAATCTTTTGGTAGGAGATGCCCCCCTCTTTGGGGATGACGTATCTCGGTTGAAGTTGGGTGGGATGTCGCAAGGGCCGCGACGAGGCGTGAACGGTGGCGCAAGGAATGAAAATTTGGTGGGTGAGGAGGGCGACGAGGAAGAGAATGGGGGTTACCCATGGGGGCGGGACAGCGCGGAAGAGCGAGTGCTCGCTGCCCATCAAACTTTTGTTCAGTGGGGCGTTTTTACCATTATTTGTAATGCTTGGATTTATGTGTCTGTGGTTCTTGTTGTCCAATTGGGAAGTGATTTTGCGGATGAGAGATTCTCATTTTATATGTCTTGGTCAGAATGCGGGGCTCATTTGTTATCAATTTGTCCAATTTGGTGGGGAATTTCATTACGTGAAATGCGAGCGTGTGACGCTTATACAGAGGTGTAGACTTTCTCCGGCTACTTTCTCTTGTAAATAGTACGCATTATATTTTCGGGTTGGAGTTGGATTGAGAAGGACGAATAAGGATGAGACAATTAATTTTTCTTGGAATGATATTGACGACATAGGTTTTACGCCACCGCAAATTCAATGTTAACGATTGTTACGTAATAATTGAATACTTGTAGTTTTGCGATTTTCGGTAGTGAATAGAATAAAGCATTTTGAGCTGATTTTGAAAGGAAAATTGTATAATTGAAACAGTCATTAATATGATTTTGACAAAGTGTTTGAAATCGTTTTATTATCTAAGTATGATGACTCGGAAGTTTTGTCATTGTCGAAAACTGGTCAAATCCAGCAATCATTTTTCGTCCACTTCCCCAGATATCGAAAATTGGATCTTCTTCGGCAAGGATATCGGCGTTGAAAAATGGGAATATTATTGGCTGACTTGATTATTGGCGACCTTGGAGCAGCATCTACTATTCTGATGGGCTATATTTTAAAATGTGGATTAGATATTTTTAGTTTTCACTTTTCACATAAAATATATAATATGAAAATTATGTGTTATCTCACCGATATCAACCCCAACGACATAATCACAACTGCAAAAATACTCCACTTATTAAATGGTTTCATCTTCGCAGTATACAATTTCGTAAGAAATCACCAGAAAATTGTCTTTTATTTTTTCATCTAGACAGAACGTTACTTGCTTTATTTTACATTCTGGAAATTACATAAGAACCCGAATAATGGCCATTATCACATTTTTTCAGACAATGCATTTTTTTAACTTTACGGAAGCACTATTATTTTATTGACTACAAATATAAGTTTATTTCGTTTTCCAAACCTCGTAATTGCAAGACTTGTAAAATAAACAAATTATGACAAATGAAGGAAACTTAGGTATATTATGCACAATAATACACACAACCATTCATCACAAAAAAGTGTATCACATTTTATTCGATTTTTGACTTGAAGTTTTTGCTAAGATTCTTTAAAACTAGTCGTCGCTTCTGCCTGAATTAAAAAATGGATTGTTATCAATGCCATATCCAAACATTGGAATTTGCGGCTGCCTCCAATTCGTCAAGGCGTCATTGTACATCGTATTCATGATTATCGTGGGTGGATCACCGTCTGGGAAGAAAATGTTCGGCAAGGGGTCCTTATCTGGAAAAAATGAGGGAACAGCCACACTCGCTCCTTCAGGTCGTTTAGGGGCAGCATCGCTTTGAGTGAACTAATAAAATAGATTGTGGAAATTAGATTTAAATAGAAATTATGTACATTAAGTTTGTAAACTGTAATTAATAATTGTTCTTAATACCACTAAAATCCAGAGTACAACTGTTAAGAGAAAATTGGTTGATTTACGATGTAAGCTCATTATTAGGTGATTCTTGGAAACTAATCCTTATGAAAATGCAAAAATTGAAAATATTTAGGCTACTTTTATCGTGGTTGGTGATGACGATGTTGTCGAAAGATGACCTAAATCGTACTTGTTAACACGTACATGATCACGTAATTGGGTGCGTGACGCTTGCATGGTTTAATTTGTTAAAGAAATTAATGTAAAATATTCCATTGTTTCTAGTCGTCATTTTAAAGCAAGTCGTAAAAAGTAGTTGTAAAGTAAACGTTACTGCTATTGTCACAATTGAACTTGTAATAACTTCAAAGTGGTAAAACTCAATTATTTTAAAGCCGCGATAGAAGAATTTCAGTTGACATCATTTATTTTCTGATGAATTAGTAATATTAGTCTTGAAAACATGACGTACTTAAATTTACAAAAGTTAATTACAAAAAGTATAAATTAATTCTTCTTCCTTAACACCAACTCCCGAACGGCGTTTTCCGTTGATTTGTAATCTTTTTCCAGAATGTCCTTCCCATTCTAATAGATATAATTATTATAATAGTTAACAAAATTCCAAACAATTTATGATAAGTGATTAGCAATACCTCAAAACCACGAATCTTTTCTGCAAATTCCTTCACGCTCTTTCCTAAAGTTTCTTTAACTTTTGGGATGTTTGAGGCGAAAAAGGCACGCCCCACGGCTTCGTAGACGGGCGTGGTTACAGGGAGATTCTACATGCATAATTTTATGACAATAAATTTAATGACAAAGAAAACAAATTAATGATTCAATTAACTAAACTAACCCCCATTTCTCGATTCGTAATTTCTTTGTGAAGCATGGACCTTTTTAGAGATTCGATTTGAATATCGGTAAACTTGATTGTTTGGTTAGTGTCAATTAACTTTAATTGTAGTTCGGCGAAGGCCTGCTTTAACTCTAGGTCGGGTGTCGCCATTTTTTTAAGTTTGCTAATTTTTAGCAAATTAGAATTTTTTTTACAAAAAACGAGAGAGAGATCGGCTCAAGAAAACTTTAAACCTGCCGATTGACAACGGGCAGGATTTAGCCCGTTTCAAATGCATGCAAAAATAATACTTGATATGCAATTTGCAAAATTACAGTAAGTTCACCAGATTTCATTAACTTGCATTAATTTAATTTAATTGCTTCAAAAATTAAAATTAAGTTAAGTAACTTGTAACTTGTAAAAATATTTAAGCATATTTCGGAAATGAATCCACAACCGGCATTTCTGCCAACAATTTCCGCACAATTTTCCCAGTTTTTCCAACAGGAATTTGTTCCAGGATGAACAAACCTCCTCTAAGTTGTTTGTAATTAGCGACTTTTTCTAAAAACAAAAATTCATAATTTTTATATGTTAATTATTTTCTTAAAAGCACCCGTTTAAATAAATAGTAAATAGTAAATACCATTAAACCACGAAGAAATATCCCAATTTGACACATTTTTCGAACAAGTTTTATTCAGAACAACGAATGCTCTCGGAATAAATTCGCCCCCGTGAGGATCTGGCACCCCACAAACTACGGCTTGCGCCACTGCCTGATGTCGCATCAAGATATCCTCCAACTCGGTTGGTGAAATCTAACAAATATTTAACTTTTAATTATAATTAATGTATGTGCAATGAATTTAATGATGTTTTTTTTACGTGGTCCCCAAAATACCGAAAAATATCTTTATTTCTATCCACAATGTAAATAAATCCTTTCTCGTCATAGTATCCCACGTCTCCCGTGAATAGCCACCCATCTTGAAAAGTGATGGCGTTATCCTGCAATAAAAGTGATATGGATATTAATACAGCACCACAAAGTCGCAAATTATTATTACATAAATACCTCGGGTCTGTGTATGTATCCGTTGCAAATAAGGTCTGTTTTGATGCACAATTCTCCCTTCTCCATAGGACCCAATTTTACCCCGGTCTCAACATGTACGACTTTCAATTGGACACCGGGGATTAGTTTGCCTACGCTGTATGGAGGAAGGTCTAGCGTCAAGGCACAGGTAAAACTGTTAATTTGAATAATATGACGTAAAATTAATACGTTAAGTCAAGTATCCATACCTTTTAACGCTTCAAATTTGCCATCAAGTAAAGCATCCCAATCAGAACTCGACGTAATGAGCCCACATTCCGTCATGCCATAAATGTCGACAAAATGTTTCAAATTCGGAAACTTTTTCATAATCGTCATCGCTTCGGGTGTAATGATATGTCCCCCCGTCGCCAAGTAGGCGACACTACGCAAATCTTTGGAAACATGACTAAAGCCCGTCTCTTCCGCCTCGGCGACAAGTTCCAGTATGAATTTGGGAAAGAGAAACAAGGATCGTGCCTGATATTTTTGGATCGCTGAGAAAAGCCTGGGCACCGTTACAGACGCCATTTGTAGAAGATATCGACCCCCACAAATGTACGAGAATGCGACGGCAGAGCCGATAAAGTGGGTGGGTTTAGATCCCAAGATGCTCGCCGTTTTTGGATCATCGGTAAAAGAGGTGTATTCAAAGGCAAGGATGTTCTGAAGGAGGGACGATTGACTGTAAACGGCGCCCTTGCTGAGACCAGTAGTACCGCTCGTGGGAACGATAAGTGCTGCCGAGTCTGGTCCAATTTCCAAGGGGGGACAATCTGTAAATAAAATATTTTTTTTACACTTTTCCAGAATTTTCCTATTTCTATTCTTGTTTTTACAAACCTTGCCCAACACTTTCTTGGAGGAAAGAGGAGAGTGAATAGCATCCTTCCCGTTCTCGTTTGTTATCATGATCCCCAAGAACAATCACTTTTATTTCATTGGACCATGGAGCTTTAGAAATTGCGTGCAAAACTTCAGCCAGAATTGACTCGTCGCACGCGATCCATTTAGATTTAGATTCAATTACGCGATCCAGTAATGCATCTGTGTTGTTTAAAAGGTTGCAAAAAGTATACAAAATTGAATGCAAAATTTGAATATTTGTGCAGTACAGATATAATAGTACCTTGAATTTCTTCGCAATATGACGCTCTCGCCGTCCCGTTTGCCCTCCACACGCCAAGAATTAGGGAATGAATCACGAGCACATTATTTGTCAAGTAGATCAAAGTATCGTCTGTTCGGAAGCCTAAATTATACAGTCCACCCGCAATTTGTTTTGAGTTGGTTTGTAGCTCTTTGAAAGTCAGAGACTCGTCGGTGTCTGGATTTGTCTACAAAATAAAAAATTATGAATTTTTTTCAAGCAGTAACAGAAATAATTATTAATTTTACGATGCATTTTTCCCTCCCATTTGCTACGTGCTCTGATAATCGTCGTAGAATGTATTCCAAAGCGGTGTTTTCCTTCCGTGGCCAGCGGAACGTGTATTCAGACTTTATTTCGAACTTGGTGTCTGACATTGTTTCAGGAATTTTTTCTGGAAATTTGGAAATAATGTGTATGCAACTAACTATTTATTATCTTTTTTGGGGCTTTTGAATGACATACGTGCGAATAAAGCTGAATGTTAACCTAATATTCAGGTTATCTTATTTACGTCCAGTTCTTTTTTCAACTGTAAACATTGCGTATTATCGAGCTATTTATGTATGGAATATTGAGAATTTTATGACACGTGAGGATTTACTTTCATCCAATAGTTAGTAGGTCAGCTATTTATTTGCACGTGATCGACTCATCATAAGTATTTTTATTGTATTATTTATATAATGGAATTTTTATCATGTTTACCAAAACCACGCCGTTTAAGCTCATTGCCATTTACGCTGCTAATCCTGGTGGGCATGTATGTACTTAAATATATCCCTGGTTGTTGAAGATTACCATTTTTGAAGGAGCAAATGGCAACTTTTAAGTGAGGGTCGTAATAAGTGTGCGAAGTTCATTGCATAAAAGATGTAAGATTATTAACTAACTTTAGTGAGATTTTTTGAGTTGTAAACTACTCTATTCTATTTTTTTGGTAATAAAAGTTGTTACATATTAATAAACCCTCCAAACGAATATAAATAAGTAGCGTCAGAGCGATTCTAGTTTCCTTTAACGTTTCCGTATATGACCTCGTCCTAACGGTCATGAGGTCAAAAATATTAACTCCCTTGAAATCGCAGTCAAATTTCCTTTAAAATGACACCCCATATGAACATTAAGTGTTTTTTGACCCCCTGACCTTGGCGACGAGGTCAAAGGTCAAAAATATTGGCGTCGTTGAATTCGTGGCGAAATTTCCTTTAAAATGATACCCCATATGAAAATTAACGTGAATTTAATTTTGGACCACACCCCCTGGCGCTGTGGGGGGTGGTCCGATTGACTCAATTTTCGAACTCGACCGAGAACTAAAAATTAGAAGCACAATGGCGAAAACGGGGTCTGATTATGTTGACTCGTTCAGGAGATATCCTGCTTACAGACGGACGGACGGACAAAGTGATCGCAATAAGCAGCTGACGCTACTTAATAATTAAATGCAGCAATAAACAACGTTGCAGCAATCGGGATTGGGATTTAATTAAATGGGTTGAGTGTAAAGAGTACGGGATTGAAACATAACTCCGATGCTGACAATGCGAATTATTATTTTATGATTTTACATAATATGACTATTAAGTAATTACAATTCATTGTTACAAAACATAACTCAAAATTAGTTCGATATTTCAAATAAATACTAGAAATTTTTTTTTTGGTTTCATGAAAAACGTATGAAATTGTTCTTCATATCTTTAATATAATAATGTTTTATGTATCTGCATTACTGATTGCAAGGCACTTGCACTAATAATCACAAGATATATGTATGAATATTTCGCACTTTGTATTCAATGAAGTGCAAGGTTCAAAAGTGTTTTAAAAGTGGAAAAATGTTCAAAATAAATTTCCCGAGTACAATCTTTTATTGTTTAATTAGCTGTTAGGAACATTTACATTTACTGTAAATGATGTGTAGATTATATGTAAATGATTTACATATAATCAACATAACAGTACAATTTGCATATAATCAAGTGGTTTTCGTCGGGGGAATGCCAAGTACATAGTCCAAATGTTTAAGTTAAGAGCATAAGAGTAGGGAAATTTTATTGAAAATCAGGGTCAAAATATGTTCACTCATAAATTTTGGTTCTCGGGCTACAAAGGATTTTCTGTTTAGGGCTAATTAACATAGCATTATTAATTAAGTTAAATAATTTATAACTACAATTAGCTATCAAGACAGTAATATGATTTAAATAAGAATAAGAATTGTACCAATAAATAAGGAAATGTTGTTTGAAAAGCTGGTTTTTCCTTTAAGGTGTAAATGCCCCCCAGTCACAGGGAATCCCTCCAATGCATTTGCACCACGCGAAAAATGGGGCGGAAGAACAAATGCTGTTGGTACATCCCGAACCTCTGGCCCCACTCAGACACACGGCTTGGCATCGGTCGCAGTAATTTTGACCTATAAATACATTTGTTAGATGGTTAAAATACGGAAAATTAATATCGCTTTTACCCATGATCGACCCTGGAAGTACGGCGAGAATGGCTAAGATCGCGAAAATTGAGACGACTACGAAGGAAATGTTTTTCGTTGCCATTTTACGAAATATTTTAAAGTTTCCAAGTTTTTTAGGTTTTAGTCACTTTTATGAAGCTAAGTAAATAAAACTGATACCTTCCTAGACACATTCTCAGCTTTTATATACCTAAACTAATTTATTCGTCGAACCGTTCAAGTAAGCATTTTAAAATCTCGAAAAAGCCAACAGTGAGCTAAATTAAACACAAAATTCAAAGAATCAACAACCGCAAATTATTGTTACACATGTTTGATTTCATTATTGCATTATTCTTCAGATACATAAATCCGGACGCAGATAAAATAGGAAGCAGTTGGTAAATAATTATGCACATTTGTGACTAAAAATGTCTGAGCAAAAAATTTAAATATCAAAATATATTATGACTCAATAAAATGATGACAAATGTTACGGCAGACTTCCGGGGGCATCGAATTACTAATTTCAGTTCAGCGAATATAAATCTGAGGTTATTCGGGGTCAAGTCTATTAAACTCAATTCCTCTTCAATGTATTGCGTGAGTACTTAATCATGCAAAATGTTTGCTAAAAATGCATCCGGTAGGCTTTAGACAAAGAGAGAGAAGGAAGATGTGTATGTAATTGTCATAAAATTAGAGACGTTCACTCACTTTTGAAAGAATATGTAAAAGTTGTGGTTGCTGATTAGTTCGGAGATGAGCCAAGTTATATGGGTGACATCATATTTATAATGATCATAAATTTGCATACGTATGTTTTTTTAGTGGGAAAATAATCCTTTATTTGGAGATGGATATGGGAAATTGTATAAGGAAATATCTATCATTTTGGTGCTGCTCTTACCAAATTAGCTACCACACTACTTAATAAAAAAAATTATTTAAGAACCAGTTCTCATCTTCGGAAAGATGTAAAAGTAAGACTAGAAAGACATATGTTGTAGTGAACAGAAAAAAACACATAGTAAAAATCATAGGTAACGACACATAATTTTGTAGGGTTCAGGCAATCTCAGCTAAAACAAGCATGCCGATAAGACATGATGATAAGTGAGACTATCCCGAAATGATATGGATGACTTAGTATATAGGACGACTGCTTCTTATTGACCGTAGGCAGTAGAAAGGCCTCCGGAAGAACCACCCCCTCCAAATCCACCTCCACCATTTCCAAATCCGGAACCACCACCTCCAGCTCCACCGTTGGCGTACCGGATGAAGAAAACTTCGGGTTTGGATGGGGCAGATGCGGCTGGGCGACGGATCTTGACATCAGCAGAGTTGGGTCCCTTCTTGAGAAGGACGTAGACGAGGGTCTTTTGTTCTCCTTGTTCTGGGAGGATGACCTCGGTTTGTTGGGAGGAAGATTGAGAGGGAGCCTTGACGAAGACGATGTTGACGTGTTTGTCTCCTCCCCCGGGGACTCGGATCACTCGGGATTGAGAATCGGACGCTTCATCAGGTGCAGAGTGAACATAGCTGTGAAAAAATGTGCAAGAAACTATGAAAAATTGCGACCTTTTACATTATATTCGGGCTAAATTACTACTTACACGTGTCTGAAGACTTGTCCACCACCGCCGCCGCCGCCCCCACCGGAACCTCCCCCAAATCCTGACCCTCCAAAACCTCCGAAGCTACCTCCTCCCCCGGATGAAAACGAGTTACCCCCACTATATCCACCACTGCTGCCCCCAGAGTACCCCCCACCACCACCACCGCCAGAATATCCCCCAGAGCCTGAGTAGCCCCCACCACCGCCACCGCCACCACCTGAATAACCACCTCGTTGGCCAGCGCTTACAAAAGCGACGGTGCAAAGGATCTATAAAAACACAAGAAAAGCAAATTCAAAATTTCCGAAAAATGTTTCAAAAAAAGTGCAACTTACAATGAAGGCTTTCATGACTGGGCTGTGTTTCTGGTATGTAGTAGAAGAATGAAGGGAAGATGAGAACTGATGTCTGCAACGATGTCAAGCGTTGCTTATAAATGGTTAGCCAGAGTCGCCTCTCTCTTTACTATTCGAAAATGAGCATCGAAACTTGTCTCTGCTCTTTATTCAGAGACAATTGAGATGTTGTGACCCCTGAAACTTGTAGAACGTACAAAAGTACATCAGTAATCACGCATGAAATTGCACCTGACACATCCTCATCTATTTTTGGGAAAGAAGAATCCTCAGTGATTGACTAGGATGCGGCATATTTTATTTCCGTATAATAATTCTCATTTTGTTGGGCAAACAAGTTTTCTAAAATAAAATAACCATTTCATTAATTTGGACAAAAGGAAGGGCAGAGATTTATATTTTTAAAGTTGACAGTCTCATTTACTTATTTGGTTGTTATAAAAATATACATGAAATACTTTTGTCTCATTAATAGTTAAGAGATTGGGTTTTGTTTGGGTGAGTCGTTGGTAGATCGATATGGAATGTAGAATTTTATTCTTACTTTCGAAACTTTAAAGAAGTACACGATTTTTCAATGTTTGAAAGTTAAAATACAGTTAAATACATAATAGTTAGATAAATAGAAAACAAATAAATGCGTGTCCTTTTCTGTAAAGAATTTTTTTACAAAAAAATACGATATAATTATGAAATTGTAAGTGAAATAGATATATTTATATAGGAGTAGAAGACAATTCTCAAGAACGCTTATGATGGCATAAGAAATATTGTGTAAATTGCATCACTAATTAACAAATTTACTAAAATTATATAATACTAATCCACACTGATCGGCTTATCATTTCATAATGGAGTATGTACGTGTGCATATGCATGTTGTGTCGGTTGCATATTTTATTGGAAAATATTCACTGTTTGGACTTGTAAATACTTAGAACAAACTTTATGCGGCCATTTTACTGGATAAGGAAAGTTGTGATGCGTCTTTCCCCAGAAACTGTGATAAGTAGTTGTCCAATATATTTAAGGCCTTAGGGCACTCATACTTCTTCCTCCCATACTTCATGCCCCCCATTCATGTTGATACTTAAATGAGTTAATGGTATACAGTTAAGTATTAAGCGAAATAAGTACAGTAATATCCCAGATATGTAAAAATTATTCTGGACGCTTGTCATTCCACTAATAAAAACTAAGCATTATCATTGTCAAAGTTTCGATTATTAAATTTTTTATTGTTGAGAAGCAGTGATGGAACTGCTGTTTACCCAACTTATTTTGCATTTATCAAAATGAATGTTGGGTAAATATGACTTGATCTGTGGAAAATGAACTGTATGGGGTATGAAATGCCTGACACCGTATAGTTTGTATTATAGCACTCATTTCCACGACCAGCAACACGGACAAATTTAAGTAGGCTGCAAATTATTTCAAGCCAAAGTTGGACTTTTTACGCATCAAATGAGGCTTCCATGCAATAAAGTAAATCGCACAGAATAATAGTATTTTTAAAATCTTTATTTGACTTTTCAAGTTTTTTACAATTTGTAATTGAAATGGACTAGAAGACATGAGAGAAGAAGAAAGAGTACGCAGCAATCACAAGATAAATATTTTACACTCATTCCATAAAAGGTGGTACAAATGCAACAGCAGCAGCAGAAGCTTAAATGAAATCGAAGGATGGTAATTATTGTCCATAAGCGGTAGAAATGCCGCTTCCACCGGATGAACCACCTCCGAATCCACCGGAACCTCCACCATTTCCGGACCCACCCCCGCTTGATCCTCCAGCTCCTCCAGCACCTCCAGCACCATATCGGATGAAGTAAACCTCTGGCTTTTGTGGGGCGGCAGCAGCTGGGCGACGGATCTTGACGTCGGAGGAAGAACCACCCTTCTTGAGGAGGACGTAGACCAAGTTCTTGTGCTCGTCTTGTTCTGGGAGGATGACTTCGGTTTGTTGGGAAGAGGAGGAAGATGGGGTCTTGACGAAGATGATGTTGACGTGCTTATCAGCCCCCCCGGGAACTCGGATGGTTCGGGATTGAGAATCAGCAGCCTCATCAGGGGCAGAGTGGACGTAGCTGATGGAAAGAGGCAAAGAATTATTAAGGTCACGAGTTAGTCACTGTATTCAAATAAATGCTTATCAATCGTGGTACTTATCAATTGTTGTACTTACACATGTCGGTAAGTTTGTCCTCCTTCACCACCACCACCCCCACCACCTCCACCTCCAGACCCGAATCCACCTCCCCCTGAACCACCCCCAAATCCGCCACCACCACCACCGGAAGTGAATCCACCACCACCACCACCCCCGCTGTAACCACCCCCATTGCCACCACCGCCGCCAGAGTATCCGGCGCTAACAAGCGCAACTGTGGCGCACAAAACCTGAAAAACAAAATTAATTAGTTGCGTAAATAATAATTATTATACCGCATTCAATTATTGTATCGCAAATTTTCTCATATTTCACAAAATGTGATGATTTCTTACAATGAAGACCTTCATGATTAGATTGGATTGAGAGGAAGATGAGACTGATGCCATTTTGGGAACTCATTCATCCTTTTATACAAATTTATCTCAAATTCTCCACCTTTCACTTATTGGAACATACACAGTGCAAATTTATGCGTGAAGAAATCTGAACCAAGATAAATCTCATATTGGTTGGAGGAGTAAAATTGTAAAGCATAAGTAATAACCTATTTCCTCAATAAATACAAATTCATACCTATGTTTATTCCTCGTTTTTATTATTTCTGTCATTTCCTTCTTGCAAGCTATTTTTGAATTGAGTCAAGTTCAGATGACATAATATTCAATTTAAGTACTAAAAAAACTTTGTAATCCGAACTAGATTTTCAAGAAATTATCATCAATCAAAATAACAAACATTTGGAATAACCAGTTACATTTATGCATACATTTGTCCACAAAATTCGAATAAATCAAGACAAAAACTATTCCACCGTGTCATGAAACATTTTGAAAACAAGGACCTCACAATGCGCGACGACATGATGATGAGATGTTAATTGCGCTCTTAATTATTTAGCAACTATTTATCAACTACTCATATTTAGTAATGATAATGTCCTCACGTGTTTAATTATCTAGTACATATGCAAAGTTATTGATTCAATTCACGCCATGCAGGACAAAATGCCTCTCACACGCACACACATGACGAGACGAATGTACTTACGTAAAAAGTGACGATAATTTTCTTGAAAACATTTTTTTCAGACAACTTCATCGTTTTTTCAGACAACTTTTTGAAGAGCAAGTATTGATTTTGAGACGGTCGCGATCGTGTGTCGTCTACATATGCAAAAAAATAGTGTCAATGTGAACGCCATTGTTTTTATCAGGATGAAGAACGATATCAATTAATTAGATAAACTGACTGGTTTAGTTAGTCTGACGGGTTTGAATTACAATAACTCTCACCAAAACTATATTTGCATAACAGTTTTCGACGTAAAAACTGACCTGACCTGACTACATATATTTGTGGTCCAGAGTTTTTAATTTTAGTCTAATGTGGCTTTAAACTCTTACTAATTTTCATCATCTTATCAACGATCCACGATTTCTTAACCAAAACAAACTAGCGCATCTTCTTGAGTGACAGATTGACACTAGCCCTTCGTTCAAACAAATAAATAAAAACAATAAGCCCCTCGAATCAACAATCGGCCTGCGTTTATGTCGATAAGAAATATGACCACACGTTGCAGGGGGTCCTCATCACGCGGTGCAGTCATTATATGACTCATATACCAACAAAAATTACCAATTTAATGCTGCAACGCAACACAACACACGACTAAAAAGTGGAAAACCGGTTAATTTTATTATCCACAATGTGCACTTGTACATAAATATATTTTTGGTTGCATTTGCATCTTTTTTTAATTGTTTCTTCTTGTTGCATCTTCACATGTTGGGATTATTATTATGCTGACTGCCTGACCTGATGATGCCCTTAATATTCAGAAGAGAGATGAGATAATAAAAAACATTCGACTTATTTTAGGTTCCCTATTATTGCGACATGTTGGCACAAATTATTAAGCAGCATGTAATTATTAATAAATTGACGAAATTTCGCAACTTACTGAACAAATTGGGTTTCGGAAGTATGTAGTTGGTAAATATAGACAAGTTTGTTTGAGGGAAAGTTGAGAAAATATTGTATTTGTATACTTTCATCAATCGATAAATTTAACTGATGCACAGGACAAGTTATTGAGACAATTAAGATCAGTTTAACTGCATTTAAGGTTACATATTAACTTTATTGATCCAGTAATTACACTTTCTGATTGCTTGTCAGATAAGATAGGATGCCAATGGCACCTTAAAATCGATCATTAAGCCCTCTACTAAATAAATAATTTCACTACTTTGGCTCCCGATTTTGATCGTAATATTTACTTATCATCCCGTAAAAATGATGAAAAAGGTAATAAAGGTGGCATTAATAGTTGATTAATTGTGCCCTGAACTTGGCAAGTTTCGCTTTGTCACAAAACTTTAATTGATTATAATGAGAGGAAAGGACTGCACAAGTAGTAAAATACATATTTCGTTGCCCACAAATTAATTATTTTATGACATACAGCATCTCAAATTTTTGGCAATCATACAACACGTGCTTTTAATGCAAACATAAAATAAATATTTAACATAACGCCGGCCGGTTTATTGTTTGTTTCGTTATTATTTATTTATTATAAAGGCTTATTTTACTGAATGGGGATGAATGACCAGTTCCTTATTATTTGCATCATCACCATTGGCCGCGGAAGTGTGGGGACAATTTCCCCACGGTTATGCGATGTCCCCATCATCTGCCCATGTTATATAAACCCATCCCTCCCCCTATCCTACAACGTTAATGTCCCCACATGTCCCCTCAGCTTCCGCCGCCACTGATCACCAACAATATGGTCTGCGAGCGACACTTGTTTAAGAGTGGAGGCCCCAAAAAGTGACTTATCCAAGACTTGATCTCTGTGAACTTTATTTGCAATACTCACTCTCTATTTTTTCCACTAAAGTTTGAAAAGTTGCATCTTTTTTAAATTTTATTATTAGCAAAGTTGTGCCTGCACGCTAATTATGTGAGAGGATACATATTTAGAGATAGAGAATTATTGGCGTAGGGATATTTAGGCCATCTCATGCAATGCAATGAATGTTCCCACTATTTGCCTAATTCTTGTACATATCTATGAAGTAATAACAAATTCGTAAATATATAATCCTGTAAAGGAATAACATGCAGTACGAATGAGGAAACATCTCCACTTTTTATAGTTTTATGACATCTTCATTTTTCAATTTGATTTACATTTGTTCAAATTATTGCAAATATACGCCGGTATTCGGACACGTGGTGAAGAATCAGATCGTTATGTTCATCCCATAATGTCACCATTTTGATATTGACGAGAAGAACAATAATAAATATTTAATGCCTAAAATAGTGAAAGGCCTTTTGATATAAAAGAAGAACCGTTTTTCCAAACCGGCATCATTCTCGTTTTCTTCTTCTTAATTAATTCTTCTTCTTCAGTCCACCATCCAAGTAGCAACCCAATCATGAAAGTCTTCATTGTAAGGATATTACTTATTTTGACAAATTTTTAGAAATATTTTATGAGAAAATTATGAGGAAATTTTGATTTTGTAGGTCCTCGCACTTGTAGCCCTTGCCTCTGCTGGATATTCTGGCGGTGGTGGTGGGGGATTCGGTGGAGGATATTCTTCCGGTGGGGGTGGTGGTGGCGGATTTGGGGGATTTAGCTCGGGAGGTGGTGGTGGTGGATTTGGAGGTGGTTCTTCCGGTGGGGGTGGTGGCGGACAAGTTTACCGACATGTGTAAGTGGAAGTTTAACCCAAATTGTAGCAATTTTTCATAACTTACTGTACCATTTTTATATTTAGCTACGTCCACTCTGCCCCCGATGAGGCCGCAGATTCCCAATCCCGAACCATCCGAGTCCCTGGAGGAGGAGATAAACACGTCAACATCATCTTCGTCAAGGCTCCTTCTCAATCTTCTTCCCAACAAACCGAAGTCATCCTCCCGGAACAAGACGAACACAAGAACTTGGTCTACGTCCTCCTCAAGAAGGGTGGTTCTTCCTCCGACGTCAAGATCCGTCGCCCAGCTGCCGCCGCCCCACAAAAGCCAGAGGTTTACTTCATCCGATACGCTGGTGCCGGTGGTGGTGCTGGAGGTGGTTCCGGCGGTGCTGGAGGATTCAGCTCCGGTGGAGGTGGGGGTGGATTTGGAGGTGGATCTGGACTTTCCACGGCTTATGGTCAATAAGCAATATTCAGCTTCTTTACTATTGGCTTCTTCTCTGCAGTGGAAATGGTGTCTTCTCATCTTGTTGCACCTTGCCCTCGTGATTATTAGTGCTTATCTATCGCTGATTTCTTCATACTCATCCCGTCTAGTCCTCTTTCAACCACAAATTGTACAAACTGTTAAAAAGTTTAATAAACTATACCGACTTTCGTAAATAACATGGTTGTCTGTTTTAACTGAACATTATTTCGGTTAAGTAATTCAGGCATAATTCATACATAAACTACTAAATGGTGCAAACAATTAGCAATTTAAATTTCCACAAGTGTTTTGTTTGACTCGCCAATGTCAAACCACAACGCAGGAAAAACACGATAAAATTAGAATTTTAAAATATTGCCAGCATACATACCGCATCATCCCATCAATCACCTAAAAAATAGGCAACCTGCAAAATAAAAATATACCAATAAATGCGGCATGCAAATAGTTTGACAAGTGGCACGCTATTTTCCACGAGTTTCCGGTTTATTCAATTCCATCCTTTATATTCAGACACACAAGTAGCACGTAGGTTTCATAGGTTTCATGACAAAACTACATATTTATATATCATTTGGACGATATGCAGATGAATTTTGAGAATCAGTTGGAAAATGGAGCAATAAAAAAATATCTGGTTTTATTAATGTGTATCAGTTTCTCAATAAAAATAATATTGGGAAAATGCAACGATTAACCTTGACCATAACTGTTTTTATCCTACCCACTTTAATTGGACAGACATCAGCAACATTTGTTACGGAAGAAGTATGCAAAATAATCAATTAAAAATTATCACTAATTATTAAGTAATTACGTATAATTACAGAATTTACACGAGGAAACCAACTTCACGACTTCCATCTCTACTACTGAAGCTACGCTTTACTCTCACAATGAAACCGACCCCGTCTCAATTTACGACATCTTGTCATCAACCACGGAATCCGTCGAAGAAGAAGAACGCCACAAGTTTGTCAGCACTCCGGAAGAAATCATTCTGGAGCACACGGATTTCGTTACCCTTCGTCTCCAACATCTTCTCAACCAAACGACGTCAAACATGACAGAATTGCGAGTACTTCAACAGTTCGAGTTTAACACGAACTTGACGTATTATCGGGAAGGATGGGAACACGCGACGAGAATGTATAACGAGTCAAAAAAATCTCAGATTTTTGCAGCCTTTGCAAATTCATCGGTTATCTTAAACGCTCCTGAAGAGTATCACATCGCCCTTATTGCGTACTCTGGGCCGTACATCTATTCTGACTTTAATGATAAGACGCGAGCCCTCTGTTCCGGTTTGGACATTGACAATTATGAATACAAGAGTTTTTTTAAGCTGTTGGAATTGGCGATAGAGCATTTGGGACCGGAAATTGAACGGTTGACGAGTAATTATTCTACTAGTAGTAATAGGACAAGGTAAGTGCATATCAATTTTATATAAATACGTAAAAAAATGGATTTGCATAATTTCTGTCTAATATTTCACAGCGGCGTTCTGTATCGCGGTGTATCACGCACATTCGCATTGAAACTTGGTCAAAGGCTTGCATTTCAGCATTTTATCTCCACCTCGATGAATCCAAACGTAGCGAACGGATTCTCTTGGGGGAGTGGGGCCACCGTTTTTGAGATTCATGTACAAACAAATAAATAAATTCATACAGAAACTAAGTAGATTCGCAAATTTTTTATGATTTTTTTTACACAGGCTGAGCGAAACCACACCTTCCGAGACGGCGCTTACATCGGGATCCATTCAATTTACTCTGGCGAAGAGGAAGTTCTGCTTTCTCCGCTCCAAATATTTCAAGTGGAAAGCATCCTTTCCGCAAAGGATGAAGAACATGAGAAGGGAATTGTACGAGTCGTGCTACAAACGGTGAGCATCATTCCACCAACGCCTCCCCGACGAGATGAAGATTGCGTCTTTAATCTTGAGAAACTTAAGGCGATGAAGGAATACGGGACAAAATTAAAGCTGGCAGTTTCGATCCTGGGAGCAATTTTATGCACATTTTTACTAGTCGGGGGTATACTTTCGCTCTACATGGTGATCAAGGGGAGAAGATTTTGTCTAAAGAGGAGGACCGATTCCGAACTTCAGTTGACGTGATGATTAATACGGCAATTGTTTTTTTACGCATCACAAAATTATATTTTTCACCATTTATTCAGGTAGACTGGTAGTAGACATATATCATTATATAATTTGTTCTTCTGGTTATTTATCGTTATATGTTATAAAAGGTTATATATATTGTTTTAAAGATTAGTAAATCTTTGGACTTTTCTACGATGCGGGGTTTTCTACAAATATATAATCAGTCATGCACAACCAAAGAAGAGTTACTAATCAATCACAATATTAAACGGCAATTGCGAGTACTGTATAACTAAATTAAATTAAGCTAAGTAAATATATCTCATTATAAGTCCAAGAAATTGTACATACAATCATATTTTTTAAGTGGTGGTGCATTTTAAACTATAAAGTGGAGACAAGTTTTATAGTGTCAGTTATATACCTAAATAGCTCTTTGACTATCATCATTAATACATATATAATTAGATTTCGATTGGTTGAATACATCAGCGTTCTTAAGCTTTTCTTCAGTTCAAAATTAACATTATTATTTTGAAAAAGGTTGTATGTATATAGGAATGACTCGTCAATTTAATATAATTCTATTCTTCTCAAGCACTTCATTAACGTTGTGTGATTGCAAAAGCACATAGTTTTGTTTCTTTTTCTTGAGATAAATATATGTATCTATGTAATGTATGTATATATATATAATGGGCGTACTCACGACAACTTCTTATTTCGCATCGCAACTCATTTAGCAAACTTGCGAAGATCAAAATATTTCTGTCGTGAGGGGATTAGCAAAATATGACTTCGCAAAACTCTCTTATCTCGCAAATCTACTGAAAAACACCTATTTTGGTATTGTTTCCATGGATTTCTGTAATTTCTCTTGCAGAATTACTTTGCGAAATAATTTTGCGAAATAAGGACATGCTCGATTGCTGGGTAAATTTGCGAACAAAAATCCCATGGTTTTCCAGCAAAGTTTTTGCGAAATCTCGCATATCTCGCAAAACTTCGCAAGTTATGTTGCTATGCTCAATTTGCGAGATATGCGAGATATGCGAAGGTTGACGTGAGTACGCTCAATCTGTTATGTAGCACCCTTCATAATATCTAATAACGACAATATTTATGTAATAAGTATCTGCATTCACTGACTTTGTTCATACTTAATTGTTTGGTAACTAAATAGTTAAATTTTTGTATTTCTGAGATACATTCTTTCCTTTGTTCTGCTCTGTGTAACTGGTCAAGAAACAAAATGTCAAACGATTAAATAAGTCCAAACCCTTCGGAACCTTCATTAATTGCGATTCTGAGTGCTTTCTCGAAGCTTTCATAGTTCTCATAATCAGGGAGACACAATTGGGAGAAACATGTGTGGGCAGTGGGTAAATTTCCGAACGTTGGTGCTGGCGTGATTTGAAACAGTGGTGAAAGTTCTCTGAATCCACCTGTATGTGCAAGCAAAAAAATCCGTTATTAAAGATACTCTCAGCGTAATTACAACAGTATCATGACTATACCGGGAGGAAGTTGAGAACACCCAGTCGTAAATTGCAAGAGGCGTGCCTTTTCTTCTTCCGTCATATTGGCAACAGCGGTCCAAAACCAATCAAGAACTTTGCGGAAATCTCCAGTTGCGCCAGAAACGACGTGATGCTCCCGAAGCTCTGTAACGCTATACTCACTTGTTCCGCACATGAGTAACTATAAAATGCATAAAAACTCTGGTAAATATACGTCGCAAATAATATTAGAGCAACGAAAGACCTTACCTCGAGTTCATTCTCATCAAAAATACTGAGCAGTTCATCAGGTACGACTTCGTTGAGACCCTTGAGAAATGCGTCAACCTGAGGCTTTGCTTTCGTAGCAAGTCTATACTGCGCCAAGGCGTTCAAATATTCACGCTTGTTTTCATTTGTTACTATGATTTTGGAACCATCCGGCACGAGATCAACAGTCTGCCATAAAATGAAAGATAATGATTTTAATGAAATTGTCAATTGCTAATATTATTAAGTACAACTACCTTAATCAGTTTCCCCATTGGATCATATTCTTCTTCTGAGAAAGTCAATTCCATCCCATCCACGTCATTTTCCAAAATAAATTTCACTTTCCGAAGGTACAATTCAGGATCTGCAGGAAATATTTACTCTTCATTTAAAAATACTCATAAAATATTTCAAACTTCTAAATTAACTCACCATCTTGTTCAAAATACTTGTAACTGACTCGAAGTCCAATCAGTTGAGCTAAGAATGAACGACTTAATTTGGCTTTGACCATTTGTCGGTAGGCAGATCCTAGGCTGCTTTCGTAAAGACATTTGCCCTATTAAATGAAAATATTAAAATATGAAATTTTACATATTTTTAAAAGAGATGACAACACGTGAACTGACAAACAAGCGAGTGCGAGACGGACTGACAGGTTGACTGGTGGTGGTGGTGGCGGTGTTGTGTTCAACTTGTCTGCTGAGATGAGACATGTTGTGGCATACGGACAAGCAAACGTAGTGAGAGTCCGGGACTGAGACGAGATTTTCGCTCTCGGGAAATTTTTGTTGTAATCAATTGTTTTAAAGTCAATACTTAAAAAACCGTCTACATTTTCAAACCCCACCCCACTACTACACCCTGTGCTGGGTGACAAGAGGTAATTATTTATTTTCAATTCCAATAGTTGGATATTTCTCATTTCTCATTTTTTCTCATTTTTTCGCAACATTTCTCATTCCGTCTCGTTCCGTCTTACTTGCAGATTTGGTATAATGACTTCAAACAGAGATGAGTTGGATGAAGGAGACTTGGGTAAGCTATTATTTTAAGATTAACGAATTTTATTAATTATTTGTAGATTAACCATTTTGTGTTTTGTTTCTAGAGTTGAGTTTCGAATTTCAAGGAAAACGATATTTCACGATCGACGAATATATGGAACAGTGTAGAGGTTAGTGTCTCATTTTTGTTCCAATAGTTGGATATGTATTAACTGCCTACTCGGTATGAAGTAAATTTAGCAATTAAATTTGTCCCAACTTTAGCCCAACGTGTACCCCTCGCCTCCATGACCACTGACTCATCAACTTTAGGCGATAAGGAGAATCGGAGTGACGTCGACGACTGCGTTAAACTAGGTAAACTAATGTGCAGTTTTCCAACAATTGGACAATAATAACTAATTAATAATTTCCCCTCTTCACCATCAGGTCCGGAGCGAGATGTATCGTCGTCATCCCGTGTTGGTGGTCCACTTTGTCTACTTTCTGGGTCCGCAACCTGCTTTGTTCCCTCCGCGATAAAAGCCTCACAGGTTCACCACTAAATTATATTAGATTGTTTCCAACATTTGGAGTTTATTGTCATTGTTTTTCATAAACTTTAACTATTTATGGCAGGAGAACATAGTAGCAGAACTTAGTCATTCTCGACCTTCTCAACGTGCCTCTGCTTCAGCCGTAGAAAAAGTTGATGGCTCACCCGGCCGCGCTGGTCGCCACCATCAGCAGGAGGTGTCGGCGGAAGGTGAGTTTGCTTATCAAATTTCCAATAGTTGGATAATACTGATAAATAATCAATATTAAATTAATGACCAATTGAATGTATGAATAATAGTTCCACCACCGAAAAAGCAAAGTCGACCACTGAGCTATACGGATGACGACGATGATGACGACGACGACCATGACACTTGTCTAGTCAAGAAGACGGAAGATTCCCACCTCAATGCCGATGACGAGACTGAGAAGGAGTGGGAGGAGTGGATTGTGAAGAAGCGCAACGAGGTAAGTATTTGAAATAATTTGAAAGATGAAGCATCAAATTTAATTTATAACTTTTTCAGATTGTTGGATTCTTCGAGAATGACGCTCATATCGAGGATGGAGTAGTTACACGTCTAATTTTGGAGGATGATCCAATTTCTGGAAGAGTTGTTGAAATTAACCCATGCATAGTGGCGGAGCTCCTCCCTCATCACTTTCGTGGCATAAAGTTCATGTATGGAACTTGTTTTGGGGGATTCGAACAACGATATAATTCTGACGTGTTCAGTTCAGACTATCTCGTGGTAAGTAATTTGTAATTTATTATGCACATTTCCAAAAGTTGGACTTGGAAGAAGATTGTTGGTATATTTTACAGGGACCTGGAAGAGAGACACAAGTCGCAGCGTTCGCCCAGGCAGTACTGAAAAACGAGCGGCGACCGGAACTTAGGACAATTCTTATCCTCTGTCCCCTTCTCAAGAGACAAAGGTGGTCAGATGAAATTCAGAAGGTGTTTGAAACTGTCGACCCCGACCAGCGACCTTTACTTCATGACTTGTGGGAGGGAGAAGATATCGAAGAGAAAATAAATTCTTTGAAGCTGTGGACCAGTCAGGGAGGAGTCGGGATTCTGGACTTTGATCTGTTCCAACAATTGGACGACTACTACGTGGACGATGATGACGACGACTCTCGGGAAATTATTAACAATAGCTTCTTCACTCCTGGTCCAGCCATTGTATTTTTGGATTTTGAAAGCATTGATAAAAGATGTGTTAAGAAGAAGTATAAAGGCCTCGTGAAAATCACCACTACCCGACAGATAGTGTTACCGGACTTGGTAAGTTGACAATAAACATTTTCCCCATGTAAATAGTGGTCCAACAATTGGAATTAGTTTTAGTAATTAACTTTTATTTATATATCTTTTCAGTATTCACACGACCCAATCCAACACATCAATCGTGTTATCTTCAGAGATTGGCTGTCAGTTACAACCACCGGATTTTTCAACAATCACTACAACAAGTTTCTGTGGTTGTGTGATTTGGTGGACTATCAGGTCAAGAAAGAAGTCTACTGGGTTAGGAATGGTGGATTTTCTACTAAACAGAATAATGGGACAAATTCGTTCCTTAAATAAGACTTTCCAAATCACTGGAGAAAGGCAATTTCAAATAACACTAAAAATCATGATAGAAATCCAGAAAGGATAGAGAAAAAAATTTTTTGTATCACTGACCGAAGAATGAATACCCCAAATCAATATGTGTTTTACATTCTTGTAATCTCTCCAAAAGTTGGACCCCTTACCCTTCAAAATTTATGCAACCCCAAGTCCGACCTCTCGATATACGTCGGTCAGTGGAATTCGAGAAATGCATGTGGTGAGATCACGTGCCGACCAACTCATTTTTATCAGTCAGACTCCCCAATTTATGTCCTCACTAGTAACCCCAACAACCAGTGCAACGAGGTACTGGCACAGCAGTGCCTAAATCAGTTTGCTGCACACTTTGGCGAAGCTTTTCTTTTGGTAATTTTATATTTTCAATCTGTATTCCAACTGTTGGATTTATTTTATTAATTATCTAAATTTAATCATCCTTCTTCCAACAGTATTATGCGGACGAATGGAATCAGAAGAGTCCAGACAAGCCAAAGTTCATTATGACCTCTCCAGAGGTCCAACACTTGGATGAGGATGGCGTTTTGGAAGAAAAAGCTAGAAAGATGGCACGTGATGGGATTTGGATCTTTTCTGCACTTGAAGATGATGGACAACCACACCCACCACAACACGCCAGATTTGATGACCTCTGCAAAATCCCATTTGGCATCAAAACAAGCTACATTAAATCAAGAGTCATCCCTGGGTTAGGCCAGGGGTCCAATAATTGGAAGAATCCGCCGAATCAAAGTTTGATCAAGGTGCTAAACAAGAACAGGAGCCATTCAAAACACCCTACAGCCGACTTGTACAACCAGACCTATGAAATAGTGGCCAAGCACAATGGCAAATATCAAACTTTAAATAATCTCACAATCCCTGGCACGTATGTGTTCTACATTCTTGTAGTCTCTCCAAAAACTGGACCCCTGACCCTTGAAAATTTATGCAACCCAAATTTTGACATGTTGATCTACGTGGGTCAGTGGAATTCAATACGTGAAAATGGTCAGATCACGTGCAGACCAGACCATTTTTCGGACCCACACTCCCCAGTGTATATCCTCACAAGCGAGCCGAAAAGCCAATGTCACGAGGTTCTCGCACAACAATGCTTAAATCAGTACTCTGCTCACTTTGGAGAGGCTTTTCTTTTGGTAATTTTATATTTCAATCTTTATTCCAACTGTTGGATTTATTTTAATACTACTTATCCTTCTTCCAACAGTGTTACGCGGACGAGTGGAATCAGCTACACCCAGATAAGCCTAAATTCATTCTCAGCTCCCCAGAAGTCCAACATTTGGATGAGAATGGGAAATTAGAGGAACAGGCAAGACAGTTGGCGAGAAATAAAATCTGGATTTTTTCTGAACTACACGAAGATGAACAGCCACACCCACCGCCACACGCCACTTTTGATGACATCTGCAAGATCCCCTTTGGAATCAAGCCTGCTTATATAAAACAAAGAGTCATCCCTGGGTTAGGCCAGGGGTCCAATTGTTGGATAAATTAGACTACATAATGTATTTTTCTTCTTCCTAAGTTACACATGCCTTATGAAACCAGCATAGCAAAAACAAATCACTTTTCATTGCCTCGAATCCCGCTGATAATGATGAAATTGTATTAAGTTTGAATTTTTGTCAATGTATTGTGCAATTAATTTGAATTAGAACAATTTCCAATTGAGAAATTTGTCTCACAATTATTTTCCCAGCCATTTCGTAATGCTTAGCTTTCCACCTTGAATTCGGATTAGGATGAGTAAGTCTCGAATCTCCAAGTTCGGCAAACATTCCAACAGGATTTCCTGCTTCGAACATACGAGCACAGCACTGTTCGAACCACTCGCGACGAAGGCCTCCCCAGTCGATGCCTTGTTCTCCGACGAAACTTATTTCAAAATTTCGGCAAAAATCGTGAGCAGAGAAACTCTTGGTAGCTTTCCAGGTCTAGTTAAATATTGCACAAATTAGTAAGACACATAGCAATGCAATGTTTTTATCTACAAGTTGGAATAAAATAACTTACACTTTCAATAATATTTTCACGCGTAATCTTGAGACACAATTTATCTCTAGGATGCTTGCGATGAAACTCTCGCAGCTCTTTGAAAAAGTGTTCCTGTTTATCTTGAAACGTCTCAGACCCACCTGCAATTTTGTGTTGATTGATTATTATTTACTCAATGCCGCATAAGATTAGTAAATACATTAATCTCCAATCCAAATTACCAATATTCCTAAGAAGAAAGTGTGTAAATGTGGCTACAATTATTTTTGCATCCTTCACCGCGACTTTAATTGTTGGTTGCGACCCATCATCAATGAGAATTGTGGGCAGACCGTGCTGATTATTGGTCATTAAAAATTGGAGCTGCAATTTGTTTTTATTTAGATTATAGATTTTAAAACGTATGTAAAGATAAATATTTTGATTATTTGTATGAATTTGTACCTTTGTATTTGGCGTAAGTCGAAACGTGGCCACTCTAATGGGAAGTACTCTTAAAAAATATTCCTTGATCGTGAGCTGTTTCGAAGTGATGGATAGGTACACTTTTCTAGTCTTAGTCTGAACCTCACTACCAACAGCTAATAATTTTCCTTCGTAATACGCACCACTACTTTTTGCTACAACATTCTTCTGCACTGCGGCAGCCTCGTTAGAATTTAAAACCACAATTTCGAATTTCCCATTCTGCACAGGTTTGTTATCATACCTAAATAATAAATATGTTCAATTAATCCGTTGGAAATGTAGAAATTCAAGTATATTTAGAATACCTGAGCATCCCTCTGAAAACACCTTGATCTGGAAATTTAATCTGCAAAGAAATCCTTCCAGGTTCCGTCTCTGATGAAGCAGAAGAGGATGCTGACCCTCTACAGAGTAAAATTGGGGATGGAATATCCGTTTTGGATGTGGCCGTCGTGGTCACAGTGCCAGTTGTGGAGGAATATCCGGAATCATGACTGAATTGGACGGAACAGTTTTGATAATCTTGGCTTTCCATGTTGTCATCAATCTAATAAAGTAATTTTCACATGTATATTTACATACTTGCACACCTAGATTATAGAAATAAGAAGTAAATATCGTTATATGTACCTGTTCTGCACCAAATCGGAACAGATCCAAACAAAAATCTTGAACTCTGCACAAATTTCCATATCCATCTCTAGGTTCGACGATTAATTTGTGCACTTGACCCGTTACGCACACCACGGTGGAAGTTTGTTTAAGAAATAGCGTTTTGTGCGGGTCGATGGCGGAAGGGAGGAACGTTTTCGTAAATGGCGACCCTTTGACGTGACTATTTTCCACCATGATATGAATCCCATACTGACCAGATTGTCGCACAGAAAACTTTACCACGACAAGGTTGGCATCCAAAGGATCCTTGCCTCCAAATTCTGTAACGACTGCAACCTTTTGCGAATCCTTCTTGACTTCAATGAGCACATTGTCTCTATCGCAGATCGGGTATGGTCTTCCGCCTCGTTGATAAAACTGAAAACAAAAGTTTGTAAAAAATCTTACATTTCATATAAATGCAAAATGTGGGTGACATTTGACATTCGTTGGAAATCCGCCTGGAATCAAATCCACTTTGAGTATTATCAAACTTTTATGTACACGAAAAAGTTATCCACTTCAAGTTTGAAAATGCCAATAAAAACCTTGGAAAGTTTTATGGATTCAATTTTCCCATGTAATAACGCATGAACCTCTGAGACCACTACTGAATATTCATAAATGTATCTTTCTTCTACTCAAGGAACTACAGGGCCAGTTGGCAATTTCGTATGTATCACATTCACCAACGTTGAACTAACTCTCTTGATCATGAAGAATCTACAAATCTCGTCTTGTTAACCCACGTAACAGTGCAATGCATTAATTTCCCCATGGTCTCATTTTTCCCAACAACTTTTTTTTCTCATCACAAACAACAGAATGAATTTGTACAGCAAGAAAAACTAACTTACCCGAATACTGAAACTGACAGTTTGACCAACTTGGATTGGATCTGCCCAATCGAACTGGACTTTGCAGTTATTTGCCAGATTAAATTTTCCAGAAACGTACTGCAATATTGCTTGTTTTGCATCCACCACTTGCGGAAAGTACGAGGCTACGGCTCCAAATCCACTGACGCTTAAAGTAACCAACAACATGGTCCCTGCACGGTTTCAAAATCAATTTTATATTAACATTCTATCCAAGTTTCAACAGGAACAACAACAAACAGCAAGACCCACAAACTGTCAAATAATTCACTATATATAGTCTACTAAAACAAACCTTGAGTCAAGATTGGCTAGGGTGTAAAGACCCGAAAACTTGCAAGATTTGCATGAATGATCAAACTTTCAAAGTCTTAAAAACAACAAAAATTGCTCAAAGTCTCAAATCAGGACACAAGTGAGGAATGATGTTAATCTGTCATTAAGGAAAAATTACTAATTTTTCTATCATAACTTTTTTCTTATTAATGACGTTTTGGTTAATTTCGATAACAAGTCTAACTACAGCAAGAGTCTGGTAGTTAAAAGTTCGCTGGGGGCTTGAAACCTGCAATATGTACGTATGTACATATAACTCAATAGATATTTTGTATGGTATTATTATAGTGTCAACCCTCCCAACTCTTCCGGGTAAACATGGACATTAATAAAATTTTACTACTAATGACTAACTACGCGAGGTTGTTAAGCTTGATTCAGATTCACTGGATGGGTGGTGATAAGACATCCTCAGATTTCATTTTTTGGTAAACAAATCAACTCTATAAACTGTAATAATCTCAAATTCAATAAACTGTCAACGAAACTCAATCCTCTGAGGACACGACATGCATAGTGTCAAACAATAATTATCTCTCTTGCTCCTGCTGCGTCAAAAATATGGATATATCATTGAGACCACTCTCAACGCAATTCAACAGAATTTATATACACAGGAAGATAAACAAAGGGCACACACGAGTTGAGATACTAGGAATTCTGTGTTTGTGTTGTTAATAATCATCATCGTCATAATCGTTAACAAAACAGAATGTGCATATGTGCATATGTGGCTGCAAAATTCCGATAAGAAAGTGGTCTCAAATATCCATATCATTTTTATGTAAGTATATATGCATTATTGTCCCATTTGATTAGTCACAGTCTGCATTAAACAACTTGCAACATGTTTGGGCAATGCATAAATAAATCATACACAATTCCACGCCATGCACAATTAATGTCCTTTCCAAAACTTACCCCACGTGTTCCAAATGGATTGTTGGTCTAAAGTTAGGATGCGATTCCACAACCTGGATTTTAAACTTTCCAATCCTGCGAGACCAGATGGCAAAGAAATTCGGGCAACATTCCACCTGTAAATTATACATTATTATAAGATCGTTTAGTGTCACGGTTCATTCAGTAGATAAATTAACTTAATGTCAAGATTTAAACCATTAAACGCACATGGGTACAATCTTCTCGCCGATGGATTCCTCTAGCCGGACGACGTCCTCGAACCAGTACGCGTCTTCTATGGAGTTTACCCCGAGACTGTTAAATCTATAAAAGAGAAGACCTCGTTACGCATATGCTTTCACCAACCAGTGATAAATATGTAAAACTTACTTTGCTGCATATTCCAGCAAGCCGTGGTCATCCAGCCAGAGCCTCAGAATCAATCTCTGTCTCAAAATGTGGGCAGCCCGTTTAAGTCTCTCTTTATCCTTCTGAGGCAAATTGAGATTTACGAGAGACAACTCTTCCGCAGTGGGTGATTGTACTATTTGAGATGTATCTTCTTCCTCTACCCTCGTCGTGGAAGAGGATGAGTCCTGTGGTTGGTCTTCTCCTTCCTCCACGTCGCGAACTGCTTGTCCAGCAGTGGGTTCAGATAATTGCAACTTTAGCCCAAACTCATGGGTTAAATGGTTCAGTTGGACAATGGACACTAACGTCACCACACCTGCAATTTGCAAAAACAAATGCAATCATTAGCGAACGAACCAAAAACAACAGGAAAAATGTACTTTGGTTCGGGAAAGTATTACACCGTCTTAAACGCCTCACTCCACTCGACTAAAACTCATTCACGTAAAATATGGGCTATAACAAACATGCAATAAATAGGGATATTATACGCATTGCATGTTCTTCTCCATACTCCTGACAACAAAAAACACATTTTCTTTGTGTTCCTCCACGACTCTCACATAAAACAATAATCCTCTCCAAAACTACTTTTGTTACTCACTTATTAAATGACTGACCAAAAAGTTACAACGCAAATCTCTCCTCAATTTTTTTCAGTCCAATGTATTCATGTACGTACAATTGCGTCCTCCTCCCGTATTATGAACAAATATAATTGTTCTCATTCAATGAACCGAACAAACCACCCAACAAAACAACACGAGCAAGTAATTTACACTTGCTTAATAAGAGTCAATCTCAATGATGATGATGATGATGGTGTTTTAACCAGCAGAACAACACAACTAATGCATATTTCACACGGCCAAGGAGAAGGAGAACAGATTGGTGTAAACAGATGAAAAAAAAGTAATAATTAATGTTAAGGCCAATGCTACTACTGTAAGTAATATGTCGAATATGTGGCTCCTCTTTCTTAGAAGAAGACACCTAATTCAGCTATATACAAACATGTAATAATAACCATGCAGTCAGGGCACACAGGGAAGTTCTTCTCTCTGTGTGCAATCTTAATTACGTGCATGTAAGTAGTAAATATGTATGTATGCAATGGATCCAAGTAATAAAGTAGTGCCAGGCCAGCATCATTATAAGTAATGAATGGGATGGATGCGATTATGTATACGGGCAAGAAAAAGAGAGGACAAACTGCTGTGTACGTGTACTAATATGTGTACTGTGCCGTATTGCGATTCGCAAATTCGCATTTGCAAATAAATAAACTCTGTGCAAAAGTTATCAGGCAGTTAGTAACCTTCCTTCCTTTACAACTCTTCCAGTAGTCTATCAGTTGATGAGCCAACTATTTATTTAATAAATGTCATGTCCTGGCTGCATATGCGAATCGTCTCGTACATATTTTCGCTTTTTCAGCACAACTATTTGAATAGAAAGAAGAATCAGATGCAATGCAACCAAACCACGGAAAATGAAGAGTAAGTAGGTAATTATCAATATCATTTTTTTAAGCTAAGTAATATAATTTAGTGTGACTGGGTCCGTGTGGATGATGAACTTAACATGCAATTCATGCATGAAATTAGGTATACATACATTTGTCTTAAATATGTTTTTAATGGGGGGATGACGTAATAACTTTTTTGCAAAGTTTTTGTTAAGTGGACGCCACGGACACCAACCAAGCAAACTAGTTGAATCCCATTTCAGGTGGAATGGAAATGGATAAAATGAGCCCACGTGAGGTAGGTAGTGGAAGGAAACGCAGCGAAATGGAAATGAGCATCACGAATTCACGACCGGATGGTGAATCGTATGTAAGTAAAAAGTATCTAGAGAGAACAAGAAATGGACTCGAGATTTCGTGCTTGGTTTAATGCTCGCAAAACAACATGCTCGGATTTTTGGATGAATTGCTACTCGAGTATGTTTACTACTCGACTATGTTTACACAGTCTGCTTAACTCGAAAACATTTTCAAGTTGGTTTTTCTCCCTTTCTTTCTTTCTTCTGCTGTTCCCTGCGTCATTTTGAATTTTGAGGATAACTAAATACGAAAGTTTAGAGGTAGAATAATAATACTTAATAACTGTGTTTGTTTGTTTGCGATCGATGAAGGGATGCCCGGGTTTTACGGCTTTTCAGAGTAATGAAACACGGTTTATTAAATGAATGGATCCGCCTCTTTAACCTTTATGGTATCGCGGTCATAATTGAAAGGGTCAGCTCAAGGGCATGCTCTCCTAAGTGGCTAAACACTTAAAATAGGATTAGAATCCAAGTAAAAGAGAGAACAAACCATGTGTCCCGACAGGTCGGACCCCTATCATTACTTGGTCGGATACACTCTCGCCCTCCCTTCGTCGTCAACTTTGCCAAAAGTCGTCCCACATTGGAATTGGTTGGTCTTGGTCGTCGGAGACGTCGTTCTCGTTTTGGCAGACGAGGAAGCTGCTGAACAAGAGTGGAAATGGGGAGGCAGTAATATTAGCAGTTTAATGTATTTAGTCCTCTTTCTCTCTCTCTCGACGAGAGTCACTTTCCCAGAGTTGGTTCGTGGTTGGCTTAAACTACTTGCATCACTTTCACTTTACATAATGAGATTTCCATCATCAATGACTGAGTGCTGGTTTCTCTGTCTGTCCAAGCACCACCACCACCACCACTAAATTGGCGAATTTTCCTGATAACGTCACAGTACATTTTCCCTTGATGATAATACTAACCGAGAGACAAATATATGATATTTTCTCTTATTTCATGTCCAATTTTAACCAACCATCACCGTCGCTTACTTACTTACTTATGTACGTTTCAACAACTATTATACGTAGCAAAATGAACACGGAACTCACAAACTGTTCATCTGAATAAATATGTAATAAAAAATCACTTCTTTTCAAGTCGATTACTCCACCAGCACCACCACCACAACAAAGAGTATTATTATCCGTTACGCAAGAAACAAAATATTGTCCTGTTGTTGTACAATTTCAAGTATTATTAATTGGTTGCGTCCAAAATCCCGATCAAATTTATGTACTTATCTTCCCAAAGAATTTCACCACCACCGACACAACGATCGGGATGAAACGCATAAATTAATTAAGTATACACATATATTCATGGCAGCAGCAGATCATGTACAACAAAATTTAATTACAATTGCAGATTTGATATATCTGCATCTGTCTCATGTGTATCTATCAAGTTTTTAGTGGTATATCGAGATGAAGACCCATAACTAACTAGGAAAATATGGGGCAACATACATACATACACATTGTTCAATTAAACCCTTGTTCGTTCGTGTCACACCTCTACACTTACTAAGTAAAACATATTAAAAATGCATTACCCAGCCGCCCTGCTCGCTAGTATTTAGTCGATTAACGATGAGTGACAAAAATTACAGGAGGAATGAAAATGATACACATGGTATTTGAACATTAACTCGCTGCGTGTCGTATAATACCCATTAATTTTTATTATATTATGGAAATGAAATTGCGAAGGTGAGTGAGACCGAGTAACAAGTAAGTAACCTGGAGAGGGGAGAGAATAATAATGAGTTAAAATATTAAAGACACTGCACCACCAAACCCGAGGCGACTAAATAACTCGTCGTACATACATTGTCACAATTCATTTTCCAATCAATGAAGAATCAATAAATGAACCAGAGAAAGCGAGAAGTATAAAATATGGCACCTGAGAACTGAACAGAACTGCTGAACCTGAACCGAGCCCTACTTTCTCTCCATCGACATGGGACGTTACCTGGTAAAAAACCGACTGTAAATCAATGCCATGACATGGAAGACTACATTTACTGGCCGAGTGGGTCTGGCTGTATTAGATGTGTGCAATATAATTATTTTCACTCGGTGAAAAAAAAGCTGGCCAAAACTATATGTATCTCGATCACGATACGATACTGGATTGGATCGCGTGGTCCGGTCTGGTCCAGAGTCCACCACCAGCAAGCAAGGTTGACTACCTACGTAAATATCGATATTGGTTAATCTAATGGAAGGAAAAAGTGGGCCTAATTTTTGTTGGTGGGCGATGAAGATTTAATATAAGAACGACCCAAGAGTACTGTACTTACTAAGTAAGTAAATTGATAATGACAATTAGAGTTATCAAACCATGGCATGGATCATAAAATCGTGGAGAAAGTAAAATACAGAATCTCTCCCAGGAAAAAAATGCTCTTAATTAATTCCAGTCCCGAAGATCAAACAAGTAAAAGTAGTCTTAATCTCCTCGTCTTTCTCAATTTCAATAAAAGTGGTCTCAGTTTCACCTCAAAAGACGAGTTTAATTCGAGTGGACAAGAGAAATTAAGTGGAAGGACACGGAGAGACCAAGGAGAGACAGGAATAATAAGAAAGTGGTCGTGGCCGTGGTCGAGTGTGTATTTTATCTTGCTCTACTTTACTTTCCCCTTGCCCCGTGAAAGGTTTGAGAGCATTACATTTCGTGCCTTTCTTGTAATTTAGACTTTAATTTGATTTCAGGCCAACACATTACATTTTGCTCATCTGATCCTCCATGAAGTAAGCTAATCTGTGTCCTTGTCGGGTTCTACATGGTATGTACATACATAAATTCAATTTCATCTCTTACGTAGCATCCTACCACCACCACCACCTTTTATTATTATTCTGCGCCCAAAAATCTCTAACGATTTATCACCGTATCCTTAATTCTCCAGTTCTAGATGAATGAGACAGATGCAGATATTTATCATGATCAAGGCACATTTTTTTACGTCATTGGGAAGACTTTCACTCTGTCTCTGTATATGAAAATGAGACACAATTCTCTTAGTGGGTGGTTTGGTTACTCGGTCTTTGGACGTGTCACATGTAGTCGTCGTACTTTTTGATATCACTTTTACTTAATGTGAGAAGAGAAGACAATGATAATAAGAGAGCCGAGTTCTTGGCACTTGCTTGGACTTGTAGGATAATATCCTTGAAATCTATACTATCACCACCACCACCACCCACCACTTTTTCGTCATCTATATATCTTTTTAGTCCAAAAATTGTATACGTGTCACAAAAAATCATGTCTCGCCCTTACTCCATTGATCAAAGAGTATCTTTCAACACGCACCACCACCACAAAAGTCACCCATGCAATAAAAATAGGCAAAATTGCTCGTCGTTTCTTTATCTAGGATAATTCGGCAGCTTCGAATTTGGCAATAATAAATAGTGACCGATGGTAAAGAAACATATTTCATTATTTCTCTAGTCTAATTTTAACCCCACAAGAATGGGACGACCCTTTTCATACTACACTCAGATATTATTAGTTTACGTCATCGTACCACGAGAACGAACACTTTTATGTTTTCACTTGTTTCTTTAGTTTATTACGCAACGGGACGATTCTACAAACAACCTGGTTTTACGAGTGGTCACGTGCCTGACTCAATCCGTCCACTTATTAGTAATATGTATGCAAAAATGCAAAACACTCGTCTTCCACTTTCACTAAAAAACTTGAAGTTTCACTGCGTAAAATTAGGGATGGACAGGCAGGGCAACAATAAATGACGTATCTGCACATCGATTACACCACGATTTTTACACTCATGCAAGAATAAACTACCAAGTAAATTATGTAGCAGCCAGTGCAGCAGAGGCAGTGGTACATTCTACATGAAGAGGTTGAACGTGGTGAAAGTGCGAGTGTGGTGGTGGGCCCTTAACCATCGTCGGAAGCAGAAGTCGTACTGCGGGCTTTCTCTCGAAACTTTCTCACCTCTACCCAAGCACTGCTGCTGCTACTGCTCATCTCTTCTCTCGACTTTCTCTCGATCCGAAGACTTTCACTCAAAACTAGGAGCAGGAAACTTGCTGTGAGAAGAAATAATGCCAGCCAGAGGAAAGCAAAGGGAAACTTATGACCCAATAGCTACGTACTCGTTCTCCATCACACTTTTACCCAACAGAACCCACACTTTCCCCATCCATCCATCCTCTTCTAACAGTAAATGAACTCCAGCCAGCGATTACCCTTGAAATGTAGGTAGGTAGGTGGGTGGGACGGTGGGTATGTAGGCAGCAGCGACCTAGTCCTGCAAATGATATGATACTAATCATCCAGGACACATGGGTGGAATGAAATGGAATAAAAAATCTACATCAGCAACACACGGTGAATATAATTTGAATTGCGAATACATACACCTACAGAAGGACAACAGGGTATTTATTCTGGCTGCTGCATCCAATCCACTGCTGCCCACAATACGCCCAGCGCATCGAGAAGTCGGCTGAAATGCAATCAACCCGATACATACATGCATTTTTAATCCTGTTTCTTCTATGTACGATCAAGGATGAGAGAAAGTCCTAGCCAAATAGTAGAATTTGGAAAATCCTATAATATTAGTTTCACTTTCTCCTCTCTGCTTTCTTTCTTGATAAATAAAAACACATAAAAATCACATCAATGATTCCGCAGCAATTCAACAACATTTATATTGCAACGAATTCTAGTAGCTATTTCCGAGAGAGAGAGAGGAAGGGTAGTACGTACATATGTACGTAGGGGATTTCTCCCATTTCTCCGCAATGCTCACCCTACCACCACCACCAGCACCATCATGATCGAATATTGCATTGAGAAAGTTGAACGAAGTCACGGGACCCGAAAAGAGAAAGCAGGCAGAGAAACTGGTAGCGAAGCCAGTGATGTTTAGCTTATCAGAGGAATGGGTAATCGAAGTAGGTTTTCCTTTACTTACATGGTCTTTATACATTTGTTCCTTGTCTTACAATATGTCCCCTGCCTTTTTTCTTCTTCTTCTGGGGAGATTTTGAATGAAATGAATTCATCCAAAAGAAACGCAAGGCCATCAGACATACATAATATTCACTTACACACCACATCCCCCCTCGACACTACTCGACATACATACGAATGTATGGATACAGAAGACTGCATACAATAATATTGTCCCCTCCAGGGAAAAGGAGAGAGAAGATCTATTTTCATTCCAAACTATAAAGACCCTTGGATGTATGTGAAAGTAGAGAAAAAAGAATCAAAAGAGGCAGAGAGAGATGAATAAGACTAAAAAAGCGGAGAAAGTCGTTAGGATCTCACCTCACTCACCTTCTTTCCTTCTATCTCATAATATTGGATGGGTGGAGGAGGTTTACTGTGGCTTAAAAAGAGTGGAAATTTTGGTCTAGTTTTGGTGGCAATGGGACAGGAGAAAGTAAGTAAGGGAGGAAAAAGAAGAAGAGTGAGCAGAATTTTGTGAAGGAGAAATCGATGGGGAAAATTGGGTCTCCTTTCTCTCCTCCCTTGTGTTACTAAACGCATGCAGCTAGATATACTATTCCCATCTTTTTAGGAGGACAGAATGTGTCCCCTTCAAATTAGCCTGCCTACATATTTACCTTACAAGTTTTCCTCCTTGCACGGCATGTGTTTCATGTTTACAAAGGACTCTCTCTCTCTGCTGATTATTGATTTAATAAAATTCATAATCTTTTACAAATCAGCTTTTCACTAGAGTTGAACAAAGTCATCCCAACTTTGCTAAATCCTTTCCTAAGTAAAAGTATCGATATCATATTACCCAGTTCAATTTGTTACTTTACTTTTTCTTATTCTTGGTGGTAGGAGAGAAGTAGTAAAACTTGGAGAAAGTGGAGAGAGAGAGGGACGGAATCGTAAAGTAGACTTGACCTTGATTTGATCCTCCGCCTATACTTTTTAGGTAAATACATAAGTCGCCGTCTTACGTTTCTTCTTGGAGAAGCAATCTTATTATGTGATGTATCAAACAGTCAACTTTTCATCCCATTCTAAATAATATTATGTATCTGGAAGGAAAAAGTTTGGCTAACAAGAAGAAGATGTTTTTAAAAAGTTTTCTTTTTTATCAACCTACGTACATTATTATTTTTATGATGATTATTATTCTCTAGTAGAGAGAGAATCTCTGCCTACTTATAGATAAATTTGGTAGGCAAGAAGATTGACGATGAGCCATGTTTGTCAATCCTTTCATGTACATTTTAATTTCTTTGACTTTGATCCGTCTTTGGTTCGAGTAATGTTGATTTTTAAGGTGCTCGTTTACAGTAACGAAGGCAAAACACGAAATAATAATGCGAGTAGAGCAACCAATTCGTGCGATCATTTTGCATCAAAGTAAAGAAGAAAGTTAGAGGGAAAGTAGAAGGTCATACTTATTAGTTTTTGTCAAACTTTGGTGGAGCGAGATGATGATGATCAAAATAACCTATAATTTGGCAACTCTGTTATTTTGAATAGAATATAAATATGAAATGAGAGTTGTTATTAAATTCTTAAATCAAATCTAGTAATTATGGACTGGAATGGGGTATACATGCATCTGAAACTAGATAAATTGCTTACCCAAAGATTTAAGTTGGTCTCCGCAAGCTTCAATCAGATCATTTTCTTCCAGCCAGATCTTTGTTTCCGGCGTGAAATCCTTTTTGGCAAGGTCCTTTTCATCGGGAGAAATGAAACTGGCCACGAAATGGAAGGCGTACACAGAAACTGTGCTTATCACGAGTGCGACTACGACCCATTTGATGCTTAACCACACCCCAACCAAGTCTGTCAGGAGGGGGGAAGACGAGTTAACGGAGGGGGACGATAAGAGGGATGGGGATGACTGGACGTGGGTGAGATGATGTCGATGACCAGTCCGTCGTGGAGATCGGGATGGCGAAAAAGTCGACATGGTTATGGAGATGACGACATTTGGTTAATGATTTAATTAATGGTGAAGACTTCCTCTTGGCACTTTTAGTTAGTTTCGACGAGAGAAAGTTACTTTTGGATTACATCTTGATTTTTATTTCTTATCATGAAGCACCGTTGTTACTTTTTTGGAAGAACAGGTGTAATACTTTGAATTTCAGTTCAATTCAAACCAGTTTGATAATACATAAACATGGAATTGATGTAAATACTGACTGTAGGAAGTTTAGATACTTAATTATTGCGTATAAGGCATATACGTATACTTCGCCTTTCTTGATCACACTAATTAATTGTAATTAGAAGCACGCTCAGTTTTGGAGAAACAATTAGTTAATTGCTATCGATTTTAAAGTAAATTCATGGAAGAGAAGAGAAACTCTCTGAAAAAATAAAGTTTAAAATGTTGAGATTTATTGTTGAGATTCGGAGTCAAAATATTTTGGCAGCGCGAGGATATGGGGCAGTTGGACAGATGATGTGATACCAAACTATTCTGTATTCGCAATTTGTGTTTTTGCAAATTGATTGCCAATTTTGCCTGGTTTTTATAAAAAAAGACAAAATTAAGTATATACTGACTGACTCTAATTAAATGAGTTTATCCTATATTCTTGGGTTATTAAAAAAGTTTACCAAACATTATTGTCCTATTTCTGCAAAAATATCCAATTTCGAAACTAACAAAAGCCGGCTCATCACATTTTCGACGTTTTTTGGCCTAAATTTGCTGCAGAACCTTACAAAAATGAGTTCCACTGGGGTCGGGGTCGAGGGAGGTTTAGGAAAGATGAAGTTTATCGGTATTGATTCATGAATAAAATTGCATGTTTATGCAGATAATTTGGTATGCATATAACATTTCATATTTGAATTCGCATAACTATTTATAAATTGAATTGTTCCTTACATATAAGACATTGGAGCTAACCTTACCGACGATATGTACTCTGGAATGTACAACGGGAGCAAAAAACATGAGCCAGACATAGATAAAGTGTTATCAAGAGCTTGGAATGTGGGACTGGAAAAGATTTTCATAACTGCTGGAAATCTTTCTGATGTCAGAAATTCATTGAAATTGGCAAACACTAATGGTTAGTTTGATCAACTAAGGATATAAGACATACATGATTATTCAAAACGCATTAATTAACTACATTTATGCCAGATCGTCTCTATACAACTGTCGGCGTCCATCCTACACGTTGCTCTGAATTCGACACGGAATTTCCAACCCCATCAGAGTATATTCAAAATCTGAAGCAAGAATTTGATTCGAATATAGATAAAATTGTGGCCTTGGGCGAATTCGGCCTGGATTATGAACGGACGAAATTTTGTGACGTGGAAACTCAGAAAAAGTACGTATGCAGGAATTTTTCATTTCCGGTGGAATCTTCCCTTTGTGGAGATGAGTTTTGATGAAAAGCTGATTGATTTTTTTTCTTGCTGCAGGTACTTCCGTCTCCAACTAGAACAACTCGGTCCTTATACTAATCTTCCCTTGTTTCTCCATTGCCGAGCAGCAGCGACTGATTTGCATGAAATCCTTTCTCAAAATTTGTCTTCGTTTCCTCGAGGGGGTGTGGTTCACTCGTTTGACGGAAGTGAAGAGGAAATGAAAAACTTTGTTCAGCTCGGACTGCATATTGGCCTTAATGGATGGTACATAGATCTTTAGAAAATTTAGTATTATAAAATACTTAAGTACTCTGAATGATTAATTCTTCGTTTTTTATTAGTTCTTTGAAAACAGAAGAAAACTGCAAAGTAGTTAAAGAAATTCCAGTGGAACGCATACTTTTTGAGACTGATGCCCCATGGTGTGGGATTAGACCATCTCATTTGTAAGGAGAACATTTAATTTGAACGTCTCATCATTTTACGGCAAATATTTTTTCATTTCCTATTTTTTTAAGCTCTTCAAGCTTTGTCAAAACCAAGTTTCCAGCAGTTAAAAAGAACTATGATGAAAATATGATGTACAAGACTAGAAATGAACCACATACAATTTTGTAAGTCAAATTAATTAAATAATTTATTTAAACATAAATTAATGATAATGTATAACCGATTACATGAAATTTCAGAAACATATTAGAAATAGTGGCTCATATAAAAGGAGACATGGACCCTGCAGATTTGGCGAGTAAAGTTTACGAAAATACACTAAAATTATTTTCTTAAAACTTCATTTTTTGAAATAAAACAACATGACTAATTTTCTATTGTTAAAAAGTCCTATATGCAATCATGTTTCTTTAACCCGTAGCATTGTTTCATGCATTTTACCTTCGAGCGTCTTTTGTTTCTCGTTATTGAATAGAAAGGTCGTCGCATTCACATTTATTGCATAATTCACATTCCATGATGAAATTCTGATTCAGAAGCATTTGGCATATTGTAATCTACAGTGTAACAGTAACGGTAGTCCTCAAAATTATTTAATTTTGCCTATTCTCATCTTCTAATCGAGTAATGATGATAATTCAATCTTGTTCCTTGATTTTGGTAAGTGCCGATCAATCAATTAGATAATTTGACATACTAAAGCATCTCAATCTGTAATCTGTCACATTCTATCATAGGCAATCTTGAGCTTGATGGGAACGACGTGGGCAGAATACTCGGAGAAGGATTTGGTTCGATGTGAGAATTTTACACGAATTTCTTTACACCCATGACGTTACACCCATTTGAGTAATATAAATGACTCAAATCTTTTGTTAATTAAAAAAAAATTACTATAAAATAGTTATATAACATATTTTCATTAGTGAAGGCAATATCATGCATGTACATATGAAAAAAATGAATTTGCATGCATCTGCGTCGCCCAAGAAAGATTGTTAAGGGACAAAGGTGTTTCTGTGGCCTGAATTTTTACCATGTTGCCGGCATGGAGGATTTGTGGAATTTGTTTTAAAAAATCGTACAAGTCTTCTTCATTTTTATGTATATCTCATAAATCCTCCATGCTGGCATCCATGCGAAATTCACATCCTAAGGGGGTGGGTTATGACAAAATATGAAAAGAATGAGTGTATATGCATTTGCCCTTGCCAAGGAATTTTGAACTTTGTTGAACTAGTTTCAGTTATTAAAATGCGTATTAATTAGTCTTTCATCAACTAATGATAAAGAGAATGCGTACATGTGGATATTTCCCCTGGTTGGCAAAGTACATAAGAAATTCATACTCTGCTGTGGTGCTTATTATGATAAATAATTTGCAAAAAAAATACTTACATATCATTTGCTTGGAAATGCACTCCCCATTGTTGCATGTTGCTTGTAAAATACCGCACGCACTAGGAGGACGTGTGGGTGGGGCTTGATCTGAAATCAAAATGATAATAATTTTACGTCTCCCAAGTTAAGTAAAAACATGACAAAATTACGAGCAACTTAAAATGTACTACAAACGTCTTCTTCACAATCAACAATCAAGGGAAAATAAGAATTGGATTAAGTAATGTATACCACACGAATTAAGAAGCAGAACTAATAATAATAAAGCAGAGTGTGAGACACGCTACCAATATCTGTTGTGGGATATGTTAGTGGATCACTTTGGGGAAAATACACAGATTCCCATTGTCTGTTGTCCCAAAAATCGTAATGAGACAATTCTGAAGGACTCCAGGGCGACTTTTCCCCAGCAGCTTTTTTTAATTGCAGTTTAGTAAATATAATTTTGGTTTATCGTTTTTAAAGAAAGTTTATTTATAGTGTAAATTTTACATTTTATGTTTAATCCTATGTCGCAAGTTTACAAAACACTTACATTGGTCAACTCAGACCCAGGGGTTGCTGCCGGATAACCAACTGCCTCACAAATCTAAGTTCCTGTTGAGCTCACAGAAACGTTGGGCATTTCCAATCGTCCGTTAAAATCTCTGGAGCCTGGTGGGAGCGCCTGACCGTTCCCACTCATCCATCTGACCGGAACGCGCAGTGGTCCTTCATCTCTGCATTGGAATACGACCTCGTGACCTGTTTATATGAAAAATCTAAACTAACGAATCATGTTTGACCATCCATTATCAGTTTAGACTGACCTTGTCTTATCGTCTGCTCAGCAGGGTATGTTTTCAAATTTATTCCCCCAGGAGAAATAAGGTTATCGCAAAGTTGCTCATCGCTAAAATCATTGCATTCAACAACTCCATTGCACACTCCAGAGCGAGGAACACATTGGTCCCTACTATGACATGTAAATTCATTTTGTGGGTTGCATTAGGGTGGTCTGGGTGTTGTCGCTGAAAGTGCCGAAAATAAAATAAGACAAGTGTTTTTTTTAATAAATATTGTCCAATTCAAACTTTTCGTAATCCTACAGTAATTTACAAAACTGTGCTTATGTATGTATGTATGCGAAAGTTGGTGCTTTTGCAAACATTTTCATGGTTTCATTGCACCAGACGCAGACGCCACTTGACACGATGACAATACTTGCATAAGATTGTATAAGTCTCAGATTCGTCTAATCAGTTAATTTATAACCCAATAATAAAATATATTGCTCTACCAACTTACCAACCGTACAATTGAGTTCGTCGCTGCCATCCTAATTAATTCAAACAAGATTTATGAACTGAATGTGTTCTTTGTTTGCAAAAAGTAAAACTGCGACAATATCAATATAGAAAATAAACATTTTTACTTCGCAGTCAAAGGTATGGTCATTGTACATGCATAAATATATTTTCCAAATTATAACAAAACGTTTGACGGATTGCTTAAAATGGACGCCAGAAGTGAGTCGAAAGCAAGCAACCAGGTTTTCCGTGTTGTATCCTGTCAAAGTGCTGTGCAGTATTTTTTAACAAGTGCTCCCAATCACAGCCCCACTACCACGAACACTCTGGATGTTTTTAATTGTTCCTCCACAAAATTAATTGTTTAAGCTAGAAGAAATGTCGACTCGAAAATTCACGGATAAGGATAACGACGACAATATATGGAATTTCAAGAATCTACAACAATGGGAGCAAGAAGCGGAGGTGAGAGAAATGTTTAAAAATATATGACCATTGGACAAGTATTTCAAGTGTTTGATTGCAAATAGGAGGCTGAACGAACACTAATAAATTCAAGAAAGACAGGCTACGACGATGAGGAAGATTTTAAGCCGGCGAAAAACTTCCAACTCCCAAATCAGGTTATAAGATAGATTAAACTAATTGAAACATGCATAAGAATAAGTAATATTGATTCCAGGGTGGCAAACCTAACTTTGGAGGAAGTTCAAAAGCAAATAGGATTGAATTTATGCCACATCGAACCTCCCACACCCTGTCTGGAGCTAAACGGAAGAAAGGTTCTGAGGAGAACAATGACGCAAGTTCTAAAAAATCGGCAAACTCCAAAATTAAACCAGACGTAGGTACTTTAGTAAAACCACAGGTTACTCAGCGCTTGCCGAAAGAAGAACAATCATCTATATGTATCAATCAACAAACATTGTCCCCCGACAAGAACGAACCAGATCGCTCCAGATCGAACCAGATCGCTCCAGATCGCTCCCTCAAATGTATGAAGTATGGAAGGCATGGGCTCCTGTTTTATCAGGAGGTGGATGAACTTATTGCAAGTATGTGTATAAAAGTGTCACAGATTCGACATACATGACATGCTATGTTTTATGAATTTACAGATCAAAGAATTTTTGTCCAACCACTCCGAGGAAAGGACAAGCAACTAAATGGGCATATTCTAATAAATTTTTCGAACACAAGTATTTCATGTCTCATGGCTTCGAACAGCAGAAAATCCCACTCTAGTGCCGATCTTGACGATGATGAAAGTTCATCCGGATGCGGCGTTGGGTAAAAATAATGCATACGAATTATTCCTGCATAAACTACCGTGGATTAATATTATGCAATGCAAGATATACTTATGAAATGTTTTTGTCACTTTAGCTATTTCCTAAGAAATGGGAGCATGGATTATAATCCTAAAGAAGCCTACTACGTTGATATCTACATGACGACGAATGCAGTGGCTACATATCTTAAAATGGGTCTCAGAGGTATTTCTTGAATTTAAATACCCATAGGTTAATCTCAAATTAATATAAATCTTTTCATTTAAAAGGAATGTTGGACGCTGTTTGCGTCCACTGTCCATCTGAGGACTATATGCTGTGCCTGCCTTTTGCGAAACAACTCGTGGATATTTTAGGCCAAAGCCCCAATCTTGCGAAAATTGTTCCAACTGCTGACTTTGTTCAAACCAAGCAACCGTTCTCAAAGTTCACAGTAGCTTCAATCCCTAACTACGGGTTTTGGAAACGACCCTCCGGTAATTATTAAATTGTAGTATACACATGGAAGGAAATTAGTTTCAAGTGTTACATGCTAATCGTATTACGTAGATTCAAACGAACAGATCACGGTGAACTCTACATCATTCATTTGCATGGAGAATCCAGAGTACCAGGAGCAAAAATGTAGACAAATCTTGCATAAACCATGGGGAGAAAATGGTGTAATATTTTATGAAGAAGGCGATTCCTTTGACGAAAGTAAGCTTGAGGGAAATAATTCATATGCATTAATTTAACTTACATCGAAACATGTTTTTTTATGTGCAGTACACAAGCTGTACTTCACGCCCCTCCGTGGAGAAGATAAAAAGTACAACGGTCATCTTCTGATTGCCTTCACAACCTACGAATCTGTATGCCGCGGAGCATCCGAACGTTTGCACCAGTCACTTGGTCACGGCCAGGGGAAAACCAGAGGTTGCGGCATTAGGTAACAATTTCTTGGGACTATTTCCATGTTTATGTATATCATGATAAGAGTAACACAAGTCCTCATTCTCATAGTTTTACCTGATTGTATTTACGTAGATATTTTCTACAAAGTGGTAAGATGATCTACTTTGGTGATGACTCGAAGCCTCTAAACGTGTATATGACATCCAACCATGGTGCTGTGACGTTCAAAATGGGCTTAAGAGGTACACTCCCCAGGTGTACATTAATTTTATATAACCAACTAATGCTTATGAATAATTTATAGCCGCTCTAGATGCTGTGTGTATTCACTCACCATGTCGCAAATTTCTTGATATTAAGCCGTACTTCGCACCCATATTGGACGTCTTGAAAAACATCCCTGAAATCAGAGTCATCCTCCCTACTTTGGACCAACTCAACCGAAAAGTACCCTTCTCACGTTTTACCGTCGCTTCGATCGCAAACTTTGGTTTGTTTATTCGTGGATCGGAAGTGACGCCAAACACCCCATGGAATTTCCATCTTGACAAACTCAGTGACATCCTACTTGATGCTTCAAAGACAAGCAAGCAATTAATGCATATGAATAATTTTGAAGATCGACAAGTCTTACAGGCGATCAAGGAAAACAAAACAAAAGAACAAAACCTCCTCGATCAAGAAAACTGTGCCATTATAGAATGGTTGAAGACGAACTACATTGCTTCCAAAGATCATTTCGTGTATAAGAATGACGTGTATTTTCATTACAAGAATTCAACAAGAAATCAGACTACGATTAGTAAAATGGCTTTCGGTAGGAAGGTTGGTAAAACCTTTAAAGAGATACACGCGACGAGCGCAAAGGATGGAAAATCCAAGCATAAGGGAATTGAAAAAGTGGAGGTAAACCAAGCCGACTCTACTGCAATGTTGTCGGATTTGGATGGCCAATATGTCCAGCGAGATGATATGGACAAACGATCATCTCGTGCGTCACGTCAAATAACATCAACTGTTCTAACGCACGATTGGATCTTGCGCAACTTTACCATGGAGGAAAACGAAGAAGTGTTAAAAAGTGATGTGTACCCGTTGTACATTGAAAATTTCGGACATGATAAACCTTTAAGCAAAAACTTCTTTAATATGGAACTTAAAACATGTTTCCCGAATATAGGAATAGTAAGACACCAATACAACGGTCCTGGATCCGCCAAACGGTATTATAAAAATTTGAAGTACGTCGGATCCCAAGTATTATAATTCTAAGTCTGTTATTATAATTCTAACTTTGTTATAAAAAAATGCATATGACTTATTAGTTTGTTTGGTTAAGCTATGAACCATTATGTAGCAATAGTTGTATACATATGAATTAGTTGTTTAATTTACCACATTTTCATTTATAAAGTACAAATGTATCTTTGTTCAATTTTTGCATAACTATATGTACCATTGAATAAGTTATAACTTTGACTGCCAGGTAAAGATGCTTATTTTCTTTATTGATATTATCGCAGTTTTACGCATTCAGTTAATAAATCTTGTCAGAATTAATTAGGATGGCAGTGACGAGCTCAATTGTAGAACTCAGATCAAACATCACACAGATCATTTTTTGCATGTGTACGTGCGTGATATTCGAGTCGATTCGATGCAAATATGTGAGAATTTTGACGATTGCAGGTTCTTTCATTTATAGTACGAAATATTAATAAGTGACCTTATGGCCTTATTTATTATTATTTTTGCAGAGCTGCCTGTGGACCGTCAGCCTCCCATTATAAGTGTCATTCTAGTGGTTACTGTAGTTGTTTGAATTCTGTGGTAATAACTTTAATTAATAATTACTACAATTTCTTATAAGTATAGGCATGCAGTAATATATGTCTAATTTATCTTATCAATAGGGCTACCCTGCAAAATGTCAGACTCTCGACGAAGTTAATGATACCGCTTGCCGAAAAATGTGCGGTATGTAAATACATACATGAAAATGTCCAAAAATATAATATGTAAAAGACTTGTGGATGTACATATTTATGCTTAATTCAGGTGGTTTGAGGATTGCAAAGCGATGTTCGACTGACGCAGGCTTGTTTTGCACCTGTTTTCAACACCCTTTTTATCCATACACAAAATAGGTGTGACTTTATTTCTCATTTAAAATTAAAATTAAATTACAAATCTGTTAAAAAAATTGTCCAACTAAAACCTGTATAGTAAAATTGAGCCATTAAAAAACTGAATCCTCCACACTGGTATTACTTCCAGCAGTACTGGACCCATTTTCCCCGATTTCTGCAACACTTGACATGCTCAGCCTCTGCTTTTTGTCGTGCACCTGACAAATCAAGGTTTTTAAGCAAAAGTTGCAAAATATTACAGAGTTACGTATTTTATTTACCCCTTTCGCTACATTGATCAATTTCCCTGCCGAAGTTTTTCCAGTTTGTTGCACAAGTTGATGAAGTGAACTTCTCGTGTTGAGTAAAAGTTTGTAAGGTTCGTCAAATTCCTAAATTATTATGGTCATGACTTTGGATATTGACTTCTCGGAATTTGAATTGTTATGGAACGTACCATTATACGACCAGCGTCCAAAACTAAAATTCTGTCAGAATCCATAACTGTGTGCAGCCTATAGACACATCAGGGTTAAATTAGTTTTAACATTTACACGCTTATCGTGATTTTTCTTGCCTATGCGCCACGGTCAGGACAGTACAATCGGCGAATTTCTCACGAATCGTTTTCTGAATTAATGCATCCGTCTCTGGGTCGACGTTTGCGGTTGCTTAAATCATAATTTTTTCGTCGTCACAGATTTATTTTATATTTATCGCTTTACAATTATTAGTTTATCTGTGTAATACCTTCATCCAAAATCAAGACTTTGTTTCGTCTCAGAATCGCTCTTCCTAAATAAATTAGTAATTACAGTATCAAGCTAAGTTTAAATTATTATTGTATAAGTACCTAAACATATTAACTGTCGTTGCCCCACACTGAAATTTGAACCACCTTCTGCAATCTGGTCCAGCAAAAAGATAGATTAATGATTATGGTTTAACTTCCGGTGTGTCACATATCTTTGTCTACCTGAGTATCAAGTCCGGCCTGCATTTCTCTTACGGCTTGAGCTAAATGCACATCCTCCAATACTTGCCACAATTGGTCGTCATCATAATCGTTAAAGGGGTCGAGGTTTCTGCGAAGCGTGCCAATGAAGAGAACAGGGTCTTGAGGAATGATGGATATTTTGGACCTCAGTTCGTGCAGCCCGATACTCATGACATCAATGCCATCAATTTCAATCGTTCCGGAACAAGGTTCCGCAATTCGAAACAAAGCTGAAATCATAAACAGTGCAAAATTCAGCCGGTGGAAGGTCTCATCTAAGTGGGGCGTTAAATTTAACCCGTAATTAAGGAAGATTTCCCTGCTCCAGTCCGACCAACAATGCCGACCTAATCGGTAAGAGTTTTACTTAATATGGGTGTTTAATCAATTATAGATACTTATGCATATTTAATTATATGATGACCAACTTTCTCCTTGGGTAGAATAGTGCAGGATATTTCATTAAGTACTGGAGCATCTTCCCCGTATCGAAGCGTCATCTTTTTCATAACAATTTGACTCTTGAGTGGCCATGATTTCGGAGGTCCTACTGAAGAAACCAATGCAGCTTCCGGTTCCAAGGCGGAATACTCCAACACCTACATGTACATATGTAAATATACATATACGACTTTTTTCATAACCCTGTAACCTACCCGTTCAACGGAAACCATGTGATTCTCAGTTTCAGCACTTTGTCTAACGCCCCACTGAAACATCCTACAGGCAAAAATATCAAAGATTATCATCAATTTTTTCCTGTCCCAAAGTCCAAAATTTTCATTACCCTGTGAGCGTCATCGCTGACGATATTGCGAGACCAACTGCTGCACCCTCTAAAAAAAGAGTCAACCGGATTTAAGGGGGACGCTGAGAATTTACGCAAATCCATTTAGTTTTCACGTATGTACCTTGCCGCATAAAGAGAAAGCTGAACGTGACCGCAGCGATAAAGCCGACGCTACACCAGTCCACGAATATTCCCAGCCATCTCGCCGTTGCGAGAAAAAGATACCAGGACGAAGAGTGCAGATCTTGATAGGCGTCAAATTGACGTTCAAATTGACCTTCAACTCCGAATGCTCTAAATGTCCAAATTTTTTAGAGACTATGCATGATCACGAATCTTGTGGTTATTCAGTCTAAAAATGAGTACCTTATTGTGGTCAGTCCGTAGAGAGACGTGCTCAAGTGTGAAAAGACTGGACTTCTAGCAATCCCCTCGAGACGTTTTACACTTCTCGCCGTCTCGAGATAGAACCTTCTCACGAAATAGAATAAAATGCCCAATATTGCCGACGGAATTAGGAGAAATTGGTTTACAGTGCAAACAATTACAATGACACCGATAAATTGGAGAAATATCTGTAACGTGACAATGAGGAGATGCATGATCATGAAAACTTCTGACGAAAATGACACTTATTAAATATAACCTTACATCCATTGTATCAAACAAAGTTGAAGGAAGTGTTTCGTCCACTATTCCTATGTCTTTAGCGAAGCGGTTGAGGATCCTCCCTATACGTACACATAAATTGAGTGAAAGTGTCGAAATCCGCATCACCATTATGCTTACCGACTGGATTGATCTCAAAGAATCGCATCGGAGCTCGAAGCACCCCATTAAAAAGCATTTTATGTAAATTAACCGATGAGGTGAGACACATCGTTAGAAATCCTGCCGTTCTGATTAAAGATATCACAAAGAGGACCCCGATAATTCCAGAATAGATCCAAACTTCCATTTCCCTCTCCGAATCGAGTGATAATGAACTTGTCGAATTTTCCTTATAAAACGAAGAATTTTCTATTTTAAAACCCGCATCAAAGTCACCAGATTCAAAGTCTTGTTCATCTAAGACGGGAGAAAATCGAGCTTCTTCATTCTTAGTCCAATACTGCAACCAATAGTCTGACCCCGAGAATAAAATTTGGACCAATATGTTTGAAAAGAATAGGATGGTGAGGGCAAAGAGGGAGGATCCGGCACGGATGTAGCGCCAGTAGAGGAACACTGAAAGTCAATTTTTACACCGGGATTATTTTTTGACCGGTGTTCAGAAATTTTCGGAAATTTATACCTGAGATGTCACCAGTGGATCTCTGCTCCTCGTGAACCTTGGGGATGAGGGGACTGTTCTCGTCGCGGGGGTGGTCGCCATTGGAGGACGATGAACTACTGAGAGATTTCTTTTTAGGACGGAGTCGCACTGTGGGAACGAGTGGTTTCGACCTGGAGAAAAAAAATATATTTTTTTTGTCAAAATTTTGAAAGATTTATATATTTATGTTTTCCGTACATTCTTCTGGAAATGTCGTAGTGGGGTTGTTGACCATAGCTCCGCATAATTGCGGGTTCCTCCTCCCACTCGAATTCTTCTGGGACGAAAGGATTTCCCAGTGCGCCCATTTCCGAAATAATGCTCATGGAGGCACTCCTTCTAATTTGGGGCTGGGATTTACTCCTGGTAAGCACTTCCATCCCGGTTCCTTTGTATTTTAGCGTTTTTTGAGAAGTGCTCTCAAGTAAATCTTGTGCTTGAGGTGTGGTCTCTTCAGAGCGGAGAAGTTGGGCGAAGTTTATCCCGGTTCGGAGCAGTTCGGTGTACGTCCCTAGAAAAATCAGTCATACAAAGGAACCATATTTAATAATTAAGGAGGAGGCACCCTCCTTACGTGAAATGCCCCACCGTGATATTCGGCTCAATTTTTGATATGTTGTACATTTCGACGTGCCGAACAAAAAATGTATTGGTCCCTAAGCCTTAAGTGACCTGGTTCGACCGGAAATAGAGGTCAAAGGTCAGTGCACTTTTTCGCTCGAAACCCCATAAACCGTATATTTTTAGAAAGCTACGGACCTCCCCAGTCCGAATATACACCATACTTGGGTCAAAGGTCAAGCCTTGATCTGTCGAGGTCAACCCTTGGCCTGTCGAGGTCAAATATGTTATTGAGGCAAGGTAAGATTTTTGGGGAAAAGTGGCCAAAGTACATTTCTGATAGGATGACTGCACCCTTGCTGGAAAAGGGCATTATTACATAGTTGGTTAACACTACATAATCAAGATCAATAAACACAAATGTTAGTGTTAACCAACTATGTAATAATGCCCTTTTCCAGCAAGGGTGCAGTCATCCTATCAGAAATGTACTTTGGCCACTTTTCCCCAAAAATCTTACCTTGCCTCAATAACATATTTGACCTCGACAGGCCAAGGGTTGACCTCGACAGATCAAGGCTTGACCTTTGACCCAAGTATGGTGTATATTCGGACTGGGGAGGTCCGTAGCTTTCTAAAAATATACGGTTTATGGGGTTTCGAGCGAAAAAGTGCACTGACCTTTGACCTCTATTTCCGGTCGAACCAGGTCACTTAAGGCTTAGGGACCAATACATTTTTTGTTCGGCACGTCGAAATGTACAACATATCAAAAATTGAGCCGAATATCACGGTGGGGCATTTCACGTAAGGAGGGTGCCTCCTCCTTTATAGTTAATGATACATGGTGGAAAATTTACCTTGGGCTGCTACACGACCCCCATCCAAGAGCAAGATTTCGTCAGCCGCCTTGAGAAATTGGAGTTGATGGGTCACCAGAATCCGCACCTTGTCTTTTAACGCGTCTATAATGCAGTTTTCAAAAAGGTGCCGACCAACTTCGGCGTCCACGGCGGAAAGTGGATCATCTAGGAGGTAAATGTCGGAATCTGCGTAAACCGCTCGAGCCAGGTTAACACGGGCCTGAATTAACAATTAAACAATTGAATTAATTTAACAATTTAATTTACAATGTAGTTAATTAGTATTAACACGAGCCTTCTGTCCCCCGCTCAACGACGTCCCCCTATCCCCCACCAGCGTATTGTCCCCAAACGGTAGGAGGGACAAGTCACGACTCAAGGCGCAAGTCTGAATCACTCTCTCGTACTTTTCTGCGTCAAATTGCCCCCCAAAAATAATATTTTCTTTAATACTTCCTCCGAAGACCCACGGCTCTTGTGATGTGTACGCAACTTTTCCGGAAACATGCAACGTTCCCGAAGTTATTGGTAGTTCACGCAGAATAGCTTGGAGCAAGGAACCCTGAATATTATATGTATATATTATAAATTATATTATATTATAACTTTATATTAGCAGAAAACAACTTTCATGCTAATTTCGTACATTTATTTTTAAAATTATTATTATCAGTGTAGTTTATCCACCTTGCCACATCCAACAGGTCCGATAACTCCGAGTAATTGACCCCTCTTCACATTTAGCGTGATATCTGTCAGCGTGGGTTCTTCCGATTTCGATGTCCATTTTGCTGTAACCTTCGTCATCCTAATCTCGGCTTCCGGCTGTTTCTGACTTTTTCCATATTCATGAGCTGATTGAAATGAGATCGCTTGTGGAGACAACTCTCGATTTTCCATCATTAAAAAATTCTACAAGATGGATTCAGATTAGTGACCAATTTTTCTAAATCGGTAATGTTCTCATATTATTTATTACCTGCAATCGATTTACGGAAACAAACAGCTCTGCCAGTTGGGCCACTCCGTTGGGGAAAAATAAAGTCATCACGAGACGAACACTGTTGTACAAGGATAGCGTCACAAAGACCTACAAAATAATGGATGCAATTTGCATAAATAATTTACTACCCAATTTACTTGATTCAATTAGAAAAACGTTACCTTTTCAGCCGTGAGAAAATTTCCGGTCAGCACGTACGACAAAAGGGTAAGAAAGACAATAATTTTCGAAGAGATGTAATATAAACTGAGATTTATCGCTTTTAAAATTGCCGTCTTCTTAATATACTTCACTTCGTCTCTGAAAAAAAAGATGAAAAATTATGAAATTATGTAAGTACATACATAATTTCAAAAAAATTGTGCCGTAATGTTTATGAGTTTTACTCTCTCGTCTCAGCTACCAAGAGGGCGAAAGGGCGTTCCCAAGTGTACATCTTGATAACTCGCATCGCAGAAATTATCTAATTGTTATAATAATTAAAATTTTGTTAGTATGAATGACAATAAGATAGCAAATATAGGAAAAATTCAACATACTTCGTTCATGACACGGACACGTCTGTCGGTTCGTATCGCGACTTAAAAAATAAGATTATGTACGATTTAATTAATTAATTAATTATGATCCGTTATGGTTAATATTACGACTTTCTCCAGGAATCATAAGTAATCTCACCTTGGACCCTAAGTGAACCAAACAGCTTTCCCATTTGACCTAAAAAAATTATACACATATTTTCAGATTACTGAATTTTTAAGCTAATTCACTTTGACATTCGTATCTAAATTTTACTTTGAAACGGAACAAACAAAACGAGCAGAGCTACTCCGACGAGGCATGACCATCCAAATTTTGACCACAGGATGTAAATAACGATTCCTAGTTGTATTGGGCCAATCCAACTATGCATGAATATAAGCATTGATATTTGAACTATGTATTTATATTTACAGTGAAAGTAAGAGTGAAAATACGGACATGTAATGGAGCATGCCCATCCCGATATCGAAGCGATTCACATCATTAGAAAGTAAATTAACCAATTGACCAATCGTAGTGTCGCCCAAGGCCGACTGACTCAATTTTAGAGACTGGAAAGTTAGAAAATATATATTTTTTAAACAGTCCTAGGTTGAAATGTATCAGATATTGTTATCACCTTTCTATAAATCACGGAGGAACATGCCACTCTCATTCTCATTCCTACGTGCTGGGTTTCGAAGAAGAATGGATGATGCATCTTTAAATCATAATATGCATGATTAACCATACCAATTTCCATGTAAAGAAAATTTGAGTTCTTATTGTAGATCCATTTTAAAATATAATACGTAACTTACAAAAGTGTAGCAAACTGTAAGATATACATAACTCGTACCGTTAATCCCATTTATCAGTGTATATATAGCTCTTAATTATTATAATTAACTTCACTTACTTGAACCAAGGACCAACCCTGAGGCAAACACATAGCCCATATTTCCATTCAATTCCGTCTGAAACTCTCCTCCAAAGAATCGAATCAGATATCCTAAGCAAATTGGTTGAATAATCCTAAAACGATTTATAATGGTTTCTTAAATCTGAAATCGTGTATCACAATTTTATTAAAAATCATTTACTTTAAAAAGCATTCCTCTGTAAAAGCAAAAATTCCGAGGGCAGCATAACTCCATCCGAAAACTTTAATTAATGCCCTGCGCAAACTTGCGGTTCGCTTGCCAAGCGATTTTTTGGCCAAAGTAAGTTCCTCCTCCCATGCCGCACTTTATAGAAATTTATAAAAAACAGTGTTACCATAATTAAAACGCTGTTTATAAAAAAACTTTCACCACTTTCACTTTGATCTTAATTGCATTTCGCTACCTGAGCTTGTCCCCCAACGAGTTGGAAAGATCATCTTTTGGGACACGAAATAAGTCGGATAGCTCAAGATCACGCTTATACCCTAATTTTCAATACACAAGTTATTAAATTATAGCTCTTATTTTAATTAAGTTTACATAATTACCTAAGCGTAACAGCTTTAACAGCCACCTGTCACAATTAAATTACATTTTATTACATGAAATATCTTATAATTTTTTCATTTTATGAGCAAAAAACATACCAAAATAGCAGCTTCGATAGAAAACTAGCATCTTCCCTAGGCGATTTTGGCAACGGCTGAGTCATCGTGGTGAAAGTGAAAATTAACTAATAAATATTTTAAAAAGAACTAAAACACGACACTTCAGTTACATGCGTCGTAGATGTTGCAACAATAATATTGCTTATCACATCATTCTTATATACACATTTTTTGGAAAAGTGTACGTACTAGTTTAACAACCGCACTTAACTGGACAGTTTGACCTACAGTTTGACCGACTACGATCAAATTATTGTATGCATGGTGCGTCTTCAGGAATGAAACTGGATTATGGATAACTATTTAGTCATTGTCACGTATTTATGAGAGTGGTTTGCAGGCACTTGGTATCAAATCAATGTAAAGTTACTTATCTCTTTCGTAGAGTATTTAAACAACAAAAGTTGAATCAACTTTGTGCTTATCGAGTAATGCATGCATGCAAATTGAAGTTAAAGACTTAATAAAAAGTCAGTAATTTATTTATTTGCATTTTTGTCAGGTTAGTTAACTCGATACTTAATTGTCTAGACTTTAATGTTTTAATGCTGGGCGTATACTTTTTTAATTTGATTAACAAACTCAGTAGAAAATTGAATACTTAATATTTTGTTTGAATTGTGATAAGATTCCCATCAAATTTTAGGTATTATACCGTTGCATCAACTAAGTAATCTTTATTATATACTTTTCGGCTTATCGATGACTATAACTTTATCTAATTATAACTGAACCCTCGTCAACTTCCATGCATAAAACTTTACATTTACATTCTACGTCTCTCTAAAGTCCTTACAGATAAAAATGTGGAGTTTGATTTCATATGCATGTTGTTGTTACACAGAAAATCATGCCATACATAATTGTTATCAATGTATTTGTACCCACAACGCGTTATCAGCTTTATTATTGACACTTTAAATGGGAAAAGGAGCCATACATGCTCAAAAACATTTTCATGCTGACATCACAACCATTTTCCTGCTGACTGTGCCTCATCATAATAAAACAACATGATAACGGCGATGTCCGATAAGCATTTTACAGTAAGACCTTTGTGGTGAAAGTATATAAGTAAAGTCGATCTTGGGAGGAAGATTTGTCTTCTTCTTTTAATTCATTAAACACGGGGCAACTTTGGAAATGTGGTTATCTTGCACTTATCGTAAAATAAGTGTCTGATAAGCGAGTATTTTTGAGCTATTTGGATAGTGAAAGTTGGTGAAAGTGCTTTTCTCCCCATTTTTCGTGAGACGGGGCATCCCGACATTTCTATGCCCACGGCGGCCCGGCGTTAAATCACATTATCATTCAGTCCACGACAAAGTTTGTTTTTTGATCGTGGTGGTCTGTCATTATTAATTTTTTGAAAATTCGTTTTCGAAATATAAAAAAATACTTATTTTTCTGATATCTTGAACAATGGCGGATTTTGTTTCTCTATTGGTGGATATGGGATTTGATCCGGAGAAGTCGTAAGTTTTTGTTTGTTTTGTGTTGTTTGTATAATACAAACAAACAAGAGTTGAACGTTTAATTAAAATAAATAAATGAATGAATATTGATAATTAACTTAGGAAGATGGCTGTCGAGAAGACGGGAAACCAAGGGGTCGAACCTGCAATGGAGTGGTGAGGAACTAATTGATTCAAAACCAATTAAAAATTTCGAATTTATTTTCATGTATGTAAATATGCTGAACATTGTTGATACATAATTTCAGGATACTTTCACACCCTGACGAACCATCACCATCAGCAGAGGGAGGAGGATCAAATGACAACACTTCAACGACAACCCCAGCGACTGATACGAAAACTGAAGAAGTTCCAAAATCGTGGAAATGTGAAGAGTAAGTCGACGACGCTTGTTGTTTAAAATTCCAGTTCATTTTCATTCTTGTTTTTTAATCTTTCCTCAAGTTGCGGAAAACTGTTCGCATCGATGGACACCGTCGAGTTCCACGCAGCCAAAACGAACCATTCCAACTTTTCAGAGTCCACTGAGGAAAAAAAGCCCTTGACAGCTGAAGAGAAGGCCGAACAGCAGAAAAAGTTGGTGGAACTCATGAAGACGAAAAGGGTCGAGCGTGAAGCAAAAGTATTCAATAAAATTCAATACATTTGATTTAAAGCTTCAGTTTTAATTAATTTTGTTTTATTTACCAGGAGAAACTTGAAGAAATTGAGCGAGAAAAACAGCGAATGGCGAGTGGGAAGGATTTGATCGAAGCCAAGCGTCGTCTCGAAGGTGAGATAATTTTGTTCGGGAAAAATTATTAGAGTCTAATCTTTTTTTTAATTTTCCATTTAAGAACAAGAGATGAAGGAGATGATCGCGCAAAAACAAAGAGAGAAGAGGGAAGACAAGGCGGCCAGGGACAGGGTCAAGGCTCAGATCGAGGAGGACAGGTTGGCCCGGAAGGCCAAGTTTGGTGGTGGCGGAAGTGGTACTTCAATCACGGAGAGTCCACCAGTGTCAGTAAAACCAAGTCCAATGGAAGTCGACGTGGTCAAGAAGGACTACACTCACACAAAGTTGCAAGTAAGCCGTGTCTTAAATACTCTTGAACACGTTGCAAAACTTGGTAGAATTTTATAAATTAATCATAAAAACATATTTGTTAGCTACGACTTCCCAGCGGAAAAACGATGACACAAACTTTTGGGGTAAGCGAGCCCCTGGCCGCAGTCCGTGTATACATTGAAATGAATCGTGACGACGGAGTGGAAGGAAGCTTCAATCTCATTACAAACTTCCCAAGGTTAGATTGACTAATTATGGAACCTATGTGAAGGAAGACTATGAAAACCCCCTTTCTTTTTGGGAGGTATTTTTGGTGCTAAGCTAAATAACTAATGACTGATTTTCATTTAAAGGAAAACCTTTGTTGAGGACGACTATGACAAACCCCTTCTTACTTTGGGACGTACGTAAGATATACTTTATTCAAACAACAGCACAAATTATTATCAAATGTGGTAAAGAGAAAACAACCTTGAACAAATGGTAAAAACAGGTTTTAAAACGATCAGAAACAATTTTTAAGGGGGGTTATGAAAGTTTAGCAATAACAGTTTTTAAGAAACAACCTACTTAACAAACTTCCAAATGATATTCCCAGCATTAATTGGAATCACCGTTGGGATTTCTACTTCTAAAACTTCACCATATAAGTATCCGAATACATCATCAAACATAGATTTTGAAAACGATTCATCAAAATGAGTAAACTTTTGGCATAAAAATATAATTTCATGGCCATTGACTTTCAAACCGAGCATGTGGGCGAGTATTGACGCCATGTGACCAAGTGTTTCTATCCGCTGCGCTGGTTCCTTTATTTCATCATGAATAATTTTCTCCTCCTTTGTCAACCGGGTATAACTTCTATTGTCGTTGATGACGCCAGCCTGGGGATGAGCAAATTGGTAGATCCTTTTGATATGGCTTTTGTCGAAATCAGACAGCCCTGTCTTCTTGGCTCTCGAGTGTCCTCCTGATCCGTCACCTGTTCTTTTCACCATACTCCACTTTACGCCAGAGTACATTTCACCCGTGTTAGTGTCCCTTGCGAGGTAGGAGCTCGGTAGATTTGGATAGGAGATTGTTGGAAGAAGAGACTTCGGCAGGACGGTGGTGGACTTCTTTTCTCCAGTAACCTTGAAACGGAAACCGTTGATTTCAAACACTCGTCGCAACTTCTCAAAAAAATCCTTTTGACATCCATCATTGTTGCGGAATGTAATCTCTTGGTTGATTAACTTGACTCTGTTATTATCACCACAAGCTGAGTTGTATAACATTATCATCATACTCAGTGCGACCTAAATCAATAGAACTTCATTAGATTATGACAATACGATTATGTAACAATTTTTATGTGTACCAGGTTATGATGATTTCCTTCTCCTGCTAGTAAGTCCTCTGTGGAGTAAACTAATTTGGCGAATGACCCAAGAACAGCGTTTTTGTTGGTCTTCATGTAGTTGGCCAGGGATACCGTGAGAGTCTCGGCAGTTTTAGATTTTGAATATATATTCAACTCGTTGTCTGTATATCCAGCAATCTTTTGCGGTGGGGTGATTACGCAGAAGGCTGTGACACCAGATTTAATGTCTCTAACAAAACACACATGTGTTGGAGAATGTTTTGAACAGTAGTTCCATGCTTTAGACACCTCGTCAATCCAACAAGAATCCAATTGGCATTTATAATTCCTCCTCCCAGAGGGTTGATTAGACTGTGGAGTAGGGTCATGGTATCCAAACCTTGACCGTTTCTTGTCCCACAATGCACGGAGAGTGGCGCCTTTGTACACTGCTGTAATCGGATTCCTCTCGACAGACTCCATCGCTACTTTGAACTGAGGGTCGTGAAGCACGTCCTCATCCTTTCCTTTAAATAAAATCCGCTCTTTGACTGCCTCCATTATTGCTCTCAAACGACATGTTGGAACAACTTTTGAAGTAGTGGACGACGGCCCAGCTTGAAGAACTGCAAACAGATTTAATTTAATATTTTAATTTAATTAATGAGAAGATGAGAATACTTGCTGGACAACGTACGTTTATCTAACTTTGCGTCTCTTTCATCCACTTTCTTGACAAAAATTGTCAAGAGTTGTCCCTTCGTGGTCGGAGAAAGTCCACCCTCATCAATCATCTTTTTCAATTTTTGGGTCGACATTTCCTCGTACTCTTCCTCGTCAGAGTCAGACTGCAGTGGAGATGACGAAACATTTTGATCTGGGTGGTTCCGCTGTGCAACAATAAATCATTATTAGATTAAAATAGAGAAAAATGGATAAGTGCAGTGCAAAACTTAAATGAAAAACCTTACCTTCATTATGGGTGTGGTCGTGGACACTTTTTGGAAAGTATAGAATGGAAAAGGAAAATGTTTCTGCCTTTTTCACCTCAAAAACGATGAAGGTGAAACGTTCAGTGCAAAGTTCATTAAACCCGAGTTTAACGAGCAGAGATGGATTTTTTGCCTCTCACTCTCACTCTCATTTGAGAGTGGGGAGTCCGTATTCAATTGAATTAACGAGGCACATATGTCCCCACCAGAGTTGCCACTTTTTTATACTTTTATTTTTTTTATCCACAGTTGTCCCCTCCGCCGTGTTGATGGTTACACGAAGCTAATTCAATTTAGCCAATTTATTCCGATCCGATTTTAAAACGCACCAAACATTAACAACAAGCATTCGATCGTGTACTTCAAATTGTCAACGTGTTTCAACTCTTATAAAAATTATACAATATTTTGAAAAAATGTAACATGAAATTGTTACCATACTCTTGTTAATTTTACCTAAATGTATCAGTCCTGTGGTTTTGCTATAAAAAAAAGTGTGCGGAATGCATGATGGTAACTGAAAATTTGTTAAACATTTCTACTCTGGGATGATAAATAAATAAATTATTTATAATAATATGTAAGTTGATGTTTAGTTGTCAAATCTCAAGTATTGTATTATATTTTAGGTTCTCGGACATCACGTAAGCATCAATAAACAATGCCGATAGTGAAATGAGCAGCATTGCATTGTTTTACACACCACATACAGAAGTACATTAAAGCCAATTTATTGTACGAATTTATGTTACATAAATCACTCAATTATTAAATTCCATTCTAACACTCATAAAACTTATGGACATGCAAATTACTGATTACATAAGGAAGTACAGGAAATGGAACGTAACACATCAATTTGATCGTCTTTGTGATATTAAAATTTCCTCGTGAGTGATAACTTGCATGAACTTCATTCAATGAGTTCGCATTGTCATTTCAATTTAAATATTGGTAAAAGTTGGTGGAGAGGAACAATAAAGCTGCTAAAATGCTAAGACGTACATTATTCCTTGTCACCTTTACTTTCGCACTTTGTAATTTTGAATTTTACAAGAAATTTGTTTATTCTAAAATGTAAAAAAGCTCAAATTTATTGTCAATCTTCTTTACTAGATTTTTTAACATTGATTCAAAACTCGGACGGATTAGGAATTTTTCATAAACGGAGAATAATTGGGAAAGAGTGTCATTGTCAAAATCAGTTTACGGATTGTGCAAGTAAGTTTTTTTTAAGTAATCAATTTTTTGGTTGATGGTAAATTACGGATTTTATACATAGATATTTTCATATTTTATAGAAGTGAGAGGTCGGACAGACAAAAGATGCAATGATATCGTCAAGAGAAAACATTTGTAAGTTAGGATTCGAGCATCGTGTTATGAGATTTTCATATACAAATTTTCTCTTAATTTCTTTTTAATTTAGATGTAAAGCCGAATTTGCTACAGTTGCTGGAGCTGTTGTGGAAAAGATTACGAAGAAATCTAGTTGTCCAGTTAGTTGATAATGCATATGTACATAAATATATGGTTAATCAGTAATACGGTAAATTTAGACTTAACAGTATAATAATGTATGGAAAGAAAGTTAAAGTGAGACGAAAATAAATCACTTTGTGTAAACACCATAATCACACATAAAATAATCGTATTTTGTGACTCGTATTTGTGCAGTTGTGCATATTAGTTTTAGTGTCAATTTGTTGCATGCATATAATCTCATCGGGGAAATTGACATTTTGGGTATCTTGAGACTTTCACATTTTGAGAGTCACTTTTGTCTCAAATCAGTCACTGAGACAACAAAATGAGACAACTTACTTGCATGCACAATTTGTGCAATTTATTTCAAAACTACGGTCACGATTTCTTTTTCAGAAGAATATTCGCCGTGTCGGAACTTTTATTTTACTTACTGATCCGACAAGCAGACCGACCCGATAACTTCCTCGCAAATCACAACTTTTCAGTATGGAATACGAGGTCACAAAATGGGCCGACCTACAAAAACCTGATCACCTTCGTCTTAAAAGTGTATCTGGTCAACCAACGAAGGAAATTGAACAACCAGTCGATCCTCCTGTTGATCCTGTCGTCGACATTAATACCGACGAGGACATAGGGAGTCACCCAGATTCTTTCCCCACTGACGATCTTAATAATATTGAAGATATTGAAGGACCACTTCATGAGCATTATATTGGTGAAGATATTTAGCCCAGAATTAAAGCCTTGATAACTTATGATAACATAATATTCCCATGTATTACACACAGAACATCATGGTCCGCACCCCGACTGGGTCGACGACAACCCAGGAATTCCTTCCAGTGAGAAGGAGGACTTTCCCCCCGTCAACAAATGTTGTCGCCCGTACCAAAGAAACGACACGAAATTTCGACTACAACAAGTCATGTTGCCGACGTGTATCCTTCTTATTGCAAAGTAAATTAGTTTTTAGAGTGAATTTGATAAAAAATAATTTGTCAAACTGTAATTGAATTGTAATTTCGAAATGAATGTAGGTACAGCTTTATCTGGGAGTGTATTTTATATTTGATGAATTTGTTGACATTTTTCCTCATCACGTTTGCCGCATTCTTTGCCTTCTTCGAAGAGTCGTGAGTGGTTTGATATCATTTTAAAAGAACTGAGAATTGGATAAATTGGGAAATTAACTGTTTTTTCTTGATTAAGCTTATCAGCCACGGTAATTTTTATTGACGCCGTATTTTCCTGTGGTATGAAAAACACGTATTGCTTTTACAAAACTGAGGTCCAATAACTCACTATTTTTTACATTTTCAGACGTGTTGGTGCGACTCGCAGTGGAAATTTGGCGTTACAGAAATCAAGTTAGCGTTGTCATCTTTTCCGTTCGCTATTCTATGGTTCGAGACAAAAATTGTATTTTTATAAAAGTTTCGAAAATTAGTAAAGTCTTGATATGTAGTTATCTTACTTCACAGGCTCAATTTCTCCTGGATTTGATATCAATTACTCCATTTCATCAACTTTTCTTCGAATTCGTGGGTTCTGAAAATTTGCAGTACTTGGGTTACGTAGATTTCTGTAAATTTAACCGTTTTCTTCGTCTATATCGATCCTACGCATTTTTCACAATGTTGCAAGAAGAAAGGAAAGTAGACGAAAAATTCATGTAAAAATATCTTCATTTTAGTGTTTTTTTTAGATTATTCAATACATATCATAAAAAAGAATAATTTGTATCAGGTTCCTTGTGAGGTTTACTAATATGTACATTGGATTTATCCACTTGGTATCTTGCTTATTGATGTATCTGGTTGGAATGGTAATTTAGTAGGTTTTTGACTAATTTCTTAATTCGCATTACTACCAATTTATTTTTTTGTAACCCATTTCACAGGACCCACTGGACTTTCTGCTGTTCAGAAACCGAGAAATGTTAAATGGGACGTGGATGCGAGTAGTGAATCAAAAAAAGTATGGTTACCCGACAGAAAAACCGTATCAAATGTATGTGTTATCGACAAATTTCGCCGCTGCGACCGTGACCACTGTCGGGTGAGTGCATGAGCTACACTGGTCGTACATGTGTAGATTACGTACGGATGAATTCCAGTAATTGAAGTTTAATTTTTTTACAGATATGGAGACACGGTGAGCAGTAGAATTTAGAATATTGTTTTTTTTTAACTATAAATTATCCAAGATCTATACTCAATATTGCGTCTTATCAATTTTTTAGTCGCCAGGTTCAGAGACGGAAATGATTTGGTGCATCTTTTTCATGTTGTTTGGGGCAGTTTTTTTAAATGGATACTTTATCAGTCAATTGACCACTTTTGAGCTTGAAACCGATGGTGCCCGATTCGACTTATTCTTCAGAGTTAGGGAAATTCTGAAATATTTGGTATACCTTTCTTTATGAATTGTTTACTTGCCAAGATGATTTTATACGTGTGATAATAATGGTGACAGAAATCGGTTGGAACGCTGCCCCTGTTTGACGAGAAAGTCGTAGAGTATTACAAATGCTTGTGGTCATATCGGGGAGGCGTGTACGAGGTCCAATTCTTCAAATGCCTTCCACCAGCATTTCAGGAGGATTTGTTGTACGACATTTGTCAAGAAATGTTTGATAAGTCGTTTCTCTTCAATGGGATGGATGAAGCACTTTTGCGAGCAATTGCAAAAATTGTGAAAGTGGCGTTATACAATCCGGAAATGATCCTTTGTCGCAAGGGGGATTATGCGAATAAGATGTATTACATATTACAGGGTGAGTACATGCATAAATTCATTGGAAAGTGTTCTTCGAATGATGTAACGTTTCCACAGGAGAATGTCGCGTAATGTCGAAATATATGTCGAAAACGGCCGCCATATTGCGAGCAGGGTCCATAATTGGGGAGGCAAACTTGTTCTTTTCGTACCCTTACACGTCCAGCGTGGAGACGAGGACTTGTTGTCAATTCTTAATTTTAGAAAAGGAGGAGTTGATCATAGCCATGGACGATTTCCGAGACCAAGTAAAACAAAAGTCTTGAATATTTACAACAATTTGTATCATTATTATCTACGCTTATTTTTAGATTGCAATATTAAGGTCAAAAAGTCAAACGAAAGTATTCAAACTGTACGATACTCATCAGATTTTTGGTTTACCTCCGGTTTGCTGGGTGGGGGTGAGTACGGATAATAATTTATTTTAAATAGGAGTCTGACCTGAACGTATTAATCTGTCCTTCCTCCAGGCCAAGACAGATTATGACAATCCTAGCGAACCAAAACCTTCAAGTATTCGTAGAATTATGAGATGGTGAAATTTTATACCCTAAGAAATATATATTGACGTCATACATCTGCCATTAATTTCAAAATTTCTTTGGGCGCAGGGGTTCCGGAAGAAACAAAGAAGTCATCGAAGATGTGATAAATGACACTAAAGACCTCGTCATCTTCGATACTCCTTGCGAACGCAAAGAGGTCGTGAAGGTGTGTGCATAATTAATTAATTAAATTACTTAACTACCAATAATTGGCAATTTTTAATGATTGCTCTGGTGTATTTTGCACAGAATCACCTTACACCTTACATTACCTGCACGGTGCCACAAATTATGGACTCGATGTATAAATGGGTCCCTTATTGGAATGGAAAGGAATCAATTAAACCAAAATTTTTAAGAGTGTCATAAATTGATTAAAAATTTAGAATTTTATAAAACAGGAACCATCATGGTGGTTTGCCTTGCTCAATCGTTTGTCGGTCCGTACTGCTGCTCTTTTGGCGACAACTCTGAGTTTGAGGAGTCCATGTGCTACTTTTTGACCTCGATCAGCTATCCCATCAACTTTTTGTACATGGGGGACTTGATGGTCGAGATAATTTCGTCCGCCCCAGTTTATGGTGCTCAACTATTAGTAATAATATTTTAACTTTATAATGCAGTCTTTACTTCAGTTAATTAATTTCAGGCATTTATTACCAATTTTGGGACGGTTTGAAAGTGCGGTATCGAGAAGTTGTCTTTTACTTTGATATTCTCGCCGCAATTCCGATTTGTTTAATGGTTAGCGCAAAAGTACGACAAGAACCGAGTATAATTTTTGAAACAGTGTTCAAATGTTTGAAATTATGGAAGGTAATGCTTAACATGAAATATCTAGTACCTAATTAAATGTACATTTAATTTTGATATTATCGCAGGTCATTCGATACCTCCAATTTATGGATAACCGCCATCCCCTTCACCTCTTTTGGTTCAGATTGGCTCGAACTATTCTCGTTTTATTGTACGGAATTCATTTCATTGCTTGCATCACCTACGTATTGGCTTGCTATGATGACCCGTAAGTTTGAGTCGTGATAAGCCCAAAATAATTAGCAGATTGTACATATTTACATATTCCTGTATTAGGAATGGTTCCGGTGAAGTGTGTCACAACGATAGTTGGCTCATGTCGTACCAAAAAGCTTACGAGTTCACCGAGTTCAAAAGTGCTCCTCGTTGGATGAGGATGGAAACGCTTCGGGACACTGGGGGATACTTGTACTCCATTTTTTACGCTGCGGCCACCCTGACGAGTGCAGGATTTGGAGATTTTTCTCCTCAAACTATTGTTGAAATGTTGTGGGCTATAATTTTCGTGTTGATTGGTTTCTTCCTGATTGGATATTACACAGCGACACTGACATCAGCGTTAAGTTGCGTTGTTAGACCAAAGTGAGACACTAATTGGATTTTTTTTATATAATTTCACCTGCATCAGAATCAAAGTCATTTTCTCTTGAAGGCTCTTGTTCCAACAAAAACTCATGTCAGTGAAACAATTCATGACGGATAACTCGTTGTGTGAGAATCTGAGGTAAATATTTTTTTCGAAAAATATACGTCTCGAGATGCAAGTGGATATTTGATAAGTATAATTGAACTTTTCGAAACAGGGACAGGATCGTAGAGTATTTTTATCTTCAGAATCAGCTTGATGGCGGAGTCGCCCTTGCCCGAGGGATAAATCATGTCATGTACGATACGCCAGAGTACTTGAGAAATGATGTGTTGTATCTCGAGGTTGTCGAAATATTGGAAGGAATACCCATCTTCTCGGTTAGTTCTATCAAAATAGTATGATAAGTAATTATAGTTATCATCATCAGTTAACCATATTTCGTAGAAAGTTGAGTCTGAGGTGGTTGTCAGGATATCCAGTTTAATGAATCGTGCCATAATCCCTCCAAACACGACTTTCCTTCAACGTGGAGAAATTCGCAGGGTCATGTACTTGGCGAGTTTAAAATTTATTGCATTTTTGAGCTTTATATATGACAATTTTTTTATGGCAAAGTTTTTTTATATTTTAGGTGAAATATGGATCTATGGGGGTACTTTATAAAATCTCGTAAATATTTGTTGACATTCTTTTAAAAATGTGTCCCAATCACTGTAGATTTTCTCGGACGAGTCTGATGAACCAATGAACATTTTGGAAGCGTCGTCTCATTTTGGGTAATATTTTATTCCTTTTGAAATCTTGGGTCGTTTTATTCGTGCTAATTTGCTGGGTTCTAAACAGCCTCCGTGACCTGTTATTCGGAGAACCGTGTCACTTCAAAGTGAAAACGTTGAGTCACTGTTGCCTGTACAGTATAAAACTCCACCAATTACAAGAGGCCATGTCGCATGATGAAGAATTTTGGGATTTTGGTAACCTTCGTCATTTTCCGTTTGAATGTATGGAGCATTTCCGTTTACTTTATTTGTATATAATGCGATACTAGTTGATCATGAAAAGATCCGCCTTGCCACTAAAATTGAAGAGATGGTCTCAATATATTCGAAATTGGTCAAAATGAACAAAAAGGTCACTGACGTAGCTGATCGCATTCCGGTAAAATATCATTCATCGTATAGAAAAACTTCGAAGTAAATAATTTGTAATGTGTCTCACAATGTAAACTTTCGTAGGATTGGGTAGTTATTCCCCCACCCCCAAAAAAGAGCATGATTACTCCTTATCTAACTACGAAGGGACCAGACGCAGCAAAAATTAAGCATGCGTATCGTTTAAACCAGGAATACGACGAACTGTTTAGAACAATTACTTTCGGGAATATTTTCAAGTGAGCTAAAATTGTTTGTCTTTAAAAAGTTGACAATTTCTGATAAATTTCTGTCCTTTTGGTGCAGATTGTTTCTAATGCGTCGAACGGTTCACCCGGTTGGAACTTTTGCCAGAGTTTGGACCAGCCTCATGAGTGTCTTTGCCTTTCTGACATTTGTTCTGCTGTGCATTGAAACATTTACAAGATTTCGGAGACCCGGTTTCCGTATTGTGCAGTGGACCCTGGATACGATTTTAGTTGTCGATATGTATGTAGACATGTATTTAAAAAACTGTAAAAAAACTAGCATTTCATACTCCTTTTTAGATATATTAAGATGCACTACTGCTACTACAGCACGAATAAAGGGTCCACATTTTTGATTTCGCATCCGCTAAAGACCTGTTTTAATTATGTGATGCATGGAACGTTTATCATGGATGTTTTGGCATGTATCCCGTTGGAAATGATTATTCCTCTCCTTGGTTGGACGAATAACTGGGGTTATGGAGAAGGTGCAAGTTGGTACACGAAATTGAGATGGACAAGAATTCTTCATGTAAGAATAGTCATTTGCTTCATGATACGATGCTATAACGAATCCTGCAACTTCCTGTTTCTTCAGGTGAAAAGAATTTTTGTCGTTTTTGAGATAACGCATACAATTTTCAAACACCGGAATGCCCTTTTGTGAGAATTTTCATAAAACTTAGAACTGAATTATATATTAAATAAGTAATTTATTTATGTGACTCTATAAACAATTAAACATTTTTCAGGCTGATTCTCTACGTTTGCACAACTATTTTCGTCTGCACATTTCTCGGAGCCATTTGTCTGTTTACGGCATGTCCTTGGGAATCCAGTTTTTGGGTTGAAGGGGACGAATATCGAATGCCAATCTGCTTAGAGCGTCGACCGAATGAGGTAGAAATTGGGAATGATTATTGGGCCACGATAAAATTTGGTAATACTGAAAGACTAAAAACATATTAAGTTTTTACGCATTTCGATTTGAAAATGTACAATATTTCTTCAGGGGATGCTGAGCTGGTAACGTCACCCTTGTGCAAGTGGATCCTTGGAGTGTATTACGTCAGCCAGGTCGTTCTCGTCATCGGATTTGGGGATCTAATTACCCTCAGGTTGGCTATTTTTTAAGTTTTTATTTTATTTCAACTCAATTTATGCATTTAATACCTGTTATCATTCTTGATTTAACCTTAGAAAAACTGATGTCATTATGTTGATCTTAATGACGGTGTTTGGTAATTTGGCCTAAAAATTATCACTCTAATAGGATTTTTATTGACAATTCATTAACCACAATAGGATTTATTTTCATGCGCTGTGTCATCGCTGGTGAGTTATACTTGTGCTAAAAAAATAATAAGCATACTTACATGAACGCGTATGATTTTTGCAGACATCACTGCAGCGGAAGTGGACAGTGACGAGATTCGTGCCACATTTGTTGAGAGCGTCGCCACCCTTCGACTCGTCATGTTGAGGCAGAATGTACCACAGCGTCTCATGAAGTCAACTTTTGATCATTTAATGTACACTTGGGAGAGATCGAAAGGTCTTCACCCGAGAGAATTGTTTGCCGATCTTCACCCGTCATTGGAGTCGGACGTGTTTAAAGAGTTGGTCGGAAATGATTTGGCCAAGGTGAGCGCAAGATATTTTTCTACATTTTATAACATAACCTGATTAATTAACGAATTTCAGGTCCGCCTTTTCCACGAATTCACATCCAACCTGATGCGTACAATGTCCAGCTATTTGCGCAAAGTGTACTTTCGTCGTGGTGAGAGGATAATGCGATGTGGAAATCTGGAAAACGAGTTACGAATCATCACAAAGGGAAAAGTATTCATTTGCGACAACAACTACAACTATTTGTGCACTTTAAAGTCTGGCGATTGCTTTGGAGAAAGTTCTATGATGTTTAAAGCCCGAAATCGATACAATGCTGTGGCCATGACCAACGTGGAGATTTATTATCTCACCTCGCACAGTTTTCAGATTCTGATGGCGAGGTACTCCAACGTGAAGGACATTTTGGAGAGTAGGTTACGTTATGGGGATCGCGACTATTTTGAGATTGGTCTCGAAGAGAAGATGAAAATGACGAAAATGATGACAGTCGAGGAAAAGCAGGAACTCGTAATGTCATTTAAGGTTCGAAGATCCATGATCAAGGCGGCGCTGAGTCTTAGAGAAAATTTGAAGTCAAACAGGTACAAACTTTCGTGGTATCACTGGTCAAAATTCGTGGATTATGGATCTCTCGATGAGAACTTGCCAATTGTCTACTTTGCGAAAGGGCGTCGAAAGTGAGTCATCCCTAAATTTCCAATATCTAATTTGTCAGAATTTTTCTAGTGTAACTTCAATTTCTTAATAATTTATAGGGGTGGGTCCAATTTCGCTATCCTGATTCATCCAAAATGCCAGCTTATCAATTTCTTCAACTACCTTATGATATGGATGGGCTACGTTACTGCGGCCATTGCAACTTATGAGTACATAATCAATTAATTAAATTTAGAAACTTACAACAAATAAAACTCCGCATTATTTTTAATAATTTACTTCACAGGACTTGTTTCATTCGCGAAAGTGGTACAGACCATCACAGTCTTGGCCCCGTATCCGACGCGGTCATCAGGTTCTCCTATGGCATCGAAATTCTGTACTTGGTTCACATGCTGCTTAAATTCATCACGCCGTTTGAGGTGAAGAATGGCGTATTTTGTAAATCGAATGGTAGAATAGCACTCAGGTAAAAAAAGTTGTACGACAATATGCAACGCTCTCATGGGGTCGAATTGTTAATTTTCGATATCTTCTTATCCTTAGTTATCTCCTCGACCCATCAGGATTCTGGCTCGATTGCGTGGCCTGCATCCCAATTCTGATCGAGTTGGGTAATCAAGACTTGAGAACATCAGATCACAAATATATCTATCTCCTAAAAATTTTCCGTTTGGTACGCAATACTAATTATTACTGTAATAATTACTCTTTAATAATTGGATCATAATACGGTTAAAAATTTGTAGGTAAAATATTACAAGTATCAAATCGGACGGCAGTATGACCTCTCATTGACCACGTTCCAGTACAAAATCAACATTTCCGTGTCATCCTTCTGTCTCATGGCGCATATGTTGGCCTGCGTCTTTTACACAATTTCAATGTGTCAACCTTCTGCAGACGCGTCGGATTTGTGCGCAAAGAACGGGTCTGACACGTGGACAACAGTTTGTAAGAACAGAACAAGCGTGCTCCTAATTTGTAACGTGGATTGAAATTAATGATAAATCTGCAATGAACCCAGTTAAGTCTGAAAACGGAATATTGGACGATCCTAAAGATTTCGTAGAGTGGAAATGGTGGGTGAGAAGTCTTTACTGGGTCGTTACAGTGGTCTCGACTACAGGATTTGGGGTAATAATTTACATTTTTTATATCAATTGGTGATTATTTATTCATGTCTTATACATAATTGTAGGACATAGTTCCTCATACTGCGCAAGAAATGGGCGTTGCGATCGTGTGCATTTTCTGTGGGGCTTTCATTCTATCGGTTATCCTATCCGACTTCACCGCGGGGATGGCGTCGATTACTAAAGCTCATCGGGAATACATGTATCAGGTCCAATTGTTGGTGGTAAGTACCACTTAATTAATTACCCTATTAATTAAAATTAATTATATTACACAATATCCGTATTAGACACATTTGAGGAACATTGGTCTCTCTGAGACTCGTCAGAATCAAGTGATGATGTACTTTCTGATGATGTGGGACCGCAGCAGGGGGATCTCTTATAGCAAAGCGACCACAATTCTCCCAATCTGTTTGCAAATTGATGTCTGCAACGCTCTATTTGGACCCTGTTTGATGACCGTATATGAAATTTACATGATTGTAAATTGTAGTGCACGAGAAAAATGTAACCTTGTCTATTTTTATTACTGTGAAGATTCCATACTTTCGAGGTGATGATGAAGAATCGTTTATTCGTCAATTGTCTGCCCGTGTTATCCACTCGACGTTCATTCCGGGCATCTGCATCGTGAAAGAAGGAGACCAAGGAAGTTCAATGTTTGTCGTGTTGAACGGTGAGTATTTTTTCCTTAATTAATAATACACACACATCTTTTAGATAAAGCATTTGACAATCGGTAGGTCTTGTCGTCTCTACAAGAATCCCACTATTTGACCCACCAGAGGAAGAACCGGACCCCAACGAAGAAGTCATCCTACCTCCATCCGGCCAAAAGAAGAAATCTGTCAACTTGAATGTCAATCTCGACCAGGTTTACAACGTGGGTGATGTCTTTGGACGATTTCCAGCCCTATTTAGAGATGAATGCTACAAGAAATCATACCGGGCAGAGACAAGGGTCGAAGTTTTACAAATTTCACAGGATTCGATACAATTCTTGGCGACAAAGTTCCCGTATTTTAAGAGGAATTTGAAATATTTAATAGAAACAAGGTTTGCTGAAATACAAGTAAATTCATATATATTAAATTAAATTATGATATCCTGTGCACAGATACGGTCTAAACTGTCCAGGCGAATCAATTTTTTCTGAAGCTAAGCAAAAAGCTCACAACATGTTTGACGTCGATGAATTCAAAACCCCGGATCAAAAGGCAGCCCCAAAGCAGCCGCATCATCATCAGAACAAGGCCGACGAAGAGGAAAGGCATCATCATCATCACAACGAGAACAAGGAACGGCTAACCTCTGTCGAACAGGATCATGATAAAACGACGACATATGCAAATATACTTGATGACGTTCTACACGGTGAGGCTGGAGCGACTGTTCGTGCATTTAAAGAATTTCGCAAACGTGGCCAAAGTGTTTTTAAGGACGTGGGTCAGGACCTACGATGGGAAAAGTGGCCAAGAGATGGAGTCGGTTTATCAAGTGATAATAAGCAACAGCAAGACTTGTCCCAAAGTCTTCAAGCAATGGCATCGCCCACAATGCAAGATCCATCGTCACCAACCCCAAGTAAATTAGAATCCTTCACCACCTCGGAGCAACAAGTGCTCAAATCTAGCAAGTCGAATAAGCAGGTACTTACTAATTAATTACTTATCAGATCCAATTCGAACTATACTTTTCTACTTTACTTTTATACTTAACTATACTTATGTCCTTTTTATTAATCGTGACTAGAAACGTGCCTCCGGAAGTACAGCACTACCGAGTCAAACCGCCTCTAGGAGAACTTCGGTCCCCGCTCAAGACGTAGGCTTTGATCCCCTCAAGAAATATAAGGAAGATAAGAAACTTAAACAGGAAAAACAGCAGTATCGTGCCCAAGGGAAAAGGTATATTAGTACAACATCCACAATGCTTGAACCTGGAGGAGGAGGAAGTAGGACGCCTAGCCAAGAAACCACTCCTGAGAGATCCAATAATAAGTGAAAATAGCGAGAAATTGGTTAAGGTATTAATTATTTCATGTGTTCAATTTATTCCTTTATTAAACTCAAAACGGTATGAAATTATAAAGTGCATAATAAAAAATGTTATAAAGTTATGACCCGTAAAACTCTGCTACTGTTTCTCCCGAATTTTCCAAACAACAAGTCGTTTTCTCCAGGGGTGTGAAGATAATGACGCAATTTTCCATTTCTTGTACCAAATCTTGCCGGCATTTCTGCGAGAACTATACAAAATTATAAAAGTATAAGTACCTAAAGATTAACAGAATGCATACATAATGGAATTTTTTAAATATAATATTACAAAATTGCAAGAAAAAGGCCCATCAAACCAGCAGCACGAGATTAGCACCAATTTCCTCAACGTTTTCATCCTCACTAATGCTGCGTAAGCGACTTGATCCGTTAATGCAGAAGGAACTTCATGGTGTTCCGTCTCTACCGTGATTTTCAGACTTTTCAACCCTGCACAAATATATATAATTGATAAGATTAATTGGACAATTATTATTAAAATTTTGTAAATATTTACTTGTCAAACTGTCGATACCATCGGAATGATCATCCCCAATCATCCCCCGTTCAATCGAGAGGCTTGATTCTGCCAGTATTATCAAGCTTGCCAATTTCCGGAAACTTTTAAATACTGCCGAGAGAAAGTCACTATTCGGATATTTGACCTCCAACTCGGTCACATTCGGAAATAACTGGACAACTCTAGCCGGAAATTCAGAATCTCTTATTTCCGCTGGAAGCACCAACTTTCTCAACGTGCCACAATATGAATTGACTTTCATCATCCTCCACACTGGGGGAAAGTAGTCATCCATCCTGTCGCCCAAATTTGTCGCAAATCCGCACACAATTAGACTTGTCAAGTATGGAAATTGGACACTGTTGAAGCAAAGTGACTTGACCGGAATTGGGGTGTCCTTATCTCTCCCGGATAACTGGAACTCGGTCAGGACATCCATTTTCTCCGGTAAGACTAGAACAAACTCGGGAGATAAATCTTTCTGATTTCCAGCACTATTATTCCCCACTGCTCTTCTCAACTTGTCCACGTTTCCGAGGACCCTTAACACCCTCAAAGAGGTGGCCTGGGTTTCAAGAAAGTCTCGCACCACGTCGGGCGACACGTCCTTCGCAGGACAGTACATCTCCAGGTGGGTCAAACGTAACAGTCCCTTCGCCCCCAGTTGGGTCAGGAGGAGGAAATGAGTCAGGTCCAGAATTCCGCACCGCATCACTCTCAACTTTGATGCTTTATTTTGACAGATTTGGACCAATCCTTTGATAAATGAGGTCGCTAGAGGAGAATGTTCTTTCCAAATCCCTTTCTGATTCTCCCAATCACTCCTTTTGTCACATTTTAGCACGATTTCTTCCAGATTTCCGCACTGGGAGAGGAAATCGGACATGAATTCGGTAATAGGGATGCGGATCTCGTCCATAATGAGGGTTCGGAGATTCCTAAGAAGGCCGGCTTTCTCGAAAGAGGGGAGAAAACCTTGCGAAAAAACGGCTCTGTGAGACAAATTGTAGATGTGAAGGGTTTCCAGATGCTCGGTCACGGAGGGATTGGACAACAGGAGAGATTGAAGCCCATCCTTGGCAAGATGTGTCTTATCCAGAGTTAATTTTAGAAATTTTACCCGCAACCAGGACGAGGAATCTTTCATTTTTTGAAATAGTTGAGCCAGCTTTCCTTTTCCGAGGGCGGCTGCTTCCGCTTCACTTTCACTCAGGGCGTGTGCACTGTCGCAGAGCGGGTGACATTGGACGGTGAAGTGGAAGTCGAACCGTTTGAAAGGAAAGGATGCGTTATTTCCGAGTAAGTCGTCCCATTCGGTAATGAACTGAATAAATTTGTCCAGAATTGGATAAGTGTTTAAACAAATTGTTACTTCGTCTCCCATTCGTCGCATAATTTCGGGATTTGTTGCCCACGTTTGACACACCAAGCGACATTCTAGCAGATCAGGGAGTGAGAGGTTGGACAAAATTTTGCTAAGCGTCTGTAAATAAAAAGTTGGAAAAGTTAGAAATTGTGGCTTATCGAGGATCATTTATGCAGAAAAATAATTACCAGCTCGTTGAATAGTGGATGCAGCTCGTGATGAGACCACATTTCAGTTATTACCTACTTCAATAGGTGTAGGCCTATTTATTTCAAAATTTTTGTTTTAATTATTATGTTCAATGCCACTTTATTATGACAAAATTAGTTGCACAGTGAAAGTTATTTCCGCAACGTGTTATCTTATCGTCAGATGGAAATACCCACCCGGAGTGATTTCATACTCTGTCCCGCTTTGAAAGTATTGATCCGAAAAGTCCGAATCCGACACACGAGAGGAACATGCTATGCCATGACAAATTATGCAACCCTCCGCTAAGAAGTAGGATTTCCATAAAAACTTATCGTTTATTCATTTATTATTATCATGATGAATGATAAAATTGTGGTGAAAGTTAACTAATAACGATGACAAATACTGTCGATGCAAACATCTCGAAGATCAACCCTTCTCAAGTCAGAAATTCCAGCCCCGATAAGCTTGATCAACCAGTAAAGCAGGTTTTCCCATGTACAGCGGTTATTATTATCATAATAGTTATCATTACCCCCACCCCCACCCCCACCACTACTCCATCCACCATTCCCGTGATTATTGTTCCGAGTAAGGTTATTGTTCTTCTCTCGGTGGTGATAAGCGGTGTCCACGTTCCACTCAAAGTTGGTACTGGTTCCTACATCGGAATCTAGGAATTCATAATCGTAGCAGAAACAGTTTCTCGTCACGCTGAGAAAGTAGTAGAGTTGGTAGAGCTGTATGCATGGAACAAATTATCAAATTTTGGTCAATTCGAAATTTAAAAAAAATTTAAACATTTTTAAAAATTATTTTATGGTGAAAAATTCACTCACAGAGCGATACTCGTTTTCTCGCTGCAATCGTCGAATGTAATAAAGCGTGTCTTCACAGCGACGCGTGCAACCAGCCCCTTTCAATCCTTTTAGCAAGGATTGTGCGTCTTGGTGAAGAAATTGGACAAATTCTGGCGACACTTTAATCGAAGTTGTGCTGTTTGGAGAGATGAGACGAACGGAAACTGTATCCTTGGCGTCGTCGTGGGGTTCATGGTCAGCGGGGGTAATTTCTTCGGCGAAAATTGGGGGGATATTCAGAAGGAGGAGGGAGATCAGGAAGGAGGGGATTAAGTGTTGGGGATGCATTTTTAATGGAGTAATAAGTCTCAACTTATTGTATCGGACTAAAAGTTGGTGTTTTATGAAACTACTCTATTTTGAGACTGTTCAAATTTAAGTGCGTTAAACCCGTTTTAATTCGTCATCTACTAAATATAAAGTAGATTGATGGACACAAATTCAGTGACCCTTTTATTTTCGTCTCTCAAATGAAAGTTTATTTTTGTTTTTCTTAAAATAGTTGGAACCCTTTTTATGAGTAGGTAAAATAACTTTGACCATTGTTGTGCAACCCTTTTAGAGTACTTTAACCTTTATTCATATCCCTTATTTTAGACCCATTTAGGAAGATTTTTATAACCTATATGCATTAATCTATTCACCATTTCCGTTCGAAGTTTTGACCGACAATTTTGAGTCAGTGTTGACAATAGTTGTACAGTACATATGCGGATTCTCCATGCTTTATTCATAGCACTGAACGAATCTCCTTCTAAAGAATATGCGAATTGATTTTTGTTATTAAAATTATAACATCCATAACATTTTTGATAAATCACGTCACAGGTTAGCGTGTTACATAACAGGATGATAAGAAAACGAACTAAAAACCACCAAAATAATTTCATCGCATTGCTATACATATTTATTACGTAACATTAATATGTACATAATCATACTTACATTATACATAAGTTACATACTTGTACATACTTATGTACGTACATACATACTTGCATATATACTTCTCACACAAGTGGTAAGTGGTACACACAAAATAATGTAATAATATTGTTTTGTAAAGAAAGATGTCAAATTTGTCGGAAGTGAATTAATCTTGGTCTTGGTGTGAAATCAGTAGTGCATGGAGAAGTTTGCGTCTCATGTTTGCTAAATAACATCTAAATCCATCTACATACATATGCAAATGAAAACAACACGTTTATAGTATCCACAAAAAAACTATAATTTCAAACAACGCTATCTACATCCAGATTTGCAAATTTTGTGTCATCTTTCCTTACTTGCAAAATTATGTATCTACATATTTTTTACCGAAAAAAAATCATGGCAATTTGAGGAAGTTTTAATTTTCTGATCTGTAACGTAATGTAAAATGCTATACAAAAGTATTATTATTGTGGTGACAGTCGTTCTTATCTTATCCACACTTCTTTTGCTAAATGGGACGCTAAAACCAAAACCAAATGTCGTGTCCCAGTTAATGATCAGATTGCATGCCAACTGACAAAGCATCACCAGCAGTATTGTTTTTTGTCAAAATTCAGAAATTGAGATTAGAAATGAGAAACAACCAGCTATTGGTAGGCACTACAGCATCATGATGCGTAGGTACTAAAAACTGTTGACAAAATTATTACCATTGCATGATTATTGCTTTAACTTTGATGTCTTATAGCATATCATTATATCATAAATACTACGCCATAAAACCAAAGAGGAAGGAAGAAAGGAAGCAAGAACAGAACAAGCAAACCCAGTTTTTTTTTCTTAATTTCAAGATAATTTGATCAAAATTCTCGTAAAAGACGCACGTAGAATTGATTGGATTAGAATTTGGAGTGCATTCTGCATCAAAATGCACTTCTTGCCAGTTTTTTTTACTCTTTGTGGATGCACTAACCAGACCAATTATCGAATTGGTGTAGTACAGCGTTTGGTTGGTGGTTTGGGTCCTTTTGTTGAGTGAGCGAGATGTACTTTTCATGTCAAGTCAATCACTTTTTGGTAGGGAGGAACGTGTAGTCTTGGTATTTCTTACCAAACAATGGTCAAAGCGTTCATAAGGGACGGACAGGAAGGAAATGCAGTTCATCATATCTCGTATGAATTGAATTAGTCCACTCGACATGACGGGAGGCGACGCGATTCTTCACTTATGTGCATTATGTGCCCTGCAAGTTTCAAATTATTCGATCAGATTTGGCATGACAAAAAGGGATTCTAGTTTTTTGCTTTGTTTGTGCTAGAGGCAGATATGTATACATAGTATGCCGCACATGCAGCATTTTTTAGCATTATGATGATATAGCAAACTAATAAAACCAGATACAAATTGCAATTATCTGAATTTTAGCTAAATAAGCATATCTCACGGAGAGTGGTGTGAATGTATAAAAGATGGCTTCGAATCGGAAATGAAAATTATTAGTTGGTTTGGCGTCGTAGAGGGACGAGGTCATTTTTAGTGAGATAATTTACGGAGGAAACTGTTTTAAAATGTGGAAAATTTTAGGACTACTTCCGTTCTGCTTGTCAGGTATAATAATATTTACATAATAATTTTTATTCAAAATTTCAACTATTATTTTAAAATTTGTGACTAACTGACGTATGTATTTATGTGTCTGGCAGTTGTGTTGAGCGCAGTTCAACCCAACCTGATGACTCGAGATGCCCGAGGCGTCGTGGGAGCCTATGCGTCGCCAGCTTTGAAAGTTTTGAGTTCCGGAACTCCAGTTGGACCGTCCGGACTAGGTCAAGTTGTTAGAAGTGCGTATGCCACTCAACCGCTCTCTTATCAGCAAGACCAGCCATCAAGGGGTGTCGTTTATCAACCGCTGCAAGGTGCCTACGCCCAACAGCAACTCCAACAGCTTGAGTCTCCACTCAAGAATTATCGAGGAGGTGACGTGATCCAACAAGCTGTAGAGTTACAAGTACCGGAGACTATTGTTGGGAAAGATGTCGCCGAGGGGGGTGCCCTCCCACCAGCGTATGCTCAGGCAGTGTATGAAGAAAGCCCTTATGCACAAATTAGTGGTGGGGGTGGGGATGGAAGTGGAGGTGCTGGTCCATCGCCATACACCCAAGTAGCTGGTTTGTCGCCATATTCTCAAGTGGGCGGTGGTGGTCCATCGCTTTATTCTCGAAGTCCAGCCTCGCCATACGCACAAGGTGGAGTATCATCCCCCTTCTCTCAAGCTGGTGGCCAAGTATTATTGTCATCGTCTCCATTCGGCCAGCCTGGTCCATACTCTTCTGAATTGGGAGAAGGTCCATCGCCCTATGCTCAAAGTGGTGTCGAAGCCGCCCCTCAAGGAGGAGGAGGATCGTCTCGAGGACCACCTTTGGAATTTAGAGGGGTATATCCCGGTCTATCCGGACCCCCACATGGCGGTGGTCTATCGGGCCCCTTCGGTTTCGGACCCAGCGGTGTATCCCACTCGCCACGACCAAGCCCATACCTCTTCAACCAACCAGTTCACACACTTGGTCAATCTAATCGTGGCGTGACGAAAGGAGTTCCTTCAAAAACTACAAAATCGACACAATCATCTGCTTCCGTAGAGGGAGGAGATGTTCCTATAATCATGTACGGAGGAGGCGGACCTGGTGGACCTGATGGTCGGTACAACATTGAAGAGTTGGAAGCAGGAGGACCTTCCCCTCAGGGAGTAAGGGGTCCACCCGTATACAATCTTCAAGGTCTTGGTGGTGGTCCGGAAGAATTCTCACCATATTCTGGAGGCCCTGTCTCATATTCCTTAGGAGGAGGACCAGGTGGACCACCCCCTCAACATTTCGCATATTCTCCTGAATCAGGACCACAATCGTCGCCATTTGGTGGCGGCGGCCCTCCACGAGGTCCAACCTTCCTGCAAGAAGTTTCTTCTCCATCGGCCGCCGAATATGTCGCCAAACCACGGCGACAACGTCATCCTTCGTTTGACTTTTCACCCATGCAACTCCTCCGACGACCAAGACACGGATATCTGCAGGGTGGACCTCGAGGACCACCACCACCACCAAGTCACGACTTTGATTACTAATAATTCATAAAATTGTAATGTCAGAATGTGGTCTCATTTTTAATTTTGTCTCAATGTTTGTTAACTTGTTAATTCTGCTGCATCTAAATATGTACGTACCTGGAAAAAAGAGGAGTTTCTCGACGCTAGAAATGCCAAATATTTTTTTAGATAAATAAAGATAAGCGTTTTCGTTCAAATTTATCGTTACACAAAGTATTGAATTTGTTCATGATTTCTGAACACGTCGGTGAGGGTGAGGAGGCAGATTGAGATGGGAAAGATGGGAATGTAAATTCCGGGATGAAGGATTCTCACGAGATTGAGATTTTAGTGTTGCACCGGTTTTAGAAAAGTTCCTAATTGTTTGGTAAATTTTAATCTTTTTGCAACGAATATTTACATTTGTTCCCTAATTACGGCTCTACAATGGCCGGAAGTAGGTTGGATAAGATTGGCACTATTTTCTCCAGGTGAAGAACTGTGATTGATTCACACTTGTCAATAATATGAAAAGTTAGAACATCACAAATTAAATTGTTGATTAATTTTTACAGGACTGCCGGACTTATAAAATCAAAAGCAGTTAAATATCAAGATCGTCCAGTCTGGTATGACGTTTACCGAGTATTTCCTCCAAAATATGAACCTCATATTGACCGAGAGCCCTCCATCACGGTTGAACAAATTCCAAATATTTTATACAAAGAGGACAGAATAAGAGCGTAAGATAACTCATAACCACTTACATACATACGTACGTGCAAAAAGTTCAAAATATAGACAACATGTTATTTTATTCAGTCGCTTCTACAAAACCTTTGGCTTAAATCCGGACGGAAAACCGAGAAAACTTGGCGACCCCGCATTTGAAGATACAAGTACAGCCTTCCTTTCTAAATATGAGGAAGTTCAGGCTAAAAATCCAGACTGGACATCGGACCAAGTTTTTAATTCCGTCGCAGAAGAGTATAGATCCACCCGACCAAAGTACCAACAACGAGAAAGATCAAAAGGTGAGAATTATCAGAGTGACGTTGATCATTTACATGCCTCTGACGTCCAAGAAGATGGGAGCGTATCCTCCGAAATATTAGGGCGCAGTAGTGGTGGTCGTTTGACAAAGACCTTGGTCACACGAGAATCGTTACGGGCTCTTTTCGAAGAGGCGAAATCTAATCAGGAGACAAATAGTCAACAAAAGAGTGAAGAGGTCAAAAAAGGTGACGAAAAATAACTTAGATTTAATAAGACTTAGAGAATTTTTTAGAGTTATTCACTCATTAGTTTGTACAGGTAAATAAAGGTTATAATTAATTATCTCCTTTCTATAATGAGCATTTTATTTTTATTGGCCATCAAAAATTCGTTAGAATTATATAAAACGTAGAATTGCACTAATTGTAAATTAGACCAGTTAAAAATAATGGTTAAAATATGGCACTGAAGATTTGAACATAAAATTCGTCCTAAATTACTACTGACACAATTTATCACAAACACATACTTTTACGGTACAAATATTTAAATATGTATATGTACAGTAAATAATTAATTATTACATATTATTATGATTGTTATAATACGTTCCTGGTGTAAAATTTAGTACATTATCAGTACCTCGATACTTGCGCTGCAGGCCCTTCCATTTGAAAATCTTCCCTGTTGTCGACATTACTGTAAATGAGCCTGCTTTCTCTGAACAACTCGTGTTTTCTCCACTCTCTCAACTGCACCACGAAATAACTCAACAATCCCACGGTCACCGATAAGACTAAGATAATCACCCAGAGAGTCACGTAATGCAGCGTATAAGCTCCATACCGCTGATCTAATAACTCCACAAACTCATCCTCTGTCCTGGCACTGTTAAATCTAAAACCACCACTCGACGAGGCTGCCTGTGCGGAAGATGTCACCGTTTTATTCCCCTTTTTTGAAATATTTCTCCAATGATACGGCCTTATTTTTTCCACAATAAAGTTATCATGACATGGGGACGCGATTTCAAAATGGATCGTTGGACCTCCTCCTGTAATCTCACAACCACAGGGCAGCGTTAAATTCCACGCTGCATAGTTTAACCTTCCAATTTTAAAGGGTTTCTTCCCCTCGCACTTGATCTTTACGGCCAGCTCGTCATCTGCCACAGAGTAGATAAAGTTGTCATCAAATGTATGGGCAAAGTTGAAGTATTTGAAATTAAAGTGTCTCTTGTCCACGGGGAGACACTTGATGACGCATGATTCAACAATTTCCTGTTCCGAATCAGTGTAAAGCGCTTGGGCGCAGGGATCCGCGGCGTCATGGGAGGAGTAATGGTTGATCGGAATGTGACACAGTTTCTGCTCCCCTTCGCCACTATTGCACTCGGTGACGTATAAGTTGCCCTCGTGGGCAGAGTCCGTGACGAATCTCTTGTTTCGAATGCCATCAATCCAGCAGAATTCGCCATCCTCGTGAAATACGATGGGTTCAAATTTGATAATTTTGTAGGCACTTTTTGATTTAATCTCTTTATTTGCCAAGTCTTCTTCTTCCTTGGCGTGAAATCGGACCGGGATCAAAACCCGCACGACGAGGGTATCTTTCTCGACGAAGACGCAATCTGTCAAGGGAAGTTTAAAGTATTTCGACATTTCCGTGAGGGGAATCGCCAACTGGTGCGAGTCGAAGAGCGTGTGGCTTTGGATAGCTGAAGTTATTGCGTCATGGTCGATTAATGTCCAGGGAATTTGGCTTTGTTGACACTAAAAATTTAAAAAAAACAATTAAAAATCTAAGTTAAGTAGCTGTCTGTAAGCCAAAAAGTAAAGCATTTACTGAATTTATTGCATTCGTCCATTTCTGGGTCTCCATATACTGATGTAAAAGAAGGGTAGATTCCAAACTCGACCAGACACTCACGGTGACGGCCTGTTTGCTAATCATTAAGATTAACTTTTGCTAATCATGATTTACCAATTTATTACTTAATTATGTACCTAATCATGGACGGCAACCGGTCCCAATAATCCGATACAAATGAGGAAAATGTGGTATGATACATGGATTCTAATGAGACTGTGGACTCGCTCATGTTTACGACGACAGGAACCAAGTCGTTTTCACACTTATCCAAAAGTTTGTAATATTCGTCCACACGATCCCGACTGGTTTGAAAGTTGGTAAAATGGGGGACTATTTTGCTGCAATAATACTCTTGGTCGAGGATGAGGGAGGAATTTCTAGAGAAGACGAGGGGCAGGTCAAGGTCGGGATTATCCTCTGATTAAACCATTTAATTTAATTAGATATCACAAGATATTTGTGTAATTTAGATGAATTATTAATACCCAAAAGAACTCTGGAGGAATGTTCATCGCTCGGGAGTGGATCGTCCAAGAAGAGATTTTTCCATAGGGTCATATTTCCAGCAAAATTAGCAATCAGAGTGTTCATGTGATGCATGACTATTTATGCACCAGCAAAGAAATGGTTTATACATGTGTGTAAATATTTTTCAGAATTTTGTTAAAGAAATGTTAAATTACTTGGGCATGGATAACCATCTGAGAACTTTTCGGACTCGGTGCAGTTATTATGATCTTTCCAAAACTTTTCAAAATTAAAAAATAAATTTTTATTTAAATTTTAAATAACTTTTGATTATCTCATATTCATGTGACTTATCTACTTGAATTTTCATCGAGGCAGGATCCCACTTTGGTAGATTAAATTCGAAAATTACTGGAAAGTAGGTGTCGTAGATGACAGGAAGCTCATTTGGGGGCTGGGGCACTTCATACACGCCACGGACATAGCGGAGTGGAGCGTCTTTCATTTCGGATATCATTACATTCGACGGATCGTCATTATCATCCATCTTCTGAGCCTTGATAAATGGTATGGAGGCAGAGATTACTGTTCCGATACAAAGTCCGATTAGTATCCACCGAGCCATAGTGGTGTTTCTCCAGACCGGAAGTGGTGTACTTTGACAGATCGGTTGCAATAAAAACCTGCAAAACAAAACCAGGAAACCAATAATTTCTCATACATATTTTTTTCGAAACGTGTTACAAAACACAATTGCCTGCCAATTATACTTACGTAACGATTGAGATTGTTCCAAATGATTTTAACTTATTAATTGGTACTGGTCTGGTCACATCATAAAACGATCTCTCTCTTCCTCTCAACGCAACTGTATCTTTGTAATCTTCCAACTTCTAGTAAATATTGTATGTATTCAGGTTGCTCATACATGGACAATCCAACAAATAATGCATGACTTTAATATGCAAACATCTCCATCCAACCAAAGTAAACTAAATATTAAGACGGTAGTAGTACTCAAAGATTACAAAAGTGACTCATAACCAACATAAGTAGACAAAGACGACAAACGTAAGTCAAGTGTAATATGCAGAGAACTGGTACCACGACCACGACACATGAAATAATCACTCAAAATGCAATATGCTAAGAAGACATCGGCAAGAGTGACTGGACTCTAAAATCGTGTCCGTATCGTATCTATCGTAAATCGTAATGAATCTGGAAACCTTTAATTATACGTAGATTTTTAACGACTTCTTTCCTGGTACCCAATTTTTTTTTCGTTATGCAGGATTATAGCATAGCGACGAATCTAGTGAGTTCATGCAACTAAAAAACGAGCACAATCTGTGTATATGTATGAAGTCAACTACTTATTGTCCACGACCACCGAGACCCAAGGATAAATGCACTTAACGAGTTTGATTGCTATAATTCTTATTCGTTATAAAGAAGAATCAGAAGAACCATCATCATTGCATCTTTGCCCAACCAAATAAGTGGTGACGAGTATAACCAAAAACTACCATGTCCAATCTACACGAGTCAAGAAGGGTGCAGAGATTAGATGAAGAGGGTGCCCATCACAATCAACGTTAATTGACGGACAATAAACTGAACAAAAAGAGCTGTATTTCACAGCCGTGTTATTTGTCTGTCGGTCGGCTGCCCAAACTTTTTAGCGTTTGTTATTGCGAAACGTTGTATTGTAGTCCAGCAAGAAATGAAATAATTAATGAAATTCTGAGAAGGGACAAAAAATATTGAAATCTGAAATATTACTGTTGCCTTCAGGGCAAAGATTTGTAATCATCATAATACATATGTATATTTATATGGGTTTTGATGACGGATTTCGTGCCCATTGTGTAATACTAACTTATATGAGGTACTGAGGTGTCATTTTTCATGTAATGACGCGACGATATGATGCACAAGTTCAAAATTAGTATTCAGTCATCAGTGAGTGACTAAATTGCTAAAATTATGCATATCGTATAATCAAATTGTTCTATATTGGTAAATACATGCATATGCACATACATAATTTGCATTGAGCCGCAATAGTAGGATATGAATTTTTTGGAGAATAGTTTATGGTAAGTAGCATGCAAAATTGGTATCGAAACAGAACTCATGACTTTCTCATTTTAAAATTGCTATACATCAGCATCGTTGAATACAATTTTCCAACTATGACATTTATTTATGGCACTCAGATTCCATAATCTTCCCCCAACAAGTCACTCATTTGAAGTCGCTAATTCTTTGACAAGATTGATACACTTAAAAATATCAGCAAATAAAATATTCTTAAGACTATGCTAGAAATTTTCAAAATATAATTTCTCTCATTTTTTGGAGTGTTAGAAGTACATATTTTCTACAGTCTATGTTAATTGTCATGTCACTTTGTTGCCTGCTAAAGGAAAGGCTCATGATTTTAGTCACCGCTGGCAGTGAAACGTATTTTCGAAAGACTTAAGCTGACGGAGTCACAGTGAAAAGATTGCTTCCTTTAGCCACAGTCTTTCCCATAGATTGGTGAACCTTTTCCACAGTTCCATCGTATGGAGAGCGGATCACGTGCTACAAATAGAAAATAATTGTGTAATCAGCAATTGTAATATTTCCATTTTAAAGTCTATTATTACCTCCATCTTCATTGCTACAAGAGTTCCAAGTTGTTGGCCTTTCGTGACTTTTTCACCCTCCTTCACAGAGACTTTCTCCAGAGTTCCTGGCATTGGAGAAACAACAGTTCCGGACGCAGTGTCGCCAGACTCCCCTACACGATCCTTTGGCCCAAGAGTTGGCACTTCTACTTTGAAGGATCCGTCCTGCAAATATAATTAGGAGTAATTAAGATATTATCTACAAATTAATTGTATAATATGACAATATTTAAGCACATGTGTATGTATATACGCATACCGGAGTAAATACAGACAACACATTTTCTGCTGACAAAGCTGCCGTGATTGTTTCTCTCTTATTCCCAATTTGCACCTCCATCTCAAACATTTCAGTCAATTTTGTAACCCTAATGAGCCGACATTCTCCTACGTCCCCGATAGAAAAAACCTTTTGTGACCCCTGCGTGTTGAAAATTACCCCAATGTCAAACTTTTTTTCGCCGTCCTTCACACTGAATTTTGTTTTGTAGTCAGAGTTCATGCGGAACTTTCCGGCGATGGTTTCGCTCTTGTCGTAATCTTGAATGGCGGAGAGAGCCATGGTCGCCAAAGCAAGTTGTTGTCCACTCAGTTCGTTAAGCACCAGGATTTCGTCATGATTTTCCTCAATGAATTTTGTGGTAACGATCGTATTGCGGAAAGCATTCGTTTGGAGGATTCTCCGCATAAAGTCAATGTTAGTTTCGACCCCTCCAACGTTAAATTGACTCAGAGCCAGGTCAGCTTTTCGGATGGCTTCAGATCTGTTCTCTCCCCAAATGACGAGTTTAGCGATCATAGGATCATAAAAGACAGAGACATCGTCCCCTGAAATTATACAGTTAAATTGACATGCTTAAAAGTGTATGTATTTACAAATTAGCTAAATTAATCATAATTCAGTTACCCTCAATGATTGCAGATTCGACACGCGCATCCCCACCTGGAACCCGCATTGCGTGCACATTTCCTGGCGCAGGGACAAACCCAGCGGCGGTGTCTTCGGCGTATACTCGCATTTCCAAGGCATGTCCGAATGGACCGGGAATTTGATCCTGATTTTTAATGGGAAGTTCATGGCCTTAATTCGAAAAATGTTATTGTTCATTTCTACCGGATTACTGTAATTATTCCCATTTATACAAAAAATAGAGTATCCCACTAACCCATTGCGACCAAGAGCTGCCACTGTACCAAATCAAGACCGGTGATTGCTTCAGTGACAGGATGTTCAACTTGGAGCCGGGTATTCATTTCCATGAAATAAAAATCCTGACCCTCTACTATAAATTCAACGGTTCCTGCACCAGTATATTTCACGGCTTTGGCAGCATTGACGGCAGCCGTTCCAATGGCTTTTCTAGTTTCTGCTGTGAGACCGAGGGCGGGGGCTTCCTCGATAACTTTTTGATGTCTTCGTTGAACTGAACAATCTCTTTCCCTGTGAATCGTGAAAGTTAGACGGAGTCTTGGGACTAGATTTGCAACAAATTAGCATAACTGTACCATAAGTAGACGCAGTTGCCGTGAGAGTCGCCAAATACTTGGACTTCAACGTGGCGTGGTGCTTCCACATACCTGGAAAATGTTGATTCTTTATTATATTGCAAATGACTGCATTACAAATTTATTATCACCTTTCGATAAGCAAAGCTCCATCTCCAAACGCTTTTTCAGCCTCTGACTGGCAGGATTGGGCTTGACTTAGGAATTCTTCCGCCGTTCTCGCAATTCTCATTCCTTTTCCACCTCCACCTTTCACAGCTTTGATCATTAATGGAAATCCCAATCTGAAGCCGAGACACACCCACATTAGTTCGACGTGTCTTTTGCTAATACACAATAATTAAATACTGCATTAGTTAATTTTTATTCTCACTTCAACGCCTCCTTTTTTAATGCTTCCATATCATTTGCAGCCTCTTGACCATGATATCCCGGCACTACTGGTACCCCAGCTGCAGTCATGAGTTCTTTGGACTTTGACTTGATCCCCATATCGAAAATAGCTTGGGGTGGAGGTCCAATAAAAATTAGTTGGCGATCAGAACACTTTTTTGCAAAATCAGAGTTCTCTGAAAGAAAACCGTATCCTGGATGAATCGCATGTGCTCCGGAACGTTTAGCAACCTAACCAATACATTAATTGTATTATTCCCACAATGCATGCTAATATTATTTAATATAAGCTAACCTCAAAGATCTTATCTTGGTTGAGGTACGACTTTGTAGAAGCAGCCGGTCCAATAAGATAAGCTTCGTCAGCCATGTGAACATGTTGTGAATTTGCATCTGGCTCAGAGAACACGCCTACCGTTCGAATACCTATACAAAATTATCAAATCTTTAGTAAATACTATTATCCAGTAAATATTAAATTAACTTCACTTACCCAATTTCTTGCAAGTTCTGAAAATCCGACACGCAATTTCTCCTCGGTTGGCGACCAAAACTTTGGAAATCTGTTTAAGCCCTGCCATATTATTTAGTTTAACCAAGGCTTATCCAACTTTTAAATTAAAAACAAAACACAATTGGCTATTATTAGCACATTAAGTAATTAGAATTAAAAAAATTTTCCAAAATTTTGTTGATTGCTTGCTTGCTCAGATTTCTGCAGGTTCGGTTTGGGTCTCCCGGCTGACTGGAGTAAACTTCACGCAGCTCGTGTAAATACGATTTTTTGAGTCAATCTTGGACAAAAAATCAGTGTTTACTTTTTAATCTTTGTCGAACTTGACGAAATATTGTCGACGTGACGCCAAGCCATTAGGCGAATAGATGTCGACAGATGTAGATACTTTTACTATTTGACACGGTGTTGTGTTAAACATATCGTTTTGGTGCATTTTGTAAGCAAATTGATTTTATGGTTTCAATTTGTGATTAATTTTTGTTAATTAGTGATTAATTATTGTATATAATAATTTGTACATTGTAGCCTCAAATATCGCAGTAAAAATGCTCCGGTTACAGCAGGAGCGAGTTATTCCTGGGATTTTAAACCCAAAGAGTAATTATCAGCCGCCATGGACAGATAAGAAGTTCTATCTAATGGATGGGGCAGGAAATTGTGTCATAATTGTGGACGAGTCTGCTATTCCTTGCATATATGACGAAAAGGTATGTGGATGGACACAAACTCAATGATGTTTAATTGAATATTGAAATATTTATTTGCAACAATTAACTGTAAACCTGTGGATTTAATTCAGGATCCGGAACGGAGGGACCCTCTTAGGCCCACGGCTGGTTATATCAGTCAGCTTGAGTCTCATCGTTTAGCGACGAATAAGATCGCCGCATTAAAAAATATCCCGTATATGAACAAGGTTTTTGCTGGGCTGGATCGACCCGTTAAAGAATTTTTGGCACTACCTCTGCTCGAGCAGAGCCGATTAAAATCAGACTTGAAATTGAAATTGGCAAATCCGACGATAATTAGTGAGATCTTAAACTTTAAGATTGTTAATTAAGGATTCATTGCATTATTACGTAGATTAAAACTGGAAACTTTATTTCAGACAAAGAATGGGAAACCGTGGTGAAAAATTTGAAGTGGAATCCATTTCATGAGATGCCGCAAGATTTCCTTAAATGCCAACTAGGATCGAATTATGAAGAGAATATCCAGGGAAAAACTGATGATGGTGTTAAAAACGATAAGTGTGTAATAACACAACTTCCACTCGAAGCTTGGGAAATTCTTGTTCAGAAGTTAAATGGGATTTCATTCCTTCGGGTTTGTGATGCTTTACAATGTTTGGGATTGGATGACTTGGTGTGGGAAGCTTATGAAGTTAATATGAGGGAAAATAAGGTGATTCAGTATTTTAATGATAACTGCATTTGTAGAATGTACATGTGCGCATAACGTTACAATTTCGTATTTTTATTAATTATTTTTCAGCTGCCACTATTTTGGAGCCGAACTTGCCACCAAGACATGCCAAGTGAACTCATGAACGAAATTGTGACAAGTTTCAGTAATATGCTTATAAATCTTAGGAAGGGACCAAGAATGAATTTGGGGTCTTTGCATAATGCCCGAGAATCTCACAATTGTCAAGATATCGTATTGGCAGAATATTCATGGGTAAAGAGCGTATTTATTTATTTATAACCGCATTTTGTAATCGTTTATGTTTTTATAATAAAATATTTATCATACATAACAAATTTATTTTTCATTTTAGATCCACAAGTTAAGGGATGGCGAGATGGTCGTTAAGAATATGTCAGCGCTGGAACGAAAAATCAAGACCAACATTCAGTTGTTTCACCAAAAATATCCCACGTTTGATGAGATGGTTAAAGACAAAGACTCGACAACTCGAAATTATTCAACACCTGAAGTTATAGTTGGCATGCTGGGATCACTTTGTTACTTCAGTATGGTAACATACAATCAAAAGAATTTGCCTGTGGTACTGAAATTATCGTAAAATTTATTTAAAGTTTATTAATCATAAAGTAATAAGCTTTCATTTGTTTATTAAAGTTGATCATGGACAATTTGGACAAACCCGAAGCACACCGAGTCACTGAAGCCGTGTGTGACTTCGATAAGGACTCTCCAATGCTATACTCTAAACTGATGTACTATCCGACCCAGCAGACAGATACAGAAAAAATTCCGGAAATTGATCGACTCTTGTTTTTCGTATCCAGAAATTACACGACCATCCGATGTACTAAAATTGACAATAGTTAATTTAATAATTAGTTTTAATTACAGTATTATTTATTGAATTTTTTAAAATTCTAGCCGTGGATAGCTACCTGACCGGACTAGTTTACGAGCATCGCTCGATTGACGATGCAGAGGCATTATTTTCTAACGACACCCAAACAAATGACGATGATAGAGGAGTCTTCTTCAAAATGGAACCCATTCTGGCTTTCAATGAGTAATTTAACGAGTAGTGAACTTAAAATGTATGTATATTATTATCCCTAAGTCTTGTATTAATTTCTTGTAGGAATGTTTTTGTCCTCTGGCATTCCCCCAGCCCTGTCGAGTTTAACAGGGTTACAAAAGTGCGTAACCACTACGAAATTACTAAGATTCAGAGTTTACGAATTCATAAATGCAGAGATTATTGGAATCTCTTGAGCAACTACACCCAATACTTTATACCAGTTTTGAGAAAAGTGCACAACTCAGGTCCAAACAAGCTCCCATTTACAGAAGAATTTCTCGTGGAGAATTTTGGCCAGGATTTTGCCAACGACTGTGAGTTCTACTATGAACTTCAATTAATCAATATGCGCTATGGAACTGACACAATTTCGATGAGAAATGCGAATACGCTCAAATCTACTTCTCCCTCTAATAAAACAAAGGAAGCGTAAGTTTGTATATTTATTTGGTTATTGTGATTTATTAGTTTAGTTTATACGCGACGACCTTTTAATTTCGATGTCTATTTTGCTACAGTGCATTCGCTGTTCATCATCAAAATCCGCAATACTATTACCACAACGCGTTGGAAGAACGCAGCCTGCTTGATGTTTGCTACTCTGCCTGCTATGGGTATGACTTGTATGTGTTTTGGAATCACAAAGCTCTTGCAGTTTCATGGGGTGACGGCTTAATTTGGATGTTCCACTCGTGGAAGAGGGCTCTGAAATCTCTCGAGAAGGAAGTGCATCATCGCTTATCGAGCAAGACGGAAGATGTATTTGTCTCTCATATGTGTGTTTGTTCTCGAGATGTACTAGGTGCCGTGATAAATGACAACGTGGTCACCTTCAAAGTTATAAAAACGCCAGGAGTTTTGCATGATGGTTATAAAGTGAGTTTTTATATTCACATAAAACAATGAAATTATTATTATTATTATTATTATTATAAAAGTAAGGTTATATTCATCGGAGTATAAAAGTAGATTATTATTATTATTCTAAGAATAACTTTTTTTAAATTTTGTATCACAGGAAGAACCAAAATTTGTAATGGAACCACTCCGCTTCATCGTACTCGACCTTCAATCCAAGCAAATTTCGGTGGACCAATTTTCTTTCCACTTTGACAAAGGTGATCCTTATTTTTTCCTCTTGCTTCGTGACAAGGGTTCGAATTGCTGTCTGGATTTCTGGATGCAAAGGGTCTACTTCAAACTCCAAGAGTATGAAGATTCCGAGGTGACAGACGACATTCCGGAGAAAGTATTCATGGATAGCGTCACTACTTTTATCGAAAATGAGGAAAGAAATAGAAATAGAACCAAAGTTCAACAAGAAGAAGCTCCACCCAAATGTTCCGAGAATATCACTTCGAAAGAATTTACGGAAGCCATTATGCGAACCATTGTTGGGTGCAAATTAGTAAATTTGAAACGAAGGGTTGGAGTGAGCGACCGTCCAAAAACATACAAACAAATGTTTGATGAACTCATGGCTAGAAACAAGGACAAGGATATCTTCTCCGTCAATCGACATGCCGCACTGCATTCTCAAGTGAAAGAATGGGTACAGAAGTTGCAAATGACCAGACGGGAATCGAAGTATGAGAATTAAGTATCAGATTTTAAAAGATTGCACATGTTAGAAATATAAAATGTTGGGTATTTATTATATTGGTAGGTTAAAAACAGTACAAATACTAATTATTTATTAACACATACATATTTGAGTAGATTTCTTTATTAATTTAGATTTATTTTTATTTCTTTACATTATTTTGTTGAACGTTTACATTTATGTATAAAAAATATTGTCTTAAATAAAAATTGACGGAATATAAATTAGTGGAGGCTAAATAAATTTTTGCTTCCTCCTTTCACAGCCATGCCGATGGGGCTCAACTTCCTCATAAAATCAGTTTTAGGCTCGGGAACAATCTTTGTTTTGTCTGTGACTAACGACCCAGCGTTGAGTCTTGCTTTCTGCAAAGCGCTCGAACTAATCTTGGGGTCCGTTTCGATGCGGAGCCGTTCGGCCTTTTCAAGTTTGGCCAATTCTTCGCAAGCTTCAGCTTGATAGGCGTCATGAACACATTTCTGGTGTTCAGGGTCGAAATAGTTGTTCGCTAGAAAAGTATTTAGTGGACGCATTGCAATTTTTTCTATAACTGTACACCTATCTACGTACCTGGGCAACTGTAATGCGAAGGGCGTTGGTAGAAGCAGAGATAGTATTTCGAACAGTCGTGTGGATCTTCAACGTAAATATTGTGGAATAATGGGCACCTCACGGCTGAAGAGTATTATTTGATTCAATGACTGACAAAAATTAATCTTGAATACGAAATGAATTTCTTACGAAACTTGCAATACTTTTCAGGAATCTATGCAACAAAGAAGTTGAGTTAATCCGATAGTCTATAAATTGTAGTTTATTTGTTTAGCGAATTACTTGTTGACGAGGAATGCAGTCCCCCTTTTCTGGATGGAAAGCGGTCCTCACATCACAAACTTTTTTATATGCTCGATTCAAATGACAAAGATAGTAATGTTGACATGTGGTATCGTCTGGGTCGGAGTACTTTTCTGTGAGGGGTTCTTCAGGACAGAAACACTCTCCGTCAGGTTGACACCGTATTTTGGGCAGTTTTGGCACTTTGGGAGAAACTACTACAAACAATTGGAGCTCAAATATGACGAAGCAATAGTAGATTAAAAATGTGACCGAATGCATTTTGTATTTTTGAATGATTTTTTAAGGTGACTAAACCTAAACGTATTTCAATATCAAGAGAGACAATATAACAACATAATTTACAATGAACACTTTAATCCCGTTGTACAACCTTGCTGCTACAAACAATCTGAAAATGCAATTATTATACGAAGGGAAAGTAATTAAAAGTCGAACAATGCAATTACTCTGAAAACATTTGTCAACAATTACAGTACAAACTCGACTAGGTAAATAGATATTATTTAGAATCGCTATGTTAATGGACTGGGCAAATTCAACATTTCTCGCACACTCTTTCCATACTTTTCTACCGCCGCAAGGTCTTCGCCGTCATTATGTAAACTGGTCACAGCCTCTTTGTACTGCTCAATTGTCGGAGCCACAGCGAAAGGTTGTCCTTCTTTGTGGTTGAGTCCTAAAATCTGGTCGATGGATTTCTGAGAGGGGCTGTTGTCCCAAATATACCTTTCCATATCTTCCTCCAATTTGTCATCTTCCCATTTCTCCTTATTCTAAATTCATTATGATTATGGCTAATTAGTTACAAATCTCAGTGATGTTCTAAGCTACATGATTGTCATTTACCCAAGATTCGTGGTACAAGGCAGTAATGAGATACATTGCATAATCATAGTTTTGCTTCCTCAATGGACAGTTTTCTATCGTGAGAGTGACCACGTCTGTTGTTGGATTGTATCGATTCCCCACCAGTCTGAGAAACTTGTCTTTTGCATGATAGTCAAAATTTAATGTGGCGACACGAATCTGTTGTACATGATTAAATTATAAATTAAAAATAAAAATTGTAGTTATAAATAATTAGAATAAACCTGAAGAGTCACGATTCTTGACCGGAAATCTCTAATTGATGGTATAGAATGACAATAGTCGTTCGTCGTAATTTCGACCGGAAACAACTCGTCCAAAACGGCATCATCTTTCAGTTCCTCGGGCCAAGGGGTGCAAAATTCTGTAAAATTAGCAGGAAATGTATCATTATTGTAGCTAAATTCTTACATTTTAATTCTAACTAGAGTAAATCAGATCGCATCTTTACTTTTTAAGGCTTCACATTGTCGCTTAATGACAGGGGGAGTTAAATGGAGAAAGTTTGGAATCTTCATCAGCTCTAGATTTCCCCATTTGTTGGGTGGAGCTTTGTGTGGAGGGACGTAGCCTTGGTGGAGTGGGAGGGGAACGGACGCCGGGTGGAAAGATCTCGCCGTGGGCCAAACATTACCCCAATCTTGATCGACAGGCATCTTCAAATACCTTCATTAAACATAGAAATAATACAATTAGTTCCATTAAGTCTCGTAAAGCCAATTTAAATAAAATAACTATTCACGTACCTCGGAGGTGGGACAACCTTCTGTTCCCTCCTCTTTCGACGAGCACCCCGTTGAAAAAGTTTGGACTTGAGGATATCCAATGGTTGGAACTCGTCGTCATCATTAACATTGGATGTTTGGTTTATGACTTGTTCGTGATTTTGATTAGAAGGTAAGGATGAGGACACATGTCTTATCGAAGAACAGCACAATGCGTTCCTAGTTCGTAAGAACTGCAGAGACGAGGAAGAAGATGAAGGGCCAAGACTTATTAGAAGAACTCGTCGCATTCTGGATTTATTATTTGATTAACTAATTAATTAAATTCGTTTTTAAATGTTAAACAAATGCAAAAAGAAAGACGAAGTGCCGGAAAATTCTTCCATGCAGTATGTAGTAAAGCTTTTAAAATGGGTAAACTCGTATGCAGCTCAATCTGCCCCCGCAGTTCTCGTTGCTTGATTTTTCTGAATTGCAAAATTTGGAATGCAAATTTAATTGCAAATTTGAGTTGAAACTATATTTTCATAACAAATGAATACATTAGAAATTAAAATTAACACGTCTAATAAAGCACGTTAAACATGCTCGTACTTGAGAAATTGTTTAAATGCATTAATACAATCAGTTAGTTTCAAAATGGAATTTCTCTTTTTCATGAGATTTTTAATTGTCATTTAATTCCCTTGTAAATAATTAATTATTACATCAAATGATCACACTTATTTTCCTCATATGTATAAAATGATGTGTATTTTATAAAACGGAATTTGCTTATAATGAACAGACCGAATGGATGAATGTTTGGTCAATAAATTAATAATTTTATGGTTCGTAAAAATTGTAATAAAAATTTTGAACATGTTTCGAAGGATAGATTTCAGTCGATACAACTACATAAACATATCTATAGTCTATACACTACTATAAGTGAGTGACTACTGAATACTGTGTGTAGTTGAACCGTAAAAAACGCAGTTTTTAAATTAAAGGCTATTTACGAAAGCTACCAATTTTATCTTCTTGTGCGTTGAAGCCATTGACTGTATTTAGTTTCAGCAGTTGCTATCATCGACGTAGCGTGAGACAATAATTGTTGTGCGGAAAGATGATCTCGTAACATACGGTCGTTTAACTGTTGCATTTTCACAGCTTTAAACTTTTGCAACGTATCTTGCATCTTTTGCAATTTATCTTCAAGAGCTTGGGTCGTGGGAGGGAAACAGGACCAGAAATGACGAAGTAATTCCGACAGAGAGGTGTACATGCTTCTAATTTCAACGTCCACTTCAGGCGGAAGAGTATCTAAACAGAGAAGCAACGTTAATTGTTATTGTTCATTATTTCTGGTTATCACGTTAATTAAATAAATAATTTTAATACGGGCTGTATCGTCCGGTCTATGTCCCTTCATTAAAGCTCCCCCGGGACGCAACTCTCCCAGAATTTTAACCGCAGTAACCGAGTCTAATAATCTGGGACAGTTGCTCCACTTTTTGGTGTGGTCTCTCATCATGAGAGCAGTCTGTTTGATTTGGTCGACTGATACGACATCCGTCTTAAAGTCTGGGATCGGTCCGTTTAAATAGCGATCAATTCGAGTCAAGTTTAGTTTTGTGTAAGATGAATGTCCGTCATTAGCTAAATCTTCGTAGATCATTTTTTCCGCAATTTTCGCCTGCAAATTAAATCCAGAAATTTTTAGAACTTATTTATACAATGGAACAACTTGTAAAACAAAAACTAATTAAATGTCACACCTTCTTAGCTTCTGGAGGAATAGCGTAAAGCTCAGCATCGCCATTTTCTAAAAGCTCTTCTTTCTCCTTGTCACGATCTCTTTTCTTCTTCTTTTTCTTAGTTAAGGGTTGTTGAGTATCATTATTATTGTCTTGCTGCTGTGGGGGTTGTACTGTTGAGGGAGGGGGATTATTGTTACTACCATTATTACCGTTAGCTGCTGGATTTGGTGGTGGCAAGTTGGTTATGGTTTGATTTTCTGGTCGATCGCACGCCTTTAGCACCATGATGGAATGATGGTTAAATCTCTTAATCATGTTTCGATAAATTCCTTGCGGAGTGACAGCATCCTTATCCTTCGAGTCGTTAACTTGTGCCTCAGTGTCCTTCAGGAAACCGTCCCCGGTCACAGATTCGGTCTCTTCGAGCGTCGCCATCATATCGATATGGGACAACTTAACCTTGTCCAACTCTTTTCGCATCTCTTTATCGTCAGCCTTAGCACAGTCGGAAAAGAGGTCTTTCAACACCGGAAGTCTGTCACGGTGAAAGTAATGCGATTGGAAAAACTTTGTCCAGAAAGCACTCTCGGTCATTTCGGCAGGGACGCATTGAACATGTTTCTTCCGAACAGCAGGATATGTTTTAAAAATTGATTCTATCACGTCCAAGGTTAAGTTGTAGCGGAGACCGTTCGCACCGTCGGTTTCGGGGTGTATTCCGGACTGAATTAAAACACAGTATATACTTTTAGTGCGATATCATTTCTAATATTTAATTATTGATCTAGTTAATGCATCTAGTCTTACCAGGAAGCCTGATGAAACGCCGGTATCTTGGCGAAAAACTTTTGCCGGAGTGTTCGCCACTAGGAACTCTGGAGCATGACTCACCCAGAACTCATCAGCAGTGATTATGTCATCCATAACCAAGTCCTATGTGACCAATTTTTAAAACCACGAGATAATTATTTAATATACCAATTAACTGTTATGCGACCCTATTTTTTAATAGCTACTCACCTTGTAAAGCCTTAATAATCGCGGATTTTCAGTCAACAGCCTATTTTTCTCCTCCAATTCTTGATTCACCTTTCTCTTAAACTTTGGCAGCAGCTGAAGTAATAATTCTTTAACTTGGTCCCTATCCCGAAATTGAGCCGGTTGTCCTTCCGGGTTTACAAAGTGGAAAGTGTAGGTCGTATTATCATGTAGCACAACTTGCAGCTGTATCTTGGGTTTTCCTTCCGGACTAATTTTCTGCGACTTGATATCCGCATATTTGTGTGATACTGTAACGACGTCTCGATTCCCTTGAATCCACGCTAGTCGTTCAGACATTAGGTATAGACGACCGTCGTCCTTTTTGTGTTTTACATTTGTCATCTCCAGCAGGACATCTTCAGAGGACGTCATTCCTTGACCTTAAAGTGATAACAGTCACTTCCCCTTTTCACTTTGCGCCGTCCTAACTTCCGTCCCCACGACTGTTTTACAGCTATCGAACTTCGAGTATAAATTTTCCTGCATTATACCAAGACCAACACATTTAATTAAAAGTAACAAACTTAGGATTACTAAAATAGCAAAGGATAGCGAATTCTTACCACTTATTTAATATTTCACTGATTTGATTTACGAAAAAAACTGCTCTCCTCTCCCCTAGATCAAACTTGAAACTATTGGTTGTTTATAAGACGTTTTACTAATATCCAAACATTTACTTCCGCAAATTACGAAAAACTACCGAAAAATTATAAAATTATGAACAGAATAAGATTGCGGATTGACGACGACTGACGAGTCTGTTCTTTGATTTTACTGGGCCGGTTGAAGAATTTCCAAATATACCCCAAACGTTGGAATGAGACAACCCAACTCTACCATGAATGAGACATTTTTCGTCTCATTTTCCTCTCGAAGTGATTGCAAGCAAAAAGTGGACGCTGATGAAAGTGACTGGATTCCCTCATGATGACGCATGATAACTGGTGATGATAGGTCTGATACCAAAATGATTTTAAAGGTCATTGTTCACTATAAGATTTTTTTCCAAAAAATCCGAAATACGGGACATTATTGAAAGTTAAAGTTTAACTTCTCGAGAGTTTAACTCTTAAGTTGAGGAAAACAAAATAAATTGTTATGCGTCTTTGTTAGATATAGCACCACCTCCTCCAAAGAAGAGAATCTTAAAAGTACTGCAAAACGGGCACCCAGCATAAAAGAAGAATTGATTGACGACAACCCCCTCGTACACGTCCCATTTAAAAAATTTGAATCTGATGGCGAAGATACCGAACGAAAAATTTGTTCATCTTGTTCATCCGGATCAAATTTTTCAGCGCTTCACGACCAAATTGTTGAAGAAAACGCTCAAAAAGTAAAACGTGAACCTGCTCAAACAAAAATTCTATCTCAAAAGTCTGCCCCTTCTACGGAATGCGTTGTACGTCCTAGACTCACTATAATTGTGCGATACAACAGTGTAAAAAACAATCACTGCCAGGCTCCTAACGTCTATATATGATTTGTGTGATGAAAATAACTATAAGCTTACTTATTTTATCTATTTATTAATAGAAATACTCGTTTTCTGGACCGAAACGACATTTTTTAAACTTTGCATATTGAAACAGTCTTTTATTCTATTTTTAGTTTTAAGTACTTTGAGTTTTGGTAGTTGATAAATAATCTTGTAAAATTTTCGCGAAATTTTATGCCACATATAGATGATGAGTAATAAATTGACCTTGTACATAATACTGTAAAAGGTAACTTTAAACGCTTTTGTACTAAAAGTAACAACAACAAATTCTAATAATACTAGTTAACTTGCATTAGTTAACTATAATACAAAATTAATAATATTTCTGAGGTTCTTTCTTAATCATCACATCAAGGTCCTGTTTAGCCCTCTTCTTCACGGGTTCATGGCAGCCTTGCCTTATCCTCACAGCATTTTTCTCATGTTTACTCGCTACCAACTGGTGATCCTCCACCCCCGCGAGGGGATCCACTAGTCGTCGCTTGTTCTTTCGTGGCAAGGTGGATTTTTTCACTTTTCGTGGCATGGACAAAGTCAGTGGTCCCTTCACCGGTTGATAATCCCTTGCCTGCTCCACGGGAAGAGAGGCTGAATCCTGCAGAAGTTTCCCCCTCGGTTGGCGATCCAAATTTAAAAAACTTGATACTTGGTCAAAGAACTCGTTGAGGTTGCACTGAAGTGAAATATCGTCTAGGCTCATTTTAGAAAATTCTTCCAAATAACAAGGGTTCATCAATAGTTCACCCAGTGAATGTGAAGCCGTTAAAGCTTCAATCTGTCCACCACAATTTACTGACGCATTTGCACCACGGTGAAAAATTTGAGGTTCCTCAAATGGTGTTGTTGACGACGACCAGGTTGTGGCTGGAGTGTCGGACAAGAGTGAAATACACGTAACGTTTGGTGGGTCAACCATATCGGCAGGGTTGAGGAGGGCATCCTTTGGGTCGTCACTGGTTTTTTGTTCCTGTGTAAAAATTCCTGGCAAAGTGGTCACATTGATGCGCATAAATGTTTCCCATACTTGTTTATGTTGACTCGAAACTCGGTACACGTTTCCGTTACCAGTCATAATTTTGTAATATTTTGGCACTTGGGCTGCGTCATTTGGAAATCGGAATACGACATTTGAGTTGTTTCGAGACATGACTTTGAAGGGAGCAACTTCAAGAGAGGAAGATGGCGGAGGTACAGCATTCGGCCGGGGTAGTGACAGCTTTTCTGAAGGAATCGACATTGGTGGAGCTATTTGGTTTGGTGGGGGGACAAATACTCCCGGAGGACCCCCTAAATAGACCAAATTTGTCATAAAATTGATATGCTTAGCTCCCTAATCATAATTATTATTTCAAATCCACACCTGCCAGTATGTTTTGATTTTGAATTACTTGTCCTCCGCTGAAATTTTGAGTTTTTGTTGCATTTTCCATCATGAAGACTGCCGTTTTATACGATGGTAACACCGGTGGTTGCGGTTCCTGAGCTGGTAGAATTTCTGTAGTAGAAGAAGACGATGAAGGACACGGGACATCTATAAATTGCATTGTTTCATCTGATGAGCGTGTCGGTTTGAAGGTGTTCGCATTTTCTTGTGTTGACATTATCGGCTTATCATCGCCGTTATTCGACGATTCAGGCTTCCCCATATTGAGTGACTCTGTTTTTAATTTTTCGACCGTATCAGTATGTCCATTATGGCGTTGACAGGTTCCTACACAAAAATAAACACAACACCATTATTTCTCAAGTTGCTTCAATTAGTTTAATATTTATGATTTAAGGAAGAACAAGTGGTTTGATTCGCACCTTTCGCCCTGTGAGAAGGAAAAGTTGATAACGATGTCCTTATTGCTGCTAAATAGTCACTACCCGCTTGTCCGCAGTAACAATGAGGTCTGTTCTCGGGACAAAGTTTGGACCGTTGCAGGGATTCCGAGTAGGCGCAAACGTACTCCTCCTTCTCTGTCGCAGGCTCGAAGAGATAACCCCAATCACAGTCCATCCAACGAGGAAGAATTAGCGGTGGTGGGGACGGTGGTTCTTGTTTGGGGGATAGACAACTTTTTTGATATCCCTCTCTTTTCGTTGTCATCGTGTCAAACGGCTCGACAATATCTGAGGACAAATTCGATAAGATTACTTCTCAATAAATATAATTTGGAAGGAAAATCATGTCGGAAATTAAAATTTTATGCAGAAAGTTAACCTGGAAACACTTTGTAGTTTCGGAAATTCCAAATGGATATACCAAAATATGTCGACTGGGACTGATACATATTCATTTTATAACTATTTGATAAGACGTGATATGACAATGCCGCCCATACTATGCTTAAATTTAAAATTTAGAATAATTGAAATACAAAAAATTTTGGAAATTAAAATTAAATTCAGATTTTGAATTTAGTCCGAGTTGACTGCAATGTTTTCTATTAAGAGGTGAACCGCTTGATTCCGAAACAAGTTTCCGATGATTTTCTATGATATCGATATGAGGGGCACTATTGTCCCGATCAACTTACCCCCGATAACCACATCTTATCTGTTGATGTTTTTCTTGATAAAGTTACAGTTTAAAGGTCATCAGAAGATTGAATTAAATTACAGTTCATACTTTGATAGTAACGAAATGATACTAAATATTATCCGTAGCATTGAACTTGTATGACAATTTGAGAAATGTGTATCATTTAATTTGCATTCGATATTCAAAATTTGAATTTAACGATGTGATGTAACATGTCCAGATACATCCTTCACCTGGAATATGCTGTCATATTTGCCAATTTGTTGACCAAATGCAGCAAATAATAATTCAACGAAGCATAAACTAAACCATATTTTTGCATTCTACACTATTCGACCTCCACGAAATGTAAAGAATGCGTGTCTCATCTCCAACTTTTATATACCACCGATTTCATTTCACAAATTCACAACTATTCCTTCAGCCCATGAACATGCTCGATACATGTGCATCATTTGCTTAAAAATTTGTAAATAAATTCACACATAAAATTCCCCTTCAGGGGATTCTCCAAAAGATTGGTATGCTTGGTGGTGGCATTAATTTCCATGAAGGCCAGTTACAAATATTTTTCTGGCGCCAACGATTACTCCGGGTTAATATAAAGAAAAGAGACGACTTTCTCCCAATGCATTAGGCCTGGAAGTGAGGAGAGAAATTCTGTAATAATGTCGTTTTTGGAGGTACCGACGACTTTCTCTGTCTCTCATTTTGGGTGGTGGTGGTCTATGGTAGATTCTATTTCTATACGTCCTGAACTGCCTCCTGTCTGTCACTTACTTTCTCTCAGCCAGCCAACAACTAAATCGCTCTTATCACACGCTCACACTCCATTTCACCCTCTCTCTCACCACTTTCTCCCTCCTTATCATCACACACAACCTCGGCTGTCCTGGCTTTGCTCCATTCCATGGTTTTACTCGGGCTTAGGACGTATCTAGAGATGTATTTAGGCATGACTGAGTGGGGTGTGGTGGTCTGGTGGGGTCGAAAGAGAGGTGAGCTATTTCTCAAAGATGGGTTCACTTGCTGGTCGTCCTTTAACTTCAACCAACAAGTGAATTGGTGGAGAAAGTATGTATATACATCCTCGAATAATAAACTAGCACCGTAAAATGCACAAAGTTGCAGGAAAGAAAACCTGAAAAGAAGAATGCATCCGACCGCATTTTGTGAGATAGCGATGCATTCACTTTCTTTGAAGGATAAGATGTCGTCGTTTCTCACCACGATTCTATTGACGTACATACTTTTTTTACGTAGAGTATTGGTAGAAGTGGGGGGCATGAATTGCGAAATTATTATCAAGTTAGAAAAAGGAATCCATCTCAATAAACTGCGCTTCAGCTTAGTTTAACAGAGATGAGAGGAGAGGAGGAATAAATCCTGTAGAAAGGAAATCCTGGCGTGCCCAAGTGGTCCTAGGGACCTCAGATTTTTTGTTGGATTCTTCCCCACCTACGAATCAATTCAGAAAGTTTGCTTCTCAAAAGATTTGCGTTCCCCACTTTCATTTCCCAAGGTGGTGGGTTTACATAACAGGAGGACTGGATCGAGTTAAAATTGGTGTTCAACAATTGTGGCTTAGTTTCGGTTTATGAGGTCGATTGAAATGCAAACGCGTTTTTGTCACGTATTCATCTTTATCAAGGGAGTAGAAAATCCTCGAGTGGGTTTTCAAGGTTGTTTTGTGGTGGTACATAAAAAATGACGCTGAAAATATAATTCCAGTCACTTTAGACAGTTCATCCCCACATTTTATAAGTTCACCCGTCCACCTGTCCACCATCCTTGCAAACTGCCGTGTCGCCTAACAATTCAAAAGTCTTATCGGGTCAGACAGCTCGAATTCTTAGTGCTCTTCTCTCCTTTATTAAGTAGCAGATGACCAGACAGGCAGCACCAGAGTCCACTCTCTCTTCTAAATTTAGCTCATATACCATGTTATTAAGGGCACTTTCTCTCATTGGATTTTCCTCGGATGGAGGAAGACCAAAGTGGTGCTTTTTGCTTTCTCTCTCTCGTTTTAGCGGTGGGTTAGATTGGTTGGAAGAAGACGACGTGATGAACAAGGGGTGACATTTGACTTGTGAGACAAAGGAGAGAAATTGGCCTGGTGTGAAAATGTGGATGTGGACTGACAGCCACTTTTATCATGCTTTTCTTTGCCCCCCTCCCTTTTCACTTACTCACTCTTGCCTTCACCTCTCTAGGTTTAGGACGAGGGACGAGTGAAAGTGAAAGTAAAATAAAGGACAGAATCGAGACACACCAAAAAGGCGAAAGTAATACATCGTCAGCCCAGGAGAAGAGATTAGCCTCGGATCAAGATCACAGTGCGAGAGAAAGTGTGCGTGGGGTCCCAATTTTGCAGAGATTGTGTAATCCTAACCGATGTAAGAAGAAGCAAATTGGCATTTAGCCGGAGAAGATTATGTAACTACATGCATCGGTTTCATTGATAAATTTAATTCATAAGATTGTACATTGTTAATGAAATATTTGCATTTATGAATTAAGGAAACTTCTTCAGTGTACAAACTTTACTGGAAAACAGGTTGTTTTATTGGTGAGAAAATGAAACCAAAGTAAGTAAAAGCCCTCCAGCATGGTCTGGTCGTGTGTATTTGTGGTGGTTCTGGTTTCGTGGGCTCTTTCTTTTGATCCGTAGGCTGGAGATGAAGCAAACAAAGTGAAAGCATCATGAGAAACCAATCTCAAATGTAAGCTCATCATCACACACGAACCGACACACGACGTGTATTTGTATGTAGCTTCAGCTAAACTAAACCTAAAAACCGAATCAATAAAGCAAACCAAACCGCATCCAATCCAATCAAATAACTGTCAAATAAAAGTAACCTCAGTAAATCGGACAGGACTACAACTACATCACACAAAATGCACACACATCCAACACCGCATACCAGACCAGACCAGGTTACGGTCTCCTACCTTTTATACGTAGTTTTTATCCCAATAATTTCCCATGATTTTGAGAGTTTAATTATTGTTCTGTGTAAAATAATACCCGGAAGTTGTTGTGATAAGTTCGTCACTGGAATGATTTACCGATTACGACGACGACACATCGACAGACTTGTTCCCATCAAACGCGAGACATGACTTGATTTACATTATTTCCTGTTTTGTCTCACAGACACACAATTTTGGCATCCGACCCACTGATACGTTTGGTTTTGGGGGGAGTTGTCTTTTGGCAATTAGTTTGATGAAATGTTACCAGGTAGAGAAAATAATTCAGTAATTTGCGATCCTACCAGAAATGCGAGTTCATTTCGAGCTAATAGTAATAAGTGGATTGATCATCTCTCTTGATAAGGTGCTCGATAAATGTCTCAAAATTCTGTCAATCATGCACATCCTCTCTCTCCCTCTCTATTATTAGCATAAGATGACTTGATTATTACTTTAGTTCAAGAAGTAACGTATCTAGATAACGATTCCCATGCAAACTATCACCAAAACCAGGCAACTTTCTCGTGGAGAAAGTTTGCTCAGTCCCTTTCTCCACCATCACACGACTCACCCGTCCCGTGCAATGATTCTCACTTTACTCTCTCGCTTTCTCCGTAGTTTAAACTTTTGTGGTGATTATTACGCATTCAGAGAGTCACCAACCAAACCACTGAAAAAGGATAGAGTCACGAACACAGAGAGAGAAGACCCCTTCGTACACTGTAACTAAAACTGTGACCACCACCACCATCATCACAGTACCCACCACCACCACCAAGGTCCTTCCCGCAGGGTGGGAGTGGCCTTGTTGCCCGTCCCACCCAGCCCCTCGGATTGGCAAACTCCTGCCCATTTCGCGAATTTACGACGTGATCAAGTACTCTGAGAAGGGAGAAAGTACGACGGAGTTTCCCGGATTCATCAGCACGCTGAGGGCGACTCTGGGAGAGTGAGACACCACCAGACCTTCCAGTTGAAGGCAGCCTAGTCTCTCAGCCAGCCAGATTCGGGCGATTTTGCTTTCTCCTCGAAAAACAGGAAGCAGTTTCTCTCTCTCTTTCCTTTGTTCACTTTGTGGTTGTGTGTGGTTTAATGTAAATACATAAAAATGGTTTTCGCACAAATAAGGATTTTTTTCTGAAGGGGTGGATTTTCTAACTTTCTTTTCACACCTCAAGGAAAAAACTTTAAAAAAAATTAATGTGCGTGATATAATAAATTACTGGCCTAAAACGACCCTTTCTATTTCACCCTTTCCCCCCGTGATGCATCCTAATTGTTTACTTTTCATCAAGTTTATTACCCAAATATCAACTAAGGAGTGGAGTGGGGTGTCCTAAATTTGTCGGAGCTGTGGCGGTGACACTCCCACTGTCCTTTCCGCTGCCTGGGACAACACTCGTGGGACTTTTTTGGCTCATGGTGGGTTGTTGGAGTTGTCAAGGATCGTCATCAGATGTGGACGTTAACGAAGACGCCACAACATCGCCACCAACTGCTACGACACAACAGGAACAACCTCAACCGAGTACTTCGAGTGGTGGTACTTCGAATCGTAGAGGACAAGTCACACCCACTAGAAATGGACAACTGTTTAGTAATATAGCACCCTCGACATCGTCATATTCGTACCATAAACTCGACAATAATCGACAAATTAACCGAGGTGTTGGTGAGAAAAACTTTTCGACGAGCACGCATCCCAACCAAATATTTTATGATGAGGATGACGACGACGAGGATGACGAATTCTTTAACGGAGAGAAACAAGCCTTGTTAAGCAGTGTGAAATGTGACCATTTCAACCACAAAGGTGATGAAGGAACAGTACCAATAAGTGACAATAATAAGCAAGATGACATCCAAAAATTTCCTTCTTCCTCCATTTCCGGTCCAGGTTCTTCAAATCCAAATTCGACAATATTAACATTTCCCGAGGATGAAGAAGATGATGACTTGAACTTGAACATGAGTTTTGAAAAGTGGTCTGAATCCGACAATAATAATTCATTTACCAATATTCGGGGAATGAGTGAAAGAATGATGAAAAGGTTGCCTTCCCTGCTGGGGAGAAAATTTTGGAAAAAATCTTTTTGAAAGTTTTTATTTTGGGAGTCTTCCCAACTGGAAGAGATACGTAATAACAACGTCAAAATAACGTTATATAAGTTACTTCAACGTTGTTTTGATGTTAGGCTTGGCCGCTAAAATCACGTCAGAATCAAGTTGAAATAACTAAATTTGTGTGATTTTCACATAATTCCTACGTAATTTCTGCACGTTAGTTTAACGTTTTTCTGATATGTTAAAATAACGTTAAAATCGTGTTAATACCACAATTCCCACGTAATTTCAACGTTGATATGGCGGCCAAACGTAACGTCGTATCCACATTCGGAATTTCTACTTGGGTTACCTCGTCTGAGGAGTCGGGAATAATTAAAGGTAACCCATTTTTAGCGTTCTTTTATTACGACAAGACAATTCATTTCCTTTCTCAACCTTTGTTAATTGTTCCGAGTGACAATTGATTTATTGGTGTTGATCTATAGATGCGCTATCATTATTGCATAACAGGCACAAAATTGGCGAAATCAAGAGGATTGCAATGATCCATCTTCACGTCATCATGTTTAATTATTATGATGCCCATATGTACGTACATGCCTTGCCACACTGGTAATTAGAAATTAGCAATCGATAGTGATTAACAGGTTTATGAAATGATATTAATAATCGTACTTGAGCCATCAATAAGCTACTTAAATTCTTAAGCATAGGTGGTTTATAGGAACGAGCATCGTGCCATGTATGCATCAACAAGACACAATAATTCAGCCTCTCTAAAACAATCTTAAATTCGTATGATTACATACTGCATACAGATTCTAATTTTCTAAATAATTGCACGAATACTTGCATTCGAGTGATTGTTAAATTACACGCAAAATAAAACGCACATCATATCCGGTCAATTTTTAAAATTTTTTACTCGTTTTTTTAAGAATCGCACAAGTTGGCGAATAAAAATTATTACATTATCTAATCATCACATGTCGTGACGTGATGATACGATTTTCCAACGAGGCAAATAAATTGTAAGGGCATATCATGTGTGATTCGTGTCTCATGATTTGATTAACATTACGGTCGGTCATGATTTTCCTACCGACGTAATTTCTCATTTGGTCGTGGAAAGAATAGAAAATAGTTCAAGTGAGCGGAATCGAGTGCTTATTTGCAGAGAAGATCGAGATGCAGGCAATAATATAAATGCAGCCACATCATCACACCCAACAAGACCATACCACCTGTCAATTGCACTTTTGCACTATCTCGTATACCTTGAGGACATTGTGATGCCGAGTGGAATGCAATATGCAATTCTCTAAATCCTGAAAGGAAATGGTCAATTTTTCTTCAATAATAAATATCTAGTTGCACTCGTACCTTCTAAATAAATAATCAACAGCAGTATAGCACTAATAAATAACGAGTAAAGACTCTTGCAGTGCAAAATTTGCACACAAATTTGCATACCCACATGTACATACATACATCACCTCCTTAAAATGCTGTCATCACACAATAAGTAAGTATCCAATCCGGTATAACGAAACGCATAATAACGGTTTAGTTTGTGAGTATTGACAAAAAGGGAAAGTGAGAGACTGGCCAGGCCAACTGACGTGGTGGATATCGTGTTAAATATTATGATGGTGGGATAACAAAGGAGTATGATTTTATGAATAATGAAAAAGAAATGACCAACATTTGTGAGATGTGACCAGACCATTAGCGGATGGATTTTAGCGTCATTTTTCTGCATCGCATTCTTTTTTCTATGCCTCATGAATAATGTGCACGGTGCACTCGGCTAATGTGATAATGATTCCTTTCAGTGCATTCAATTCCATGATTTCTTTATTGCAAGAAAACATTATAGGTTAGGTTACGATTTTTAAGTAGAAATTCGAATTTGATGGGACATGGAAATTTGTAATTATTTTTCTATTTGCAGATTATGACTTGACGAGGAAGGGATGACCATTGCCTCACCGGCGACAATAATACGACAATAATAAAAATAACTAATTGAAATTAATAGAAAGTCTGAAACTGTATACATATTTACAAACATATTTTTGGTCCTAAAACTACACTTAAATTATACATTAAGACATTTCTTCAAAAATACAGAAATTCTATAAAGTGCGACAAAATCGGAAAGTACGATTTGCTGCCTTTTTGTTTTTTATGATTTTTCATTTAAACACCACAAAAATTATAGTAAACCAACTTCTCGCCTCAAAATCAACCACTTGCTATACGACGAATCTAACTAAACTACTTACTTACCTATGTAACTAACTAACCAACTATGTATTTAAGCTATGTAAAACTGCTTCATGAATGAGACAAGTGTGATTCTCATTTAAGAGTCAAACCAAATCCAAACCCCAAAGCGAATAAGCGAACGAACCAACCCTTCTCCAATTTATTTCCTTCCCTTCCCTGTAGAATTGCATTCTCAACAATATAATACAACTTTCTGACTTTGGTTTGCATTTAGTGCAGTGATTGTAGTCAAGTCAGTGTGGCTTCACCCTTCACAAGCACTTTTACAACGTGGCGTGGTCTGTTCTGTAATCATATCGTTTATTTAGTTTTTGATTCATGATTTTGTTCCATTTTCACTTTTAGATTCTGTTAATAATAGGAGAACTTATTTGTGAAAAGTTGTTATAATTGTGACCTGACAATTTTTGTGGGATTGCATAAAAACTTAACCTGTTAAAATATTATATAGATAAAGTTGTTGTACATAATCTTAACAAGCCGGCAAGATCACAATGTAATAAGTAATGTGCGTGCAAGGTGACTGACACTTTGAGATACTTGCGCCCAGATAAGAACGTATCATGGACTAGTGGATATCCGCCGCAACTTCAGTCAGATATTGTACAGCGATAAATTTGCATAACTGGGACGAAAATTCGTATGTGTCGTGTGCGTACATAATTCTGGTTTTAAATGCTGACATCGTTTTACACATTTTAATGACATTTTTATCCTAACGAGTGCGTGGAACAAGAAAGGGAAGAATTTATTAGAGTGACAATGGTGAATAATATGATGAGGACTCATCATGGAGTGGGAGGAGGTCGGCTTATCTTGATTTTGGGGACATTCTTACTCCTTGTGACGCAAGGTAAGGGAAATCACGGGTGTTTTACGTCTTATATATTTTTGTATAATTTTCACGCCGGTTAGCAAAAGTTTGAAGAAATTATTTAGTTTATGAATTTTGAAGGTATTTAGTTTCAGTAGGAAGTATTTTATTTGAGAGATATATAAATTTTTTTTTCATATTTTATTTTGAAATTATAATTTGCGTAAAAAAAATATTTTTACGCAAACACTTAGGTAAATAAATAAGTTGGTTATCGCTCTGCTTATATATGTTAATCGGACCACAATAATAACCAACCGTCATAAACTTCCATTGACCACCCTGCTCGTTTACAAAATGTGGGTGACAATTGCCTCTGGTTTGACTACTTATGGTGGTGGTAGAAGTTGTGGTGAATTTCATTTTTTGCGAGTCAGTGTCATTGAATTGAATGTGATACATAAGTAGATCAAATCAATTTCAGAGGCGGTGGTGGTATGGTATGGACGGCAAAAAAATCTGTAACGAAAACCAGAAGCAGTTTGGTCACTCCGAAAATAAACAAGTCGATAAAAAAGCAAAAATATGGCAGCATTATGCCAATTAATGATTACCCTAACCTATTAAATAAGTATCGGAAAATACTTATAGATTGAAATGATACAAAATTTTGCTAATGAGATTTCTCAATTTATTTGTGTCAATAGATAATAATGAACATTTTCAATATTCGATGTGTAAAAATGTCATTGTGTCCGCACTCTCACTGGGCATTAAAAATATCATTTTATTATTATTGCACTTTGTCATTATCATATCACTACTTTAAAAAATAAGTTGAATCAATCCTTTGTTCATCTTCTCAAGCCACCATCCATTACTAACCAACTGAGCATACTTTCATAATTAGTCGTGACAAATGCTCCCCACGTTGAAATACTTTGTAGCTGTACTACTTTTACCCTTCTCAACCCGGAGGCAGTATAAACCTATAAATTTGATGGTGAACATGAATATGCAAATTGCTACGTCCCCCATTAGGAAAAAAAGTGTTATATTTACTTTGGTCAACTAGATGGATAGATACAAACGCCAATTTTGTACACGCCAAATGCGAGAGAGAGATGACATTGTTTGCTAGATGCTTCGATAGAATTTCAATGGAAGTTGCATTATATTTGGAATTTCAAGTAGTTTTGTTGACAATTTAGACTTGAGCGGAAACAATGATTGGCTTCGGCTCAATTTTGGCAAAAATTCGAGTACAAAACACGAATCGGAAGTGGTGCGAGTTTGGTTAATGGATCAAATCGTGTCCTATGAAATTTTAAGGCGATTTGTTTTACTAAAAATACTAACCCGAAAATCTGCGTTTAAAAATGCTCAGATTCCCAAATTTTAAAAATCTTGCATCCACATTTCTAAGAAAAATTCTTATGCAACACATCCCAATCAATTACTCTCTATTTGGAGCACGCGTCTCATTTTCAATTTCAATTATAATGACGACGACACAATGTATACATACATAAAATGAAAATGACGTTCCCAAACCTAGATAGAAATCGTTGCGAGTGTTTCCGGTGCGTTTTTTCACACAGAATTTATTTATTACATGGGCAGTGTCACTACATGTGTGTACTTATTTTCACACAATTTACCACTTACATCAACAACTCTACAAATTCACGGCAACAACATGAGACGAGAAAATTGTTGCAGGATGTGGGCAAATAATAAAACGTGTAATCATAAATTATAGCTGTATACAAATATATAATTTTATTTACAAGTATAACAATTACTAGTATATTCACGAAAATAATGGTTTTACAAAGATTTTGAAACATTTTATTTTTTGACCCAGTTCTTAAAATAGTAAAATAAAACTAGTCCATTTCATTCGATTTTGTTTTATTTATTTAATATCGTCTTCATTTTGACTTCAAGTTTTCAGTTCAAGTGATAAAAAAATTAATCAGTTTTTAGAGACGAAGACTACTTTAAATTAAACGTCTCTCGTTATACTACGAGCAATGCTTTCGCAATAAGTTCTGCACTGTTGATTTGGATTGCACAATGGCAAAAATATCTGTTAAAACTAAAATAGCTAATCCATTTACTCTCCTTCACTCGGCCATAAATTTGCTGTATCACTCATTCATTCATCACTAAAGTTAAGCATTTAGATTTGCTCAATAACACGAAAACAATCCATCTCGTGTTATTTTACGAGTCTGATTTGTTTGTATAAAGTATGTTGCGAGGCGTCAATTGCCACTTTTTCAATTTTGTATGTACGTATCTGTGCCTGCCTGCCTGCGAATTGTCAAGCTTCTTGAGGTTAACTCGATATAAAAAATTGACAGACAATTGACATCCCATCGACTAAAAATAATAAAAAACGCCTTGAAATTTAGGTGTTTTCCGCCCTATTCAGCTTGCGTTTAATAATGAACGGGTGAGCAATCTGTTTTTTGCGAGGACAGGAAAGGAACTCGTCGTAATGTAAATAATAATAATAAAATGAGACGACAGAAGCTAGTTAATAATTTTTTGGGTGTGATTTAGCAGAGAGAGTGACATTCATCTCGATCGTTATGAACAATTTGTTTGCGACCCTTGTTGTTGTTGCTCAATGGGACGTGCCATATTAATGGTGAGAGTTCGAGGTTAATTGAAATAGTGGAGGTTAGGTTGTGGTTAAAAATGTGGTGGAAGTACAATTTTTGCGGCATAAAGAGTCACATAAAGACATGCATAATTTGTCGTAAATTTGTATTTACATACATACATTTTCAAAAAATGTGTAGTGTTTATACTAACACAGGATCAAATTTTGTCGCAATTTGCAGATTTTTGGTGGAAGTATGTACACACGACAATTTTTGCCATATAAAGACATTCATAAGCTTTCGTAAACTTGAATTTACAGATACATACATTTTCCAAATTCTTGTACAGTCTACATTAACACGGATCAAATTTTGTCGTAATTTGCACATTTTTGAAATGACATCACACAACCAACTTTACTACTATACTTCAGCCATAAACATAATCAATCTCATCCTGAAATGAAACACGACCTCCCATCAAATGTCAAGTAGACGATTTGTTTTTTTATTTCTATTTTTTGCCCTTGATGGTCACTAGACTTTGATGCTTTTGCATGATGCTCATCTTCTTAAGCTACACACACATGTTAAAGATTGAACTTTGATAACGTATAATTAATGACTGTTTGAATTTGCAAAAGTCCTGACTTGGCTTGACTCCTGTCAATGTCACCGCTCTCCAATGTGTAATTAATTTGGAGGAGATCACGAACTCTTTTTTGGTGGTGAAGTTGCTTTTAAATAAACATGAACCATACATTTTAACCTTTTATTAACCCTTCAATTTGTGAGGTTAGTTTGGAAAAGGTGAAGAAGGTGAAGATGAAGATGGTGAGACTGCATTCTTGAGATAAGATCCACTTCATTTTCCGTCTACTACTCTTCATGGAGGGGAGTGGAGTTGGTTGGTATCTTAAAGATTGATTTAACTAAGCTGGGTAATGTGATTTGATTGTATGCAAATTCAATTTAATGCCCTCAGTTGAACGAGCCGTGCATATGCCCACAAAACTAGCCGGGTAGTAGTTCAGGTAAATGGAACTTCTCAAGGCAAACTGGTCCAAAATTTGAAAACCATTTCCACTTCATGTACGTATGTAAAGGTTAGATTGTGAACTGAATCGTAATTATGCGTGCTCATTTGATTAGATTTCAAAAGTTCTTTTTTTCCAGGTGTACCGTGTACGTAATTACTTTTTAGTTGTTAATTATTACGTAAGTAAAAGGGTAGATAAGGTTAAGGGTCGAGTTTCCTTTGAAAATTGAAATGTAAAAATTAGTCGAACTTGTTATTTGAGATGTTTACCAGTAGTTTTATTATGCAAAATGGAATTGAATAAGTGATTATAGGTTGTCAAAAGAGGAGTTTGATCAAATCAAATTTTAATAAAAATGTTGCAAAGTAATAATGTTTTGGATTTAATGGAGTGTTACAATATTAAGTACAAAATACATGATGTAAGATGATGCTCCAAACTTAGCTAACTTTGTACTTTAACTTTGTACATATTTACCAAATTACGAGAATTAAATTTCGTATATCTTACTTTTCATTTTCAAATTTAATTTATTATCGTACATTTTCCTAAAAAATAATTTTTTGACCCTCGAAATTGTACTTTTTCTTCCAATTTAATACAACAACAACAACACGACAAGGTGTTATTTTGGCTGGAAAATATCCGAAATATTTAAGTAAATAAGTCCTTTTACCACGTCGTAGTTCAATCACTTTCTTCTTTTTCTCTCCCCCTTATAAATATATTTGTTTTCATGATCTGGTCTGATACTCTTTCCCCCCATGGCATCACTTCTTCTTAATAATACTTTACTTTACTTTCGGACTGGACGAGACAGCGCTAACTCTCTCGGCCTTTATCATATTTTAATTTAGAAAAGTAAGAAAAATGGGACAAAAGGTTTTTCTCTATTGTCGAGTGGTTGGTTTTGTGTCTTTGATCCCTTCTTCTCGGGAAAGAAGTTCGTAGAGAGAGAGAGCAGTGGCCGCGGAAGCGTTGGGGACATCTGAGGACATTAACATTGTAGGATGGGGGAGGGATGGGTTTATATAAGGTGGGGAGATGATGCGGACATTGAGCAACCGTGGGGACATTGTCCCTCTGTCCCCTCGCCCTTCCGCGGCCACTGAAACGTATGTATTTACTAGAAGGACGAGGCAGACGAAATCTACAACAATGGACCGACGACGACGAGCCCTCTCCACCATGTGAATGAGAACATCTTCTTTTTCGACCAAAAACCGAACAAGCTTTTCTAGTCGTTGGTGATCCCTTCTTTTGTTATCTGTCCTCCAATGTCCCGCAAACACGGGGAGAGAGGATTTGAAAATGAGGATAATATTTTCGCAAAAAATCATTTCAAGCTGACGAACAGATCATGAATTAAGGAGGGATTTTATTACTATAAGGACATGTCACTTACTACTTTTTTACGTAATATTTACAAAATTATTCAGATTTTTTACAAGTAAATAGTTGAAGGATTTTTGATCATGATTTCATCTCTAGAATTCGTTTGATATTGGATTACGTTGATAATATTGTAACTCTGTATGTATCTACATATTGCTTGGTCAGATAATGCGATCCACCACCTGAACGATGAGAACAGATGTCTTTAAGAGGATTACTATTTTTGTTTTTACTTGAACCATGTTACATAAGTTTTTCCAACATAAACAACAAAGAATAAACGTTAGGACATACGAACCAAGTAAATAAAACCGCTTTACAAATACTCCGGGTCTTATGTAATCTTCTTCCGTTTTCATTTATGCCGAATTCTCAACAATGCACGAAATAAATGGTCCATAATAAAAAATCAAATGGAAGAATTTTTGATTGAGCGACCTTTGACCTGCTGCACAGGGATGGTTAAACATTATATTTATTTACATAGATATCTGGACTTAACAGATCATTTTGCCTCAAAAACTATTTCACTATTTCGAAATTGATATCTGCACCCTTCAAACTTTGCAATATTCTTATTGTCAACGATTCAAGTGTTCCTTTTTTTAAAAAAAGGAGTTCTATTTTCAACCCTGCCTGCCTTTTCCAGTCAGAGCAGAGTCTGCATTCAACTATTTTTATTCAGCTATTAACTAGCTTTCTTTTCTTTCTTTCCTCGGCTTTCACCCTCTTCTCGGAAAGAAGAAGTTTGGAGAGGAGTTGATTGTATCCTCTGATGGGTGGCGACACACTTTTGATAATTACAAAGATAACTGGCCCTCCAAAAGCAAAAGGACCACCGCTTTGTCTGTCGTCTGGTCCTGTCGTCGTGTCATTTTGAAGTGAAGTGGGTGGTGCACGATACGGATATAATAACTTGTTCATAATGTGAACATAGAGCCTGAAAAATAATATCAACTACTGTATCTCCATCTCCTCCTCGTCATCATGACACTAAAAAGTTTAGCGTTCTGTTAACGAGAAAGTTGAAGAGAGAGAGAGATTTCCTGCTTTTTCAACTTTCTCTTTTCCAGGGTTAATTGCCCTTATTATTTTAAAATGGGATTTTCTACACCGAGTCTGGCATGGAAAATGAGACGGTTTACGATTCTAAATTCGTTGAGGTGAAATAGTTTAGAATTGAGTTAAAAGTGAGGAGAGAAAGTATTGGAATATTTATTAAAGAGAGGATTATAATTTGTGAGGTTGAAATGGTGGGAAATGTGTATGCATTTTTTGGTGGATTTTTGGAGACAATTTGAAGTTTTTAAAAATTTGTTGAATTCGAAATTTGGAAATTTTTTGGACACAATTTTTAAATACAAATAAATAATCATGAAAAATGTACGAGACTTTCCGTCATCGAAATTGTACTCGCAGCAGCAAAGTGCCTCTGATAAAATTGTGTATAATACCAGTTTCTTATTCAGTGAGATGTATGTAGCACGTTGGTGATGGTGGTGAGTTAGTGAATCAGATACCCGGGCATTTTCTTGCTCCCAGGAGACCAAAGAAATCCCAAAATGCACTCACTTCCCCATCAACCAGCATCTTCAATCTTTTCGGCTCAACTCAACAAATAATGGGGCTCAGAAAATGGGCTCAACATTTCGTGATTCTTTTCAATTTTGGAAAAAAACGAGTATTTTTTATAATATAAAAATTTAAATACGAGAAAATGTAACGTTTTCACGTCCGGTTTCCAGTTTGCAAATAAAGTTGATATTGCACAATTACGAATAAATAGATGACATGCGAATGTTTCAGAATACAAAAATTAGCCATGCTTCTGTCCTCTTTTATCAAGAATTTCTAAAAAAAACTGAATTAATTTCAATCCAAATTTTTCAATTTGCTCAAAACTACTCCCATTTTGAACTAGATCTGATAATTTCACTATAATTAAAGTAATAAACACATCTACATATTTCTTTCCCCCCTGCTTTCCCCACGTACCTCGTGGACCTTCCCCCTTCACCATGGAACGAGCCCCATCATCATCATCATCATCTCAGCAATTCATCTCAGACAGGAGTTCTCGTCCCAGGAGTGAAAGTGTTTACTGTGATGACGATCATCATACCGTAGCGTCATCATCACAGTGTTGTATCGCATTCAAGTGATTTCTCTCCCCACTTTCAACTCGTACGTATTCTACTTCTGACATGGTTCATTCAGTGCTCTTGAGAAGTTGGAAGTTGGATGAAATCCAGTCGCAGGGAGCGATATATTACATGTCAGGCTCCTCCAGAGGAGTCAACTTTATTGAAATTGTTGCACTTTTAAAGCTTTCTTTCCTCCGTCTATTTGCATACTTCTCGAGAGGGAGACGACGAGCAGGCTTTTTACGCGTTTTTAAACGCACCCCAGGCACCCATCAGCCGATAAAAGACGAGGCAATGGAACTATGTAGACATGGGAATTTGATAGGATTTTTATCCCCAATATTTTCTGTGTCAATAAAAAACACATGATTTTTTGTGTCCGTTTGGAAATTCATACATGTTTTCCTGATTTAAACGACGAGATGTATCATATTCTAAAAAAATATTTTGATATTAACAAATTTCTGAAAATTGTACAAAACTCGGAGCTCGTTTTGTCCATATTATCGCTACTTGCACACACGCCTGCCTGTGGAAGTAGTAGCGTTGATGGGTTTAGCTTCTTTGGTTGGTAGAACCAAAGCGATATCAGGATTGGATGGGATTACATTAGAGAAGATTAGAGATAGCGTTGGATCGATGGTTTAGCTTATACTTTGGCATCAACTATGTACCTCCCTGCCATGTGGTGGTTCGTGGTGGTGGTGGTGGTTGGTGATGGAGTGAAGTGGTTTCAACTAAAGAGGAGACTTTCTCCCGAAAACGGATCAAGTCACCCACACCTAACTTCTTGCCAAGCTCGCTAACTTTCACCACCAACATTTACTTGGTATCCTCGTGTCGCAGTGAATATTATCATCATCACTCCATGAGATGTTTCCATTATTGGGGAAAATTCATTCCCGTTTTCTTCGCCCAAACCAGTAAATTCCAAAAAAGTAGGAAGAAACAAATCGAAATGCAACGTTTTCATTATGCAAATTACACACGAGTTGTTATATACACAGGGAGGCAACCGTACCGCCCCATTCTGGGAAATGTTTTTGGAGAAAGCATTGATTTTTATCGATTTAATGTAGTTAATCGTGATTAAAAGGTTTTTCTTCTTGGGGGTGTTTTGGTTTGGTGTCAATTCATATACTTGATTTCATAATGGCTTTCTCTCTCTCTCCTCGGGTCATCCGCCCCATCCATCCATCGAGGGAATGGAATGGAATCGGGTTCAGGATTACGCTTACTTTTTGACTTTGTTCCTTGTTGTTGGGTGAAAGGCTAAGCTTATCCACGACGAGACACAAAAAATAGACATCCTCCTCCTCCTCCCTCACACCGCAGTGCAGCAGACGAAAGGAAGGAAATGTGTTTTCCTCTCCTGTAATGCAATGTTTTCCTTGTCATAATCACGGACAACAAAAGAGACACGGGGAGCGAATGAGGGAACGAGAGGTGTTGAGGTACAAGGGTGATAAGTCTCGTAAAATTAGGATTTGTACAACAACTTGATGTCAGAATTTACACGTGTTAAGTTCCAACGTCGAAGCTTATTTTTGGGTAATTTTTAAGATAGTAAGATTCGCTAAAGATTTGTAATAAATTTACCCTAGGATGAGTTCAAAATATATTTGCAAAGTTAATTTTGTACAAAATATTTCGAAAACATAAAATTCACCGAGATGGATCCTTCTTCCTCCCCAAAAATTTATGAAGTTTGCTTCTTGGAATGAAGAATGGGTTTCGAAATATGAAGCGAACCTTGCCGGATGGGAAAGTCTGGTGAAAATGTGCGTAAAGTAGGAAGAGCGATCGTATTATAAAGTTTGGTAGGAGGAA